AGTAGATCCAAGGCAATGCACAATGCACGTGATATTGGCATGCATTATCCTCCCAAGAAAGAAGACAAGGTCTGAACTTGGTAGCCTTCTACGTGCTACAGGCCTAAAGCTGGTCGTCGTCAGCAGAGCCCCATAGTTGTTGGCTCAGACTCGTTTCTGAGATAAGCTCCATCCTGCCATTCTCGAATCGGAAGATTCAGTGCAGGGATTTGGCTGTCTCGTGTGATAGGACGCAAACTATAACTGGTTCTGCTTGAGTTGGGCTGAAGCTCATCCCTGAAGCCGAGGGCGTGGGAATTGTGACACATATATTGGCAGTCGCTCGTACTCGGATTCATTTGCTTTCTTTGTCCAAGGCTGCTTGCTTACATGTCGTATAGTTTTCTCGCTGATAGTATGAGTCATGATATGATTGCTAGGATATCAACGGCATACATTGAGATCCGTTTCAGACCCCAACCCTAGTAAGCGTCATGACTCAAGTAATCTATTAGACTTCGATTATCTCGATCATCTCGGTGTTGGGGTGTGCCTTGCAACCCCGAGCTGAGATGAGTTCACCCCTCTAGTCGAGGGTTTAGATCATGACTGTACGTACAGACTAACCCATGCCAGGCCGACAGGTAATCATGGCTTTAAGACCAATGAATTTTTACCAAGAGAGGAGGTTCGGAACCCCACTGTACTGGCTCAATTGCCTATTCGTGCTTTAATATACATATGTATATGTTGTAATTACGGAGTGATCTTATTGCAAATCTCCGATGATGAGCACCTGCATGACAGACGGCATGTTGAAGATCCCGAGTGGAGATCTTGGCAGGACCTGTCCAAGTATGCCCGGAGAGTGTAAAGCACATGAACATTCATTGAGAAGGACATCTTGCCCCTATATATGTATACAGCATCGATAACAAACGTATATCCACCGGACGCAGAGCGAAAAATGACATTGAGCCGATATTCCCGAAATTGAATTTGTAATATCGCAAATGATGATCGTCGAGACGAGGAGCAAAAGTAAGCCAAAGATTCCCCCGGGCCGGAAGAAAAAAGGGGGGCCTAGACAGCACAATGGATTGTTCGGTGGAGACACCTGGGCAGATGCCGGATTGTTTGGCCCAGAGAAAAAAAAATCCCTGCTCTTCCTCTTCAGTTATTTCATTTAGATGAAATGCACTTACAACATACCAATGTCCGGGAAACGGTTGGACCCGCCAGAACGGATGCTGAAGCCGAACGGCACAATGCTCTAGGGTAGGGTTAATATTACTATTGTATGTGTATACCTCGCTAGTTGAAGCCGGTTGACGCCATTACATATCCCCAGAATTGTATCCAATACAGAGTGATTTGAATCACTTAATGGCCAACAGCTCGGGAGGTACGGTTGAAGACCAAGACAATGGGTCAGCCACAGGGCCGTGCGCCTGAATGAACGCTCCAGGACCAGGCGTGAAGCTTGGACCTGCACTGAGTACAACATAGGTATATTGTTTAAGCATGGATATATTAAGAGTTTGGGATCGAAAGGAGATCAGGAGACCCCGTGATACATGAATATATCGGTTCCGATGTAAGAATTCAGACTCATTCGTGGAATATAGGGTATCTTCTCCATATAGAGGGTCTAACAGGGAAATAAACCGATATTAAACTCAGAATGGACATGCAGGATAGTCCAATCTCCGTTAGCTTCCTAAAAATTACCTCTATGTAAACGGAAAGGGGGACGCAAGGGAATCAATTTAGCTCGTGAAGAATGTATGGCGTGCTGCACTTGATATATCACAGTCATCATACGGAGTACACCTGGGCAGGTTGTCCCTAAGAGCCGCGGGCGGTTAAATTCCGATACTTCAGTAGAATCAAGAGGATTTGCCGCTGCTATTGATATTGGATTTACAATTGTGTCTTCAGTCTTGGGGCTAGTGGTCCTAGCATCCAGCCGATCCTCAACGCCACAATTTCCCATCTTCTCCTGATCCTTAGATGAGGGCTCAGGAGGAGGGGTGAAATTTTTTTTTTACTTGGATACAGCTATGTAAGTACATATGTACATAAGTACCTAACTAGTTACCTAGTTAGGTATGCGCATGTACGTCAGCTTTAGTTCGAATATCAACAAAAGAAAAGAAACCGGCATCAGATACCGGGAGAAAAGCAATATGCGTGTATTGAGGGTGTATTGTAGCCAACCAGAAGATACAGGATGCCAACTCCACTTATGGGGATTTGGGGAAACAAAGAACTGTAGAAGGATTGAAAATCATTTGAAGACTCTAGACTACTAGTATATATGGAATATGTATGGAGTGCTCACATATGTAACAATTTTCTTTGCAATACCATAAAAAACAAACAAAAGTACTTCTAGGCTCATACAAATTGATAGCAAGCCGAGGTACCCTTCTTATTTCAATATTGGTTATTACCACTAGTAATACGCTGACCTTCCCTCTTCTCCTTCGGTCTTCACCCCCTGTTCCTCTCTCTCTCTTCTCTCTGGTCTGTTCCTTTTGTTCCTGTTGGCTCTTTTCCCCTCTCATTTCTCTTATTCTTTACTTTTAGTATTATGATCCAAGCCTGAGGCGCTTTAACTCGGTTCCGCCTTTCGACTCTTTCTCTGCTTCTTCGCTCCACATCTCCCATTCAGCCCCCTCTCTACCCTTCCCCCCTCTACCAATCTTTCCGACCTCCATCACAATTGTTTTTCTCCGGGGTACTCCTTCGACAAAATGGCCGATATGAGCGGCGAACAGATGCAGGCCAAGATCACTGCGGCCAGGCGCGAAGCTGAGGGTTTAAAGGACAAGATCAAGCGCAGAAAGGATGAGCTGGCCGATACCTCCCGTGCGACTCCCATCACCCATTGTTATGTCTTGAGGTTTTCCTCTTTTTTCCCCCAGGATATTGTCAGCTGCATTGTCCTGGGAGACTTGATTTACCATACTGACTTTTCCCTCTCGTCTAGTCCGTCAAGTCGCGCAGAACCAGACCGATGCCCTACCACGAATTGGAATGAAGCCCCGACGCTCGCTGAAAGGTCACCTTGCCAAGATTTATGCCATGCACTGGTCCACCGACAGGCGCCATCTCGTTTCGGCTTCGCAGGACGGAAAGCTCATCATCTGGGACGCTTACACCACAAACAAGGTCCATGCGATTCCCTTGCGCTCATCTTGGGTCATGACCTGTGCCTATGCCCCGAGCGGAAACTACGTTGCTTGCGGTGGTCTCGACAATATTTGTTCGATTTATAACCTGTCATCGCGCGAAGGCCCGACTCGAGTCGCGCGCGAGCTTTCCGGACACTCAGGATATCTCTCCTGCTGTCGCTTCATCAACGACCGCCGCATCATTACCTCGTCCGGCGATATGACCTGTATGCTGTGGGATATCGAGTCTGGAACCAAGGTCACCGAGTTCGCCGACCACCTGGGTGACGTGATGTCGATCAGCATCAACCCGACCAACCAGAACATCTTCGTTTCCGGTGCATGCGACGCTTTCGCCAAATTGTGGGATATCCGTACCGGCAAGTCCGTCCAGACATTCGCCGGACACGAGTCCGACATCAATGCTGTTCAATTCTTCCCCGACGGCAACGCCTTCGGTACTGGTTCCGACGACACTTCCTGCCGTCTGTTCGATATCCGTGCCGACCGCGAGCTTAACACCTACCAGGTAATTATACTTTGCTCGAGACATTGATCTGATTGACGAAAACTGACATATGAATTTCTTCCTGCAGAGCGACCAAGTTCTGTGCGGTATCACTTCCGTTGCGTTCTCAGTCTCCGGCCGATTATTGTTCGCAGGTTACGATGATTTCGAGTGCAAGGTACGCTGAGCCTTTTTTTGTTTTCTAACAATGCGACTAAATGCTAATCAATCATTCAGGTATGGGATGTTCTGCGTGGTGACAAGGTGGGTTCGTTGAGCGGCCACGAGAACCGCGTGAGCTGCCTCGGTGTCAGCAACGATGGCATCAGTCTGTGCACTGGATCTTGGGATTCCCTTGTAAGTTTTCCTGCAATTGTTCATTCAAAACATCTACTAACCTCGAATCTTCTCTCGTACAGCTCAAGGTCTGGGCCTGGTAAACCAACAAAAACAAAACGCAAGATACCCCGTGTCGATCATTCTGCAATGCTCTTCTTCGAAATTTTTTAGGCTCGATGGTTCGAATCTCCGCCATTGTACGATAATAATCAATTACCGGGGAATCCCTTGGGTTCTCACGATAATACACTACCCGCGGCGCAGACATCGTCGTCGCATGCGATACGGAAGGTGATGGGGGTGGAGGTGAGCGCTATGGGATGCTGTCCCGGCGAACAAACGATAGCGATGACACAATACTTGTTTGGACATGACGAGAGCGCGACTAGTTTCTGGGTTGTCGATGGATGTACAGTGACTGCGGCCAGCGGAAGAAAATGCTGGAACGGGTCGATCCATCTGACGCTTCCGCCGTCGCCCTCTTCTCTGGTCCCTTGATTTCCCCTTTGACTTCTCGATGACACCCTTTCCCCTTCTTATTTTTTTTCTTGAATTTCTTTATCCCCCCTTCAGTTTACCATCTCGTTCTGGGTTACCTCCGCATTGGTCTCGACATGTATTTGGCGAAGCAAAAAGAAGGACCTGGTTGCCGGATTCTGGCCAGGATGTCTTTCGCCGATTTACCTCTGCGTTGCCTTATTATTCTCTCTTCCCATTTCTCCTTTCTTCTCCCCTATCCCCCCCTTATTTGTGTCTCTAAAGAAAGAGTCTGTTGTACTTAACTGTCTTTGCGTTGGAATCTCTTGCTCTGGGATTCTTTGGTGTCGGATTTTGATAATGGTTCGAGCAGCTCCAATTTCCATTTGTGAACTTTTTTTTCGAACTCGATTCTCCATTTCCGATTCCCTGGACCCACTGAGGGTGATGGCGATAGTATCGGGCAACGTGTCGCTTCTTGCCTAGTTTGGTTCTCTGCAATGCGAGCGTGGCGAGCATTAGACACAGGGCATGCAAACACGGTCTTGAACCTCGGTCCCGCCGTATGGTAGAACGTGCCATCTCTCCCGGATCATCTTCGAGGGAGTGGTTTCTGAGTAATCCGTCGGTATACCGGACAGGTGGTAGTAGTAGTACATATTCCGACCCTCGGCTCCACGTGTATCGAGGCCACGAACAGCACAGCCAGGAGTACTGGCTAGGAGCATGCCACGCATGTCCACGTGCTAGGCTAAACGAGTCACTGCGGCCTCATTTCCACCCAGTTCGATATTCGCTGACGCCTAACACGCAGCTTACCCATCCTGGGATCAGCCTTGCACATTGTCTGACATGAAACAAGGGAAGGCAGACCGACGGGTAGGGGAGTCGACCACATCCTAGAGAGAGGTATACTAACACAATAATTGAAGTAGAAACTTTGTGTTAGAGGGTACGGAGTACTCTAAGTAAGAACCCAAACAAGATCAGCCCTGTGGTTATCCTTGTAATTAGCATATACGCTACTTGCGGAGACAAGCCCATCCATACATATCAAACTAAAATGGGAATACGAAGATTCTTAGAAAAAGAAAAGAAAATAGAAACATCTAGACTTGGAATATTCATCGGAGACGTTAAGATCTACATGATAGAATGGGGCTACCCCTTAAAGTAGACACTTCGCCGTAGACACGTCACAAACGGAGTAGTTCGGGGCCTTACTACTCCGTAGTAGAGGTTCGTTTCAAAGAGGACAGGGATAAATGCCATTGAAGGCTATTCTATTTAAGGTGATTTAAGGCGAAGTGCCAAGTATGCTAAGTATAGCCTCTGAACCTGTGGCTTTGCTTTTTTATATGTGATAAATGTGACATATGATATATGCATACAATACGTTATCCGGGGTACGGAGTATATTGTATGCTGATATTGAGAATAGTCATACATGTATATCCAAATATACAGACTTGACAAGAAGAAACTCACCATCTCAACAATTAGCCTTGACCTTGACAACTCCTAGGGCTCGGATGTTCACAGTGGAGCCTGAAACACGAAAAAAAAGGGGTTCTCACCGTTTCATGACATCCACCTTTTCACGACGATCTCTTCCAACCTCAGCCTCATCTCCGTTTCAACTTCAGGGGCAATCTTCGAATATCTCCATATTCCCCATCCTTGATCCTAGTCAAACCCGAAACATACCAGTGTCCGATCCCAGATCTCCCAACTTAAATTCCCCCTCTCACCTAAAACCGCCCGTTGCCCTTCCTTTCAATATGTCTGCCCAAGAAGAATTCAACCAGCTGGTGAACAGTAACCAGTCACGTTTCACCTCCCACCCAGAAGACCACGACTCAGATCACGACTCAGACCCTCACTTCTCCGACGACGAACCCTCCTCCCGCCTCCGCTCCCGCCAAACAGCCGACTCCTCCGACGAGGAAGCCGACGCAGACATGGTCTCCTCCCGCACCGCCAACGCAAACTACCACATCCCCAACACAGTCTACGATGCCAATACAGGCCCCAAGGGCGTCATCGCCGACGCCCAGGCCTTCGAGCGCGCCCGAAAGAAGTCCTTCCGTCGCACCCTCCTCAGCGCCGCGGGGCTAGACTCCAACGGCCCCTCCTTCAGCTCAAAGTCCACTCGCGATGACGCGCCCCTCGCGCCCGCCGACCAGTCCTCCGCTAGCGAGGACGACGACGAGGCCCGCTTCCTGCGCAAGTGGCGCCAGTCGCGCATGCATGAGCTGCAGGGCCGGAATAATCGTCGTCCCAGTCCGCGGGGTAGACGGTTTGGTTCGGTTGAGACTGTTGATGCGGTGGGGTACCTCGATGCTATTGAGAAAGTGACTTCTGACACGGTTGTTGTTGTCTGTATCTATGATCAAGAGGTATGTGTGCAATTGGTCTCTGAAATGTAATTCTGGGGTTAGGTTGCTAATTTGGGTTTTTCTTCTTGCATAGTTTGATGACAGCGCTATCGTCGAGGAATGTCTTGTTACTATCGCTCGCAGACAACCTACTACCCGCTTTGTTAAGATGCACCAGGCTATCGCGGAGATGGATCACATCAAGGCTCCCGCGCTGCTGGCATACCGTGGCGGCGATGTCTTTGCTACTATCGTCGATGTCCTGCGAAACATTCCTCGTGGCCGCAGCTGCAGTGCTGACAGTCTCGAGGACTTGTTGAAGTTGTGCGTATTCCCAGGCTCTTGTTCATTTCCTACTAAAATATATACTAATTCTCGATGATCACAGACACCGTGTGCTATGATCTTTTCTTTGCTATTATGTTTTCAGCCGTCCACATTTACTGGCATAGCAGAAAGGCGTCTTGTTTTTTTCCCTCGTGATCTCCTCTGCGTGATTTGACTTGATTTGACTTGTCTTTCCTTTTTCTTTTACTCTCTCAAACACTCTCCTCCCACCTCTCTCTTTATCTCCGATATCTTTGACGTTGGATGCATTACTGCACCCAATAAAACCCAAGAGCAGAGCTTCTTGAAATGGCGTTGCTTGCTAGAATGGGGTGTATGGCTTTGGACTCGGTCGATCGATGGTCTGGTACTATCTCACTGTGTCCAATTTGGCACGTTGCGTTTCTCTTCTCTCCTTGTCTGATTATGTCCCTCCTATTTCCAGCCCGGCGGGGGCCGGGCATGATGTTGATTTACTCGAGATATCCCATGCTGTTATTACTGTTACTGCTTTACCTTCTCTCTGGTACTCTCCTTCCAAGGTTAGAATAAGCCTGCATTTGCAAGACATATGTAAACTAGGGTTCCGCATGGTCACCTGCTCCAACTGGTAACCCCGAGCAGGAAAAAAGGCAAGAGCGAAGGACCATCCATTTTAGGAAGGTACGTGGGACGTGACAATATAAAAGGTCTCCCACCACCCTTCCTCTTGTCTTCTTCTTCTCCCCAACCCTCTCGACCACCATCTCTCCGTAGCCCCCATGAGACAGCGTAGGCGGAGGGTCCCGTAGCACATGGTGCCTGGCCTACCCGCATGGATATCAACATCGTTGTTGAGGTCCATGCCCAGGAGCAGGTCCGCGCCGAAATCAAACCGGGCTTTCTCGTGAGAGTTCTTTGACAAGTGACTGAGCTTTTGGGGTTCCATAGTCACTTGACCAGTCCCACGGAATACATGGGGGGTGTTTGATCACATCCTCTTTCATTGTACAGTTAGTTAACTACCTTAGGTACATGTGGTGCATAGTATGTACATAGTCACTGAATAGTTACACTTTAACTTTCAAGCGTAGCTTCATGTTATTTGATGTCTAGGCTAGAGGTATAGGTTTGACCATCTCCGTTGCGACTACCTTGAATTCTTAAATTAGACTGGTATCTAGTGTCTTTGTTGAATCTACTAGCTAGCACCTCTAGGCATTAACGGCTGCCTTCAATTAAGATAATCCATGGAATGATATTGAATTGGAAGATACTAGTCGAGGAAGCTGGAGAGAGACATCCACAGTCCTAGTCCCATATGCAAGATATCAAGTGTAGCCTGGGATACATCTTGTCCAGAGACCTCGGATGAGAGACAATCCTAAGTGCAATGAGTTTCGAAATTGGTATAAGACCCATAGTATCTATCCAGTGCAAAGCACCAGCCGAAATGAACCCGTTTACGAGGTTCTCCAGTCTTCCCCTCAAGAGCTGAGTGAAAGTACCAAGACCAAGAGAAAGCATACGCGCATTTTAGAACCAGAGAAGCGCGAAAAAGAAGAAAAAGAAAAAAAGAGCCATCCAATTTCCTTCGGTAGTCCGCTAACTCCCCGTGTCAAAGACAGAAAAAAACATGAGAAAGTAACTAGACGTATGGTCGTGGTGACCGAGGATACATAGCAGTAAAGAAGCGAAGAAGACTCGAGAAATGAGAAGAAATGAGAAGAAAACAGAATAAACACTCCCACGCCCTGGTTTCTCTCCCCTCTCCTGCTCGCTCGGTCGTCCCTTACAGGGCTCCGCGGTCCGCCGTGAAATCCCAAAGCATCTTGATCAACGCGTCCGGGAGCGTGTACAGGTCCACGTGGAATTCTCCGACTGCAGAAATAAAAGAGGAAGGTTAGCGTTTTGTTCAGAGTAAATGTCAAGTAAGCAGAGAAAGAATATGGATTTCGTTTCCTCTGATATACCCGAGGACAGAGAGGAACTTACGTTCAACATCGTTCTTTGTGTATGAGTCCGCTGCCTTGTGGTCATGAACCATCTGCACAACCTGCAGAAGGTCGTCTTCGTTCAGCTTCTGAAGCCCATCGGCAAGCTTGTCCATGTCGACCTTGAGAGCGCGTCAGTCCAACAGCCCAATCTCATACCCATGTCATATAAACTCACATTCTTATCTGTGCGCTTCTTCTTCTTGGCGCTCTCCTCGCCACCAGCAGGGCGCTTGTGCTTGATACCATTCTCGTCACCGGGGACGGGACCGGACTCGCGCAGCGCGGCCATCAAGGCAGGCTTGGGGTTTTTGAAAGTCTGGACAGACAACAAAATCAGGACACCATACTTTCTCTCGAACGGGGATTTCAACAACTCACGAGCACATGCTTAGACTCATAACGCGTCTGGGCGAAGTTCAGGTCATGTTGAATGGTGTAGGACTTGTCAGCAGTGAGCTCGATGGACATATCGAATTCACCCCATCCTTCCTCCTGAATGCGGAACGGCGGCTGTTTGAAGACTATTCGAAATGATTATCCCACGTTAGCCTCCAATCCGAAAACCGTACACACAAAGACAGCAACCGTGCGACCAAATCTTGCTAGAAGGGATTCTGGATCGCCAGATAACCCAGACGGCGCCAAGACTAGATAACAAAGACACCAATAGGGACCCAAACATACCCTGCGTAGCACGTTCACCGAAACTGGGGTGCAGGTGGTAGGTGACCTTGTCGAAGAGGTTCGCGGGGACCAAGCCGCCCTTCTCGTTCACGAGCCAGACCTCAATATGCCAAGATCGTTGCGGGAAGCCCTCGACCTCCGATGGCTTATCTCTGCAGTGTGGGAAGAAAGTCCAAGTCAGCCAATGTGCCTGATCCAGCGTGTTTTGTGTGTATGTGTAGGGATGGGTGTGGGTATTTCAAAAGAAGAGTGGTGGTGTGCGAAGCGCCTCCCCCCTTCGTCCTTGTGCGCATTATCGTCCTCATGTCCTAGAGGCCACAGGACTGAACTGGCGATAGCGTTGAAGGGATATTATGGGGGGGGGGGGACAGTAGCTCCAGACGCTCTTCTCAGACCGGGGTTTGCGAAGGGAGGGAAGGTGGAGGTAGGTAGAGGGGGAGGCGCATACATAATGTTCTGCTCGGTGATGAGACGGACAGTGCGCTTGACCTATTGAGGAGGAGTGTTAGTGTATGCAAGCTTAATTGTGCTGGAAACGGAGAAAAGACTAGGTTTGGCTGTGTTGACCAGAGCGACAAAGCCACAGTCCTAGACCATAGATGCAAGTTCGCGTTATTTGATGAGGGGGTAGTATACTCACGTCAGGCATGATTATTTTATTGGTGACTTCGGGTCGTCACTTTGAGAGAATCGTGAGGTTCTAAGGTTTTGAGGCCGAAAGGGGACGTTGACGTGCGGAGAGGTGGGCGTCTCGGAGACAAGTTTGCGCGGCTGTCTATCGGAGTGAGCAATGAGTATGAGAAATCATAACTAGGCAATATACCTCAATATGTAACCAGGCAGCGAGAACTCGTATATAGTGGTCTCTTGATATATTCTAAAGGCGATTGATAAAGCGGTGAATTAAGCTCAAGGAGGTGAGAGAGTACTGGACTAGGACTATCTTCAGGGCCGCCCACTACCTAGGTATGTTTCAACTTGACCTCGACACTCTCTCACTTTCTGAGTGATTTATCTTATTTCATATATAATGCATACAATTTCAGACTATTGGGATCAAATGATCAAATGGGATATAGCTATAAACAAATTTACTTTACCGTCCTAGCATTGTTCCCACCGGCGATCTGCCAATAAGTGTCTGAGAAGTGAAAGCAAAATCTAAGCTGAAGGAGTTTTTACTTCTTTTTTTCGATTTTAAAAATGTATAATCTGGTATTATTTTTTGGCATACACTCGCTTGTTAGGCATACACATCATTACTTTTATTTGTCTTTGTTTTGTTTTTCTTCAGATATCTTCAGGGTATGGGGTGATGTGCTGGTATATTCGATGGGGAAGTGTCTATCTACTTTCGAAGAACCACCGACGTTAGGGAACTGCCCTCCATTTCGTAGACTGCATGGCTCGCAATAGCTATGCGAGGAGCATCTTCATAACTGCTGCCTCGCTCGTCGCGTCGTAGGGGATGGGGTGGGAATGGGATGGATTGGGGTGATGATTGGGTGGAACGGTGTGAAAGGGGTGAAATTGTGGTGATTTTTCACGAGCAAGCTCCGGGACGATGGACCCAAATGCCTTGGAACGCCAAGTACACAATAATTGGGTATCTCATCCTCGAAGAGTCAGCAAGACGAGAGAAAAGGACTTGTTTACTCTTCAGCGTTGAAGAGCTTCTCGTTCTCCACCTGGGCGGTCTCGAAAGCATCCTTGAAGGCGTTGGCGTCTATAACCATGGTTAGTGAAAGCTCGATATTAAGTTGGGATAAAAACCACATACTCTCGCTGTTGGCAAAACGGATGGCCAGGGTCTGAGCCTCGGGCTCACCCTCGGAGACATCGGCGGCGGCGTTCCAGACCCAGCTGCGGTCACTGCCGACGTTGGCGCTCAGCTTCATGTCGGGGACGACTGCACAGACATATTAGCACTAGATCTTCTTCGGAAAATATGACCGGGGAGCAAGCTCACTGTAGTGGTTGGCGCAGACCTTGAGGGTCTTATCGCGGCGCATGACGAGGCGGGTCTTCTGGTTCTCCTTGTGCTTCAACAGGCGGACGTCACCGGTACCACGCTCCTTCCACTCCTTAGACTCGCGGTCGAACTTGAAGAGCTTGGCGCGCATCTTGAAGGACTGCTCCTCAAGCTCTTCGTTGGTCTTAGTCTCAACCTTCTCGGTCAGGCGAATGACGGGCTCGAAGTGGACATCGGCGGACTCCTCGACTTCGTCCTGCATTGAAATATCATGGTCAGTAAATGCGCGGAGCTAAAATAATCATTGGAGCTGGCATAGTATGGTTTGGTTGCGACGACCCCACTATCGGGAGAAAGGGGCACAAGACCCCGCTCCCATCGTAGACGCGTCCAACAACAACCGCCAATGTCACCAGCATCAGATGTATCAAACTCACCTCCTCAGTGGCCTTCTGGGCCTTGGAAGAACCGGAGGGCTCATCAGTAGGCTCCTCAGCCTCCTCCTTCTTCTCCTTCTTGGGACCGCCACCGAACATGGAGAACATGCTGTCAGAGGTCTTCACGGCGGCATCCTTGGTGGTCTCGACAGCCTTCTCAGCGGTCTCAGTGACAGTCTCGGCAACGGCCTCAGTGGTAGACTGCTCGCCCTCGCCGGTGGCGGTGGTGGTCTCCTCAGGCTTGGTCTCGGAGGCAGAGATGGCGGGGTCGGGCTTAGTCTCGGTGATGTCAGACATGATGACTATGGGTTCAAGAGGATCGGTTTAAAAAGATGAAAAGAGAGATAGCAGAGATCCACGGGGGATAGAGTGGAATTTCAGTAAGAGATAGTGTTTGTTGATCAGAGAAAGCGGCGATGAGGGGGGAAAAATTAATACTTAGTTTGGGTCCCATGCCTGGCAGAACCCGCCACCGCTTTCGTCTGCCAATAGCGTACTCCATATAAGTGTGAACTACACGCAACATATAGAAACAACACATCAAAGGGTAAAAAGAGTGAACATTCTATCTCAGTGGGTACTGTTGGATAAGACCAAATTGGATTACCGTTTAAATAAGAGATACCATTGCGCCGACTTGAATAGTTCGCGTCACCCCATTTCCAGTACAGTTGCCCACCCACCACCAAACCTGGTCGCCATAAACAAAAAGTCCTCAGCCAACTCATTAATAGAAAAGAAAAAGCAAATACAAAGTCGTAAAGTAAGTTCGTTCATCATTTCGAGCCAAGGGTTGAGCAATCCCCGGATTTGCCGGATCGGAATCCCATAACATGTCGCGCACGCGATTGAGCCCGATCCAGCGCATTACATTTCCTAGCGTTGCGCACTCGATCCATCAGACTGCGGAGGTCAAGCTTCGTCGCTGACTTCCCAAGTCGGCTCCAGGCATCATGGACAAGGCTCTTGGCTTCCTTGTCCACGCGACTAGACCGCATTTGCAACACAGAAGAAACATTTCGGAATCGCTGGATAGTATTGCGAGTGAGGACTTCTGAAATTTGCTTGGAACGTGATAAAACAGAATCGCGTGCATTCAGACTCTCACGGCGTAGGTTCTCGGCATTGCGGCGCAAGAGATGGGTTCTTTTCACCACATCTCCCACGATCACCTGTAAGTCGGTGGAGAGGCGGCCGTATACCTCAGTCAGGCCGGTCTGAGCCGTATGGATCTCCTTGGCGAGTTGTGAAGAAATTCCCTGTGCTGCACGCCTCCAGTTTGCGATCTTCAGCCACGGAGTTCCGAAGTCAACAGCCATGGTCTGGCTGATTGGCTGTTTTGACTTGGTTGTGATCGTCAAGTTGACTAACCCGTACGCATCCTCGCGGTTCAACTTCAGTGTGTAGACTCCATCGAACAGCTGTGACAGCTCGTATGTAAGAGCCTTGTTCTCTCTGTGAACACTCACATTGAATTGTGGCTGTTTCTTGGATGATGTAAACTTATGTGGGGGTTTGATGACAACATGGCAGTCTCCAACAACCTGAATCTCAAATTCATCCGTCGTTCCCGATGATCTCGCAGTAGAAATAGATGACACTGTGACATCTTCAGGGATTGAATTTTCAGAAGAGGGCACATGCAATACTCGCATAGAAGCTGACGGTCGTGTTGAGATTGAGGTTTGTACCACACGATCCAGGGCCAGGACAGATGTGGGAGAGACATTAGAAGCCACTGATAAGGATGCATTGGATAGAGCTGATCCGGCAAAGCATTGCGCTAGAAAGACGACCAGAACCCTAACAGCCGCATACCCAATAGAGATGGTAATGGCCGAAATGAGAGTCAAGGCAATCAGACGTAGCGTGGGGGCCAGATCTCGGGCCCGCGTGGCATAGGAAGGCGGGAGCCAATTACCAGGATACTTCTCGAGATCTGCAAATATGTGTCTCTGGGGAGGCTTGGGAGCATCGGCAGTGACTTTATGTGCCTTCCTTGGATACAGGCCGACAAGAGAAGCCAGATTTCGATTCAACTGACCAGGCGTGATGCTCTCAAAAGTCTTTAAATCGATAGGATACCGTCGAAGGACTGCGGTCTCCCCGGAAACTGGATGGCGGGACTCCAAACATGTGTGCAGACTGTTGTGGTTAAGAGGGATCACTTCTCCGGCCATCTTCCACAGTGGCTCCTCCGAAATCACCATTGTCGGGACTTCATGGCGTTCTAGGAACGTGTGGGCAAGACGCTGGGTCTTGGTGGCCGCTGCGTCATCGAGGCCGGAGACAAAGAGAATTGCCACATCTGGTAGAGTCCAATCTGTTGCAGATGTTACATGATAGTCAGACCCGCTCCAGGCCGAAGTGCAGACAGGACGGTTCTTGAACTTTAGGTTGAGTGTATTGGGCCGGTCCGCGTGGGGATCCGCTGTGGCTTCCAGACATTCGTCAACCACCAGCTGCACATGAATCGGGAGAAGTTCCGCGAAGTTGGGAACAGCTCCGGCGCCAAATGAGGTTGGCACGACATGATATCGGGAAGATTCGGCCGAGCTGGGCTCTGAACCAGCACATGAGCTTGATACCAGAACATCGCCGATCTTGTCGAGAATAATGTTTCGGAATCCCGGTTGTCCGACATAGAGCACGCGGAAGGGTTTGTCCAGGTCGAGGCTCTGTTTCGTCATGGTCTGTTGAACTGTGGCCATGAGGATGGAGTCGGTTGAATTGTAGGGCAGCCGACTCTTCAATTCTGAGGCTGCAGCACCTTCAAAGATGCGGATAGTATGCTTGAGCTCCACTCGCTCGATCTCGGGCCACTTCTCGGGCTCCACAAATTCGATCGAATCACTGGTGTGGGGAAAGGAGGGCTTTGTGGTTGTAGTGCTGTCATCGATGGTGGTTCGTCTGGCAGCAAAGAGGGCAGGCAGCTCCTGGGAGACCGATTCAGTGCACTGCACTTCATCCCTGTCTATCCCATCATCCTCTTGGTTGTCTTCATCCGGTGCCTCGGCCTCGCTACCGCTGTAGCGTTCATCGAGGCTCGCAACGTCGTCAGGGCTGGCCTGGTCGATCAACGAGCCTGTATCGGTTCGTTCGGAGTGGCTGCCATCCTCTGAGCGTATATCAGACACACTCAGAGTCGCCCAGCTATCACTCAGGGTTTTGGGTGAATGATCAGAAAGTTGATCTGACGTCATATTGGTAGGCCGTGAACGGGATAACCACTCCTCAACAGAAGCTGTCAGGGGTGGAAGAGTCGGATATTGCAGACTCGACGTAGTCTGGGCACGGAGGAAACGCCTGTGAGGCGAGTCTGGATCGTCAGTCATATCGTCGATGTAAACTTCATAGAGCACACGGGTGCGGTGGAAACAGGAGCTTAGAAATAGCCCAAGCGGTAGGAAGAAGGTCAAAAAAAAAGCAGAGTTAGAAACAGAGACAGAGATATAGAGCAGGGAAACAGAAAAGAAAAGGGAGGGTCGGAAGATACTAGATGGGAGTGCTAGGCAGAGACTCAGAAAGCCCAAATAGAGTGATAAGGTGGGTCTGCGGGGAGCCGGATGTCAGGATGGTCAGGTGCGTTTCTGACTTGAGGAAGTAAGGGCATACCTGGGTAAAGGCGTGAAAACGTTGGAAGGCCAAAGAGCAAAGGAACACAGTAATGAAGATGAAGTTAAGGGGACATAAAAGAGAACTGAAACGTGGGAAGTTGATGAAGGGGGAATGTGTTATGTCGCGATAAGAACATTAATGGATGACCCAAAGTGACAGCAATGGCGGGGTAGTACAGGGTACCTGGGATTTGTATGGTGCTTCCAGCGGTGATGGCGGTACTAGGTACCAGAACACTTTGATACCTAACTGCAAGTCCTTTGTCTGCCCCTCTCGATGCACTCCAACTCCGATGCACTCCAAATTAAAGAAAGTACTAACCCCCCGAACCTATCATATTTCATTATTTCCTGTTAAAGAGCTATTCTTATACTTGTTCTATACTTGATAAGGTACAGCTCCACTATGCCCCACCATGATCACCTTAAACCCGAACATTGACATCGTCCATGTATACATTCCAAAGTCTACACGGAAATGAAGAGCGATTGAAAAAAAAAGTACCTAGGATTGACCTCGCTGTAGTCACTCGATCTGAGATATCCAATCCTCTGAAAGCAGTATCATGTCATTCCGAAACTCACCCTGCTCAGCAAGATCCATCGGCATATGACCGAGGAATCCCTGCAGGCAAGGATCCACCTGCTTCTTACGCAAAATGCAAATGGCAGCATTATGACACATCTGCGCAGCGAGATTGCTAGACACCTGACGGCCCGTGTACATCGTCTCAGGATCAACACTGAGTTTCAAGAGGAGGCGAACATTGGCTTCATTGAGCGCCTGGATGGCAATGTGTGAAGTACCAAGGCCCGGGCTAATTACCGTGGACCAGCATGCTTGTGCATCAACATATGGTCATGTTTCTGTAAAAATGGCATTGTGCAGCAGGGAGCTGTCCTCGATGCCAACTGGGTCTGGGTAGACACCATTCAACCAGGCATTCGAGGATTGCAATCATCTCCGGCTGGAGCTGCTTCGAGTCATGGAGTTGGTGAAGATGGCTCTCGCAGAAAGCTCGGCTCCATGGGCGAGAAATTCATTTCCGATGGCGATTTGTCCATCCTAATACTCAAGTGTCAATTTTGCTGCAGTGACCTCGAGTTTGCACTCTGTTATACCCAAGATTCTGATGTAGAGTGTATCCACGAATTGACCTGGGAGCTCTTTCTATATCTATTGAGAGACATAAGGCTCGGTCTTTGAAGTAGGCCTCGACTGTGATTATGGTCTCTCTACAACCATCATCACTCTGCCTATCAAAGTAGAGATTCTGTACCTGGTCAAAAGGAGGTACTTGTTCGGGGACCAGTATTTGAGCTTTTCGGCGGCTTCCATTTGTAGAAATGACAGCTCGGATGCGCTCAGACGATACGTTCAATATCCAAGAGATAGCCGTGAGTTTCTCGTCGAGTCACCCTGATACTGGTGGTGTTGCAGCGCTTGTGATGGGATAGACTGGAAGTCCGGAGAGCGAAATGTCACACTGCGAGAACTCGTCGTCTCAATATGTATGGCTGCGACTTGACCTATTTCCATCCCCGGGGACTCAGACGAGAACTCCATTGGGATGAGCCAGGTAGTCAAGGATTGGACGTCTTCGTTTTGGGACAGTTCAAATCCATCATCGAGTTGATGCATCCATTGTCCTACGATGCCAGGACTTGGATGGGTATGATACTCGAGCTTCAAACCAGATATGCAACTTCGAGATCTGGATTGACCTTGTATGCCCGTGGATGCCTGGATTTTCCGGACGTTCTTGAGTGACGCATAGGTCTGATAGTCATCGGAACCTTTACTATGAAATGAGAGAACCTTTCGTCATACCGCAGCTGATCGTCAGGTATTTGATGGCATTCACAATCCAGAATATCTGGTATGCTAGGTTGTTTGCTAAACTGCTGGGACTGAATACCGACGCGCTCAAAGCAAGTTAGGGTTGCCTGGGTCTGCATAGCTGCTGTCTGAATCTGCTTTAGGAATTGAACCTCAAGGCAACTAGTCTAGTGATGATGTTGCTGGGCGAAACTGGTATGAGCTCAACAGCTGCATTGAGCCGATAGCGAAGATGTAGTGTTTAGGTCTTTCCACATTTTCGTGCATTCTTTTTGCCATGGCATCAGGGGATGGGACTAAATGGCAGTTATCATTAGGCTCAAAGTGACCCGATGAAGATGTGCCCTCTTCGGTGTGGTAATTAAGGCCTGTCGTAGTTGCAGTCGTCGAGCGAGCACCATCTCGCTCTTTCCACAGCGAACTATCATACATCTTGCGGAAGTCGGATGCCGTTGTTTCTTAGTCCTCCAGGAAAGGAATTGCACAGGGATCAGCGTAAACACTACCTTTGGCAGCCCGAACGATTTGTGTGTTTGTGCGGCGCCCTCATAGTCGTGGCCAAATTGGAAGATGGATGCGTGGATACAGGGAGTGCAATACAATTGATAAAAAACCGATTCTGAAATAGCCACTACACTCTGGAGGGCATTATCTGGTCCATGAGCAAGCCTGAGGAGAAGCAATTTCCAACACGAGTTGTGAAATCCGAAGCACCAACGGTTGAAAGATGGCCTGAAAAGGGTTTCAGATAATCCGAAAAGCCTCCATTCCTCTAGCGCTTCAACCCCCATGTCGACATAGGATTGATCGCTGTCAAGCGGCGCATAGAAAATGTTCCGGCCACGTACTATCCCCAACCAAGTTGTGATGATATCGCCAGCAGTAGCATTGGTTGAGTATAGACCTCGTACTTCTGCGTATCAAGGTCGAACGCGGGACTGGAAAGACGCCGGGTCATTGTCATTGCAGGGATCGGGCAGCAAAACAACTCCACAGAAAGGGCAGTAAACATTGGGACTCATAATCATCGAGATACAGGTCATGTGTTTCCGTACCATTGATTTGAAGTGAGCAAACTCCTTTTTGAGATGGATTCCTAGTCAGGCAGTGGAGATCGGATGGTTGCCTGATAGTTAGGCTAGTAGCCTTAGATAGTTCTGAGAGACCCAATAACTAATACAACTCTCTCCCTTCTCTCTACCTTTCGATTTGTAAGGTCAACACTTCTGGACTTAATAATAAATGTATTTCAACAAGGGCGACATAACGCTGCTAGGTGGCTTTGGTAGGAGTGTGCGAGATTAATCCATCCTTGTAAGTATTACACAGAAAGATGCCATCATACCCTAAACAAGCTATCTTTAGCAAAATCGCATGGTATGGTTAGCACCCATGAATATGCGCACAAACTGCAAAAAGCATCATCCCAAACTCATCTGTCGACTGCACCCACCGCCCAATCCGCTTCCTCCTCGCCTCCGACCCCGTCTCCGACGATCCCCACAGCTCCGAAATTTGCAGCATCCCATCCCCCCATTTCGACAGGTGCCGATTATACTCCCTCGTCCAAGAGCATCGATCAGAAGCCTCCCACAGCGCTTTACTCTCAGGAACAAGAACATCCCCCAACTCATCCGACAGGAAATTTGGAAGACCTTTGTCGGAGTTGTACACATTCGTGAAGAGGTACATTGTAAACAGCGTGCGTCGTTTGGAAGAGGCGATGATCCAGGATTCCCAAGTTGGCCGCGTTCGTGAAAGCTCGGCTTTGCAGGCGAAACCTGCTTTTGCAGTGCGGAAGGCAAGGTCTTGGAGGGTTACCATACTCATGTCGTCTCCTAGGGAGGCGTTTTCGATTGGGAAGAAGTAAGCTGTTAATAGGTAAATGAGGTATACTTGGAAGGAACATAATGTGTCGAAGTCACTTGTCGTGTCCTAATCCATGGTCAAAGGAGTATTTTCGATGGAAGAAAATAAACTGTACCTCCCGGGATAGTCTCTCCATCTCCTGTCTGACGGTTGATAAGACAATTGCCTCACTTCCAGCAACTCTGTTCATCCACATGCGCACCAGAGAAAAGCAGTTTGCTATTGTTCTCGGCATCGCTTTGTTGTTGAGTTGCAGTGGGTGAATGAATGGAGGGAGGCTTTTCTCATCGAGAAGATGGTTGGGGTGCGAGCGAAGCACGCAGGTGACGAACTGCGCAGTAAACGGGTTAAACAGCTTCGGGACCTGTCCCGTCGTAGTGAGAAGGTAAGGTTGCAGCCAGCTATCACGGATCTTTTCGGCGTCTATCATTGGCACGAGGTCAATGTGATCAAAATTCAGATCGGTGTCCACCGTCTGTGTAGATTCGTGCTGAGAGTAGATGTGCGGTATATCCGATGCATGGCCAGACATAGGACTCGATAACGCTGTTGCGGTCGAGGTAGCGGAAAAGTTTGCAAGTGACGGCTCAAAGCTGAGACTCTCATCTGCTGAGATTCTTTCACTCGAGACCACAGGGCTTAATCGATGTACGTCGTCGGAACCCGCAGGGTACCGACACTGCTTGCCACGAGTCCAGCATCGTGAGCAGGTTGGCTTCTCGAGGCTACATCGGACCTTGGATTCCGTGCAGATCTGGCAGGCCTTTTTGCGCGGTGGACCTTGTTTTCTGATTTTCATGGTTGATTTCGGATTCATGATGTGAACTTGGTCTTGAAGATGGACGGTCGGTACCCCGTACTCGCCGCAACGGAACTCCGAATCTGGCATTCGACCCGCATTATATACACGTTGCCACATAGAAATGCTCCCATTCCACATCTGAAACTCAATTCTTTCAATTTCCAAACAAGACCAATTCCCAAGTTTATACGATCAATATTTATAGTACTACATGTATGTAGAATTCGAAAACAGTTTACCCCTTGGGCACACACAGTGTGTTTCTTGGCCCGTAACAAAAGCCGGTCTAAGCCTAATATGGCCAAGCCGTAGAGAATTCTAGTCTGTGAATGGAGGTTAATTTACCGCCTATCCTAATATAGATTTGCCTTGTTTCGGGTACCGACCGAGATACTAGTATGTATCACTCATGCACGACAAGCATTGCACCCCATTTGAGCGCTTGGAGGGAGAACCTCAGGGAATAGCGATCTCTAACAACTCAAATATCAGCCTACGAGTGGAAACACCCATTGGTGACAAGTTTCCCCCTTTTGATGACTTTTGAGCAGCTTTTCCCTATGCATATCGGAGACTCTTCAAAAAAAGAGGCTTTTGAAAAAAAGCCCAAGCAATTAAGGAAGCAGTAATTCACGCTTCAAATGGTTTCTGTTGTACCAAACATTCAGGAACTAATTGACTCAAGCTTTCAATCTGCTAGCCTATGGCTTCTCGGCCATGCTCTCCGGATCTTGGTCAAGGCCGCCGGCCGCCTCATCAAACAGGTGTGGAAACCATCTCAAGATCCTGTCTCTGCAAACTTCGTACCCGGCTCCCATACGCAGAACTTTCATGTTTTCAACATCAAGATTGACGCCACCGCAGCCGTACGAATGCCACTTTTGCAGGCCGTAATTAACGATCAAATCGACACATGCAAGCACGGTGGGTTCCACATCTTCAATCCGAAATCGTTGCCCTTGTCCAGTAAGATTTGCGGAAGTTCCGAACATCAACATGCCCTGAGGGTCGACATCGCAAAGCCGACCGAGCTCTCGCAGGAAAGGTCCTTCTGGAACGGCGATGCTGACCGTGTCTCCTTTTGTGATCTGAGAGAGTGTGGCCTTATCCAGCGCCGCCAAACGCGGGTGAAGGCTCTTTGAATCGAACTTGGCGATGATTCCGATTATCATGCCCATATCCTCCGTCAACACGCGCGTTAATTCGAATTTTGACTCCGGCAACAAATGGATCTCTCGATGTTGCTGATACGTTCCAATGATACCGATGTTATGGCTGTCTCGACGACCTTTGGCGGCAAAGATTCTTTGAATCCCGGCCTGACAACTGGACAGAAGTGCATAGCCTACATCGGTTGGGGCGATGATAACTCCGCCGGACTTGAGAGTCTGATAAGCTTGTTGGGCGTCATGACGCACATTTGGCACATTTCCTGGTTCTGGAACTGTACGGGGAGGCATGAGGATAGTAACTTTGTCGGAAATACTGGTGGAAAGAGTGCTTGAGCGATTCTAAATCCGTCTGTATTGGGATTGTAAAGGATTCGCAAGGTGATTTAAATAAGCTGGGGGGATTGTGACGTAAGTCTTCAGATCTAAAGGAGCGAACTATGGAGCCGGAGTCCCGGTTCCCTTCCACGGTTGGCTCAAAGTTTATTTTCGGAATTCAGAAATTGGGATCCACCTGAACTGCGATGTTGTTCGGAGTTCCGAAAATCTAATGAAGAATGGACTATAAAAGACCAATTAGACTTGAAAAGTTCACCAGCTATTTAGTTTCCTTCACTCTTTTAACCACCCCTGTATACTTGAAAAGGGTTCTTGCAACCTGCTCCTAATTCATCGTACCTCTTGCCAAGGGTTTGCCACGATGAATGCTCTAATCCGCGAGAGCTTGTTTGGACGCCTCTTGAATGTTTTAACCAGTAACAAGGTCTTGCCATATCCTGATATTGAGGCACCTAAATTCAAGGCGCTGTCGACTTCAGCTACGTCAACCACTTCGGTGACGCCCGAGACCGGCCAACAGTTTATCGTTGAATTCTCAGATGACGATGACCCAGACATGCCCAGGAACTGGTCACGGTTATCGAAAACGCTCGTCATGTTGGATGTGATGTTCCTGAATTTCAGCTTCTATGCCGCCTCGGCAATCTTCACACCAAGTATTCCTGGTATAGAGGATCAATTCGGCGCCACGACTGCTGAAGGAACTCTGGGGCTATCACTCTTTGTCATTGCATATGGCATTGGACCTTTGTTTGTACGACACACCAAACTCAAACACCTACTTTGGCTAATAGTCTGATTTACTTTCCCTAGTTATCTCCATTGTCAAATCTCCCAGCTATCGGCCGCACACCAGTGTATGTGCTGGGATCTCTCGTCTTTTGCCTGTTAAACATCGGAACCGCTCTTGGAAAGAACATTGAGACTATCCTCACACTTCGATTCTTGGGTGGTTTCTTTGGAAGCGCTCCGATAAGCGTTGGAGGAGCAACCCTGATGGAAGTATACGGGCCGGGTGAAGCGCCGTATGCGATTGCTTTATATGCAGTAAGCGGGGTTTGTGGGCCGATTTTAGGACCGGTATGTCCTCCGTTCTACCATTAAGCATGAGTTACAAGGTCAACTAATCCCCGCTCTCAGATATTCGGGACACTAGTGGTGTTAGTACCTTCTCAGCTCTATACCCTAGTTATGGTTGCTAACTCATATAGTGAGCGTTGGCACACTTGGACAGCAAGTTTATGGCTTATTGCTGGAATTACCGCTTTCACGACGTTGTTCATCTTCTTTCTATTACCGGAGACCCTGTCTTCCAACATTCTTCTTCGTCGAGCGCAACGTCTTCGTACACATACTGGAAGTCCCTCATACCGAAGCCAATCTGAGATGGATACACCGAGGACAAGTTTTGGCGCCATGATCTTCAAGCAGATAGTGGACGATCTTAAACTATCCTGCACCGATCCCGTGATAATTTTCGTGAACATACACACCATGCTGATATATGGAATTCTGTATCTATGGTTTGAATTCTTTCCGTTTGGTAAGGCGAAACTGTCCAATTTAGCAACTTTCATCCCTTGGCTTACAACCTTTTTTTAGTTTTTGACGGAATATATCATTTCAGTCCTATACAACAAGCCCGTGTGTTTCCCTGTTGTTCAACCTGGGGGTTCGTTTAGGCTAATATGTTCTTTGGCAGTTGCATTTTTCGGTATCCTCGTCGGCGCAGTCATATCCGTCGTGACATACATGCTCTGGCTTCGATTATCCTACCAGCCCCGCGCATCTAAGCCAGAATCCAGTATCGAGCCTGAAGCAAGACTAGTTCCAGGACAAATCGGTGCCGTTTGCATTCCGATCTGTTTGTTCATATTTGCGTGGACATCAAGACCAAGGTATGCTTGATCAAACAGTACTAATAGAAATTCGTACTTACTAGTACAATTTTAGTGTACACTGGGTGGTTCCCATAATTGGTACCGCTTTTTTTGCGCCAGGTTTTTACCTCACTTTCCAGTCCGTTCTCAATTATCTTGGAGAATCTTATCCGAGACACGTTGCGAGTGTGTTTGCCGGCAACACCTTTTTTAGGAGCTCATTTGGAGGTGCATTACCTTTGGCTGCCCCTCGGATGCTGCAGTCTCTTGGGATTGGCTGGTCATCTAGCGCATTGGGATTCATTTCCATCGCTATGCTTCCTCTTCCCTTCATTCTGGAAAGGGTAGGTTGAAACTTATCCTGCAGTTTCCTTTATCATCAGCTAATCCATTTGGTAGTATGGAAAGACACTACGCTCGTGGAGCAAATTCGCAAACTAGGGCACAGGGCTCAAGCGCTTAGTCTCGGTGTCATATTGCGCAGGATTCTAGCAGTTCTCAGATGGTGGTGCTAAGAAGGATGCATGTCATGAAGGAAGTGGAGGTATGGTTGTATAGGAGTTTCGTGTAAGATACAGTGTTAGACGTAAAGCAGTTGTTCTAGTATTAATAAATTTCTGCATACTATGTACTATTATTCTTAGGAAAGATTTATTTATGTCGTATCGTAAAATGAATTGGCGGGGTTTCGGGTTAGGGCAGAGAAACAAAGTGTGAGAGTCTACCAGTTAGGGGTAAACTGTATGTATGTACTAATATTTTGCCCATAATCTTTCCTGTACTCGCAATAGATCATAAGTTATGTTGAATTAAAGAGACAAGGGTAATCATATTGTTACGGGAACTGCTACCCTCAAAATCTACACAGAGCCTCTTGAAGTGACCATATTCCCTGTGCTGGTCACTTTCCAGCATGTATTCAGTTTCCGCACATAACAAGCAAGGCAAACAGCTGTCCAGAACGCCTGCCTATCGTTAGCATTCTCGCTACTGCGAGCACAGATTGGAAACTGGGAGTTTCACAGATTTCTAGTGGAGGACAGCGACCTAGATCGGATGAAAATAGATCTAGAATTTACAATATGGAATACCGCCCATCCCACCAATAAGAAGCCAGAACGGAATTCCACTGGAATAGCCATGGATATCGTACCTGAACAATGCAGGCATCCCGGCAGGGTTACCGCTATCCCAGAGTAAATTAATCTCAAGAGTAGGCTGCCAGACTTATGCAAGAAAAGCCATGGTCTCAATTTATGGCCTAGAGGGGCTATATTCCGTTCTGACATTCCGCCCAAAATATGTCCCATGTCGATTCAGAGATGACATTACACATTGAACTTGTACATAGATCGAAGTATGATTCGTGGAGACTTTAGGTTTACAAGCAATCTACATATTATTATATGAGTTTTAACGAGAGGCTGGTGGCCAAGTTGCAGAAGACCTAATAGCTTACTCCTATACAGCCTGACTTCCTAATTGGGCCTCCTACCTAATTAATATAATTGCCTTTTTAGGACTAGTGGAATTCCTAAACTGTATAACTAACTACCTACCTACATACGTACACATATGTAGGTATGTAATTGATTAGTCTTAGTTAATCTAAACTGATCATAGAATAAGAAAATGGAATACCCCAAGACACGCTCTCATATTTATTTCTGAACTATTCATTCCTAAGACTACCTCCAACACTGTTGAGCATGCTATCCACCTTGCCCTGATTAATACCACAACGACCAAATATATCACTCCTATACGGAGCTGGATATCTTTGGGGGACCTCCTTCTCGCGCCAGGGGAGCTTGTCGCGCGCCACCACATCTGCCGTGATGCCACACCCGGATTGTTCGCGGCGACAGATTGCACCGAAAGCAGATGGCTTTTCAGCCGATCTTGGAAACGTACCGATCACACTAGACGAGCTCGAAATCGATTTGTACCCCGTATCGCGCTCTCGTACCGAAGGTTAGTATACATATGCCCTTGAACTTATGAACTGAGATCAATCCACCCACTCATCATGACACACAGGCCCATGCTTTGCTCAAGAGAGCGTGATTGTCACGTGGGACGGAGGGGATGACCCCAAAGATCCATACAATTGGCCCCTTTGGAAGAAATGGCAGGCCACGGGCATTGGCTTGCTTGCGAGCTTTGTCTGCTCGATGAATGGGACCATCCTAACGGTGGCTCATACGGCCATTGGGGAAGAGTTTCACATTTCCGATGCGACGTTCCCCAATTCCTACTGGCTAACAACATCTTGGGCTATCGGGGCCGCGCTGTGTCCGCTTCTTCTGTTTCCTGTGATGGAGGACTTTGGCGTTCGACCTGTCCTTCTCACCACCTATTTTTGCTTTATTTGTTTTTTGATTCCTGTAGGGCTGGCACCAAACTTTGCCACCCTAATTGTGGTTCGATTCTTCAGCGGAGGATGTGTTCCGCTGATAAGCGACGCCGTTGCCGGTATTACATCGAATGTCTTTCACGGCGATCGAGCCCGGAGTCTCCCAATTTGTCTGTACGTGACCATCTATCTGGCGGCGACAAGCCTGGGCCCGGTCGTTGGCTCTGCCATCCTGCAATTCCTGTCATGGCGCTGGATTGGTTACATCGAATTGATCTGGACCGCTGCCCTATTTCCGATCCTGATCTTCGGTCTGCCAGAGAGCCGCGGGCCGGCGATCCTGCGCGCTAGGGCCAAACGACTGCGCTGCGAGGGGAAGAACGCGTACACTACCGAGAAGATCGATCAAGTAGCATTGCCTCAGCTTATCCTGCTGAGCGTTCAACGGCCTCTGTACATGCTATGTACTGAAGGGGTCGTGTTCGTTGCGACGGTGTGGGCTGCCTTCAGCTTGGGAACGATCTATCTTTTTACGCAGTCGGTCGAGCAGGTATACAAGGAGCTATATGGGTGGGATCCCATCCAGTGCGGGTATATCCAAGCTGCGATTGTGATCGGGGAACTCCTGGGCGGTGGATTTTGCATCTTAACCAATCCCTGGTACTATGCATCTGCTACCCGCAATACCGAGGCACCGGGCACGCCGATCCCGGAGGCTCGGCTACATGCATCGATCATTGGTGGATTCTTTGGTGTCACGGGCGGCATGTTCGTGTATGGGTGGACATCGTACACTTCCATACACTGGATGGCACCCACCGTCGGCCTGGCGATGGTGGGGTTTGGGACGACAGCGGTCATTGTTGGTAATGCTAACTATCTCATCGACGCGTACAGCAAGTATGCTGCGAGCGCCCTCGGGGCGGTGGGTTTCGTCGAGAACATCTCTATCGCTTTTCTCCCTCTGGCCGCAGCAGCCATGTACACGAATCTTGGATTTCAGTGGGCCAGCTCGCTGCTTGCATTTGTATCTTTGGCCCTGGTGGCGACTCCTTTTGTGGTCCTCCAATGGGGCAAAGAGATCAGATCTTACAGCCCATTCATGCAAGAGGCCACTGTAGAGCGGCGGCGAGACAATGCCGCAGCCGAAGGTGTATAAGAGCGGGACCATACCTAGGTACTCGGGCTGTCGCACCCCATGTCGCCCCTTCGGTTGTTGGGGACTGTAGTTCTAAGTCCTCGCCAATATGCCCAAAAAGCTTGAGGCAGTCGCACAGAAAATCTGGGCGAGAACATGGAACCATAATTGTCCCTTTTCCCCATGTTTTGAGAGACAAATCAACATTTTTACATTGCATTAGATTATTCATACATCCCGGGACAGTTTGTTCCATGCTGAATTACCATCAGGTTGACTTTCCGCGGCGGCGCTGCCTTTGACGCGATTCTATGCCCTGCTGGTCTTGGTCTTGCACCAAGCATGGGATAGCACAGTACTAGAGCTATACTAGCCAGTGGAACTTGCTCAACTACCCGGCCATCGTGTTCCTTGTTGGCAGGGCGTATGCCAACGGTCACCGGAAGAAAAGAGTATCTACCCCCATGACGCGTGCTGATAAAGATAATTGGGATCTCTGTAAGCCAGCAGCCCAGATCCACCTTTATTAAAAGTTGACTGTGAATGTATATTGACTTTTTGTTTGGATCATCCAAAGCAAAGCCGCATTTGCAACGGATAACAAGACACGGTGTGTTTTCGATCCACGACGTGACCCCACCACACGTTCTCAAATCCCTTCGCCTCCTGCTCTGCCCATACTTCCTCAAGCAACGGAATGGTGCTCCCAAACATCTGATACCGCGTCCGGTCATTCCACACCGAGCAGAACTGCACGATCCTCTGCCGTACCGATCGATCGCGTTGTTCGCAGCCCGCAAAGAAGAGCGGCAGCAACGCCTGCCGGGCGACCATGCTCTCGTCGCGACATGCGACCACATGGTCCACAATTACCCGGGCCCAACGGACAACGTGCATTGGAATCGGGCTTCCCGGCTTCCATCGGAACACGCGGTAGATGTAGAGAAGCAGGCCGTGTCTCCATGCCTCCGAGCAGTGCATACAATCTTGGTCTTGTTGGATGTCCTCTTCGCTACCGAAGGCAAGTGCGGCAGGGGAGATGTGATGCCAGGACTCGAGCGCTTGCTCGATTTGGGCAATCACCGTGGTGTCGAAGGTCACGTACCGCATGGACGACGATTGGCGTTTTTCGGCACTCAGACGCACAACTTGCATGACCAGCGTGACCACACTGTGTGGGCACCCGCAGAGGTCAAAGAAATTCCACTTCCGATCATCGGGGTTCGATAGGATGGCTTCGACGTATGCGTACGGGAACACGCAGTCTTCCCGGGATAAGAGACTGGTGATGGCATCCCACCTAAATAGTTTAGCTGGAAGGGCCGGGCTGATTTTGCGTAACATTTTTGGGGGGGGGGGGGGGGGGGGGGGGGTTTAATATACCACAACAGCAATCCTATTTGAGCGTCTGCCCGAGCGGACGTGGTCCATGCTTCGATTCCCCCGCACGCTTCGATGAGGCCATAGGCTCCCTTGAGATGTGTGCTCCAGTATCCAAGGGTGGATTGAGTTTCCTAACTTTCGTTATCAACTTGGATTAGGTCCGAACAACAAACATAAAGGTGCAAACTAACGTCGAAGGAAAATAAGATCATAATCGTATCAAGCATGGAGGAGCCATCTTCCACATTACCGGATGCGTTGAGGCTCTTGCGGAGGAGTTTTAATGCTGTATAGCGATGGTCATCGGTTGATGGACTCTTAACATGATGACCCGCCAAAGCCATCACCGCATGGACCAGAAACATAGGTTCCGGAACGATGGTTCTGCGGTATCGAAACGGATTCATCTGTAGGTCGGACGTTAATGGGATCGTGCAGAATTCCATATTGTCTATGACTTGTTAGTGGGCATTGACAGGAGCGACTGGGAGCAGAATAAGCGAACATCTCTCAAGAATAGGCCCAAACCGCTGCCAGATATTATTGTACAGTACGCTCGGTGGCATAGATGTAGTAGTGTTGGGGAGGTCTGAAGCTGCCACGGGACTTGGCTCTATAGTAGCGATTTGACTCGACCATTCATAGAAGGCGTCTCCCTCAGCTAATTGTAGCTGTCCGTCGTCTGTCGATGTAGATGAACACGGGGATTGGCCTTGGTCTTCGCTGTTACAGCGATGCAGTTGTAATTCAACTGTCCTAGAATCGGTCTCGGGGCCGGGAGAATCAGCAGCACTAGTTGGCCATGCATCACCCGAGACCTCAAATGGCGTCTCTACGGAGGGGCTGGCTTCCTCGGAAACGTTGACTTGAGAACGAGTTTCATGTTAGCCCATAACCGTAGATTACTATTAGTCTTTAGAAGCCAGACAAAGGACAGGTCAATACCATCAGGTTCTGAGTTATTTTGCCTCGTAATTAGTAATAGGTTCAACAGGCGCTCCGGAGGGTGGATAAATAATGGCTGGTTGAAAGTGTATGGTCTTACGATCTCTCATAGGATGCTCTGCAACGAACACAAATTGCTGAGGTCCATCTGCGTTTCCCAACCGACCCCTATTGGTCCTACGGGCTGCTGACCTTCTTACGGGCCTATTGGAGAGAGAATATCCTGGCTTCCAGGATAGCTGCATTTTAAGCGTTCCGTAGATACCGAGTAGGGTATGGCCCGATTGGTCGCAATGTTCGCATCGAGCATTGACGGATACCTTGTGAAAAGGGGCATCCTATGAGGGGCGGTTGCGAGCAGGGATCAGTTAAAATGCCTTGAGCGGTCAGTACCTAGGTAGGCACCGGGTATAAGCTTAGTAAGAGTATATAGCATTTCAGCAGTATAGAAAAAGGCCAAGTTAATGGCATATAAACAAAAGAAAGAAAATGAATGACAGGGATATCTCAATGGTTGGTCTCTTCCTCGCCCTCCTTGCACTTAGAGATGTTCTTGTGGACATAAGTCTCCCCTGAAATGTAATTGAAATGAGGAAAAAATGTTAAATTTCAATAATTTCGTAATGAGTTGGCCAATTTTGTTATCACACCATCCATCCCCAATGTTCCATAGTTATCCACGTAATTAAATCCAAGGTTCCAACCAAGTTCTGGCTCCTGTTTCTTAAGGTCCCCTAACCACAACCACCTCATTCTTAGAGATCCACGGATTGTGTAACTACGTTCAAACACATTAGCTCGCACCTAATATTATACAACTGTCCTCCGTACTCACCTTTGCTTTTGTGTCAGTTCACCACCCCGCGCCATTACTTATTAGGACAATCCACAGGGCGGCCTCCCTTGTAAACCGTTTACGATACATCGTATACGGGTTTCAGGAGGTGTGGGAGGAAAAAGAACGCGACAACAGTTGACAATGTTGACAATGTTACTCAGTGGAGCTGCCGTAACAGTAACAAGGACTAGTGAAATCACCAGACCAAAAAGGATCGTAGTATTAAAGATATACATATCTCAAATATAATATTTGCAATATTTGCACTTATCAAGGTAAATCGATTTATGTATTGATAAGCCAAAAAAGTAGGTTAATAGCTTAGGGAGGGCATAACTTATAGTTTTTAGAATATTATAACGCTCGTATACATTTGACAACAATATATCGAGTGGCAAAGCCCTTAGTCTAGAACCCTTATCGATAATGTCATTGTGAACATTACCTATGCTCTAGAAGGCTCTAGGTAGTAGGCATTACCGAATATAAAATAAATAACGTGCTTCCCAAGAGACCCGGCCACCCAAAGTACCTTTGTAAATGCGATTTGGACCACCTCCTCTTCCTCTCCTACAATAATCGTCATAGTTATCCGCACAATTAAAATTCAAGGTTCTAACCTCGTTTTGTTCTCGTTTCTTAAGGTCCCCTGACCACCTTATTCTTAGAGATCCACGGTAGACTGCGCCAAAGCCCACAAATGCGTACAGAGTCTCGGCCCATAGCCTAACCACTAAGCCCATGGGCCCCCATCTCGACCTATTTCCTACATAATTTTCCTACTTAAGGTGACTTGTGTATAATCTTGCTGATTGACCGGAATAAATACTGTTATTTACCGCTGTTTCTTTTCTGCATTTCCGTCGCCAATTCGAAAGCCGGTTTCGTCAAAATTGTGAAGGTTCTTTGCAGTAATTCCGTGGGTTTTAATAGTAATGTCTAGGCAATCGATCTAAGAAACCATAAAACCAGGTTCAATTGCTTCCTACCTTGCCTTCTCTATAGGCTTTTGCTTAATTGGAGCAAAGCGTGGTGGTAGACGAGAAATAAACTTGTAGGCCCAGTTTCTACCTAGGGTTCTCGACGGGTCATATCGTCGGATGATTTGTAGTGCAGGACTATGAATTCGCGCCATAGAACGCGGAGAAAAGGCCTGGTCTTAGGTGTCAATCCACAGAATCAGGGCATTATTCGCGACGATGCGCCATTTTAGAGGTTTACGACCCAGAACCTGCTCCCGTAAGGTATGGTATGGAATGTCGAATTTTTGGGTGAAATTCGCGATTTAGGCTTCTTGGCTTCATAGAAGGCTTGTAGGGCATTCTTAATACGTTCTTCTAATTCTTGAGGCATAACTCAAATAATTGGGGGGTGGAGAGAATTAAAGAAGGTTGGTCGGTTTGGAAAAGTTTGCATTATGGGTGGAACCCGGACACAGCCTCAGGGGTAGAAGTCACCTTCAACACCTAATATCAGACATTCCCTGTGATATGAACGAAACCAGACAACGCGCACCCTTGCCAACTGAACAAAATGGGGAGTCGACATGAGTACTGAATGACTTCAATAAATATGTCAGAACGTTGGATCAAGAACCTTGGTTCATAACGTCAGCATGGGAATAAGGTTTCGGATGATCGACCATACATCACATAGCGAACGCTAGACTTCGTAGTAGACTGCTTTATGATAATTAGCCTCTTGGATGTAACATGGCTGTGAGCTTGCCGGAGCGTGTGAAGTGATTATAGCTAGGTTGCCAAGCAGGCATGGAAGCTGTGGGGTAAGGCTTTAAGGCCAGCCTAGATTTCTATGCAACAGATGATCAAGAATAAGTTCTACCAATTATGAAAAAGCTGGTGTATGATCTTTTAGACGAAAAATGTTCTAATCCAGCCTTATATAAGGATAATTGACGTACGCCGAGACAGCCAAGACGAAAGTAGGTGGCGACAGGCGGGGTGCTGGGCAAGCTTGGCTCAATATTCATAGGATACCCGTCGCATGGCCTTCACCAAAGCAGACCAATAACACGATTAGGTGGGCCAGCGAGATATAGCTAATCCCGACTGTGAAGATTAACGTGAAGGTTTTGCCCTGATGTATCTTTTAACACGGTACGCATACCCACTAAAGTCTGCGTTTAGGAGTGTACATTGTCCAGTCGGATTTTGTTGGCAGAGATTATTTAACAATCCGAACAAATAAAGTTCCAAAAAGAAAAGCAAAGAAAAACGAACATTGCGCATTTCATCGTCTATCATCACGGCTATTTCGTAAATTTCGTCAACTCCCCTGAACCAAGTCTGTAACCCAAAAATGTGTCTCAGTGGCCACCATTCGAGGGGCCGTCATCACCAAGACACCCGTACAGTTCGGCCGAGAGATAAAACGTGTTAGATCGCTTGCCGTCCAACTTCTCCTTCATACTCACCCAGCTATGAATTCCACGACCAGCCTCCAACGGCCGGCGCTGCACGGCGCTGATAGCGTTTCTATACCTCTCTCGGTAGAGCCGAGGCGCAGAAATGGCATCCATGTACGCTTCAATGCGCTCCTGCGCTTCGGCATCATTTGCCGGGTAGCTGTCCATTGGGTAGAGAACCGTACGAGCTGCCGGCCGAGACGGATCTTTGTTCTTGAAATGGAAACAGGATAACCCAGGTTTCCCCCGGTAAGGTCCAAGCGAGCCACCAGCCATAATAGAGTAGAACAGCTCGATTGCATGGGCGCTGGAATTGGGATCCATTTTGACATGCTTTTGGGCGATTTCCGTCGCAGACGCACCGCGGTGTGCAACGTATACCTTGACTTCGGCGTCTTCTGGGTTCGGCGATAGGCCAAGCGAGAAGTAGATGGGATAGTCGTCGCCAGTCATGATGCTCTCCAATAATTTCCACGAGCTGGCCAGCCCCAAGCGCTCCAGAGCCTCTCGGGTCACGTTGAATGCGTTTTGCCTCCCCGAGGCTAGTGGATCCAGGTAAATCTTCCACTTTTCCAAGGAATTTGAGGTAGCGAAGCTGTGCCATGACGCCAATTTACCCTCAGCATCTGAGGGGAGAAACAAATCTCGAACGAGATTCAAGCGGTCCAAGGAGACCTTTGTGGGGCCATACTCTGTCGCTATGTCGTCAGTCAAGCGCGAGGTTCTTTCTTGGAGGGCGGCTAGGCTGTTTTCTTCGGGCTGGGCCTCGATCAAGAATCGCAGCTCTGATCCTCCGGTCTGTTGGGACAGAGCCAATGAGTACTCAAAAGGCGAGTGATCATTGCTCACGTCAGAAACCCAGGCCGATGTGTCCAGCTTCTGTGGTATGGCGTTTTGACACCATTCCCCCCGGAAAACCTCAAGGCGTGCAACAGCTTCTCTCGCGTGACTTCATCTTGTCCAATGGCTTTAGAAAGACGTGTAATTTGCCGACTGGCCTCGCTAATATAGTTACCGTTGATAACCTGGTTCATGAGAGCTGCAGCAGGCGCCGCCGGCATGGTAGGCTTGATTGCAGTTGTGGTGTGTTGGCATTGGTAGGCGAATTGGTGACTTTGCGTGTACAACCAGGGGTTTAATTTCTTCTGGTGTAGGAGAGCCATATCTGATGTAAAGTTGGGACTGCCAACGTATCATCAACTCTAGGATGGGGTTATGTATGCGATGGGTGTATTCAGCCGAGGGTGGGCTCATATAGGATTGGGCTGCTACTCGCAAATCATTCCTCCACCTGAAATGCGGTGTAGACAAATAAATGTGATTTTTAAACTACCTGTAACTATCAGAAATACTTTATGCTCTTCTTTACGCTTTTGACAGAGAACTTCCTAGTACATAGCGTTTGAAACAGTGAGATGAGCGCTTACTAGGTACATATAAGAAAGCCCCCGTTGGAATATAGATTTAGACAAGCATAGAACAGAATACATACAATATTTGCTACATACAATTATTCTACTGGTCCCAATAAGCGACAAGATTCCCTGTTGGACCACGTGGGAGGACAAAACGGGTAATCCTTCGCGGGGTATAATATGAACACCACTATCAGAACGAGATGAAAACGTGATAAATGTGATAATTCAGTAATGACATTGTGTGTGATTGTGCATTGCTTTACATGCTAGGGTACCTTTAGTCCTGATTTTTGGCCCCTAAGCTAAGCACTAGTACTAGAGCGTTCTGATTAGGAATATGGCCCCCATTCCAACATTGCAACATGCAGCAGGCCAGATTGGTATATTGTTCTACCATTCAACTAATCATACAATTATAAAATCTATGTTAATTCTTCAGGGCTATTTATAAAAAATTTCTAGTGATCATATCCCCGGTCTAGGTTGTGGTGATGAAACGATATCTTATACGACATTTGTAGGATATAGTGCGGAATACGGAGTACGGAGTAAGCACGGAGTAGTTTCGTGTTATCTGCAGGTTTACGGAGTATATGCACATTATATATTAAACTATAGCATATTACTCTGCAGCACTTAGATGGTTATTCACATGGGCATAATATAAAACCACCAACTGTATTAAAATGACACACCCTTACTAAAACCTGCCTAGCTTTGCCTAGCTTTGCCCAGGAGAGGCAGGGTAGAAGTAATAACGAAAATAAAAGGAAAATCCCGCTGCTATTACTAGGTACATAGGTACCAACTTAAGATAACCACCCATTATGCCGATATTGCGAATTATACCCTGCAGCCGGGTCTAATTAATCTTTCGGTTTCTTCATTTCGCCCTTCCCCCAAGAGACTATCCCTTGGAACCTCCCAACGAACAAAGATCTATGCTTATATGTTTGACCTCGTGGCTCAAGCAATACAATGGAAGGAATGAACCCCATTGCAGCCATTGTACAACCATCCGCCATAAAGCCTCCAGTCTTCGTGGGATTGGCAAGCGCTCTATGTGCACTTACTGGCAGCATCATTGCGCTACGGCTTTGGACTAATTTCACCCACAATCGAAAGCTTCACGTTGATGACTGTACGTATAGTCTTTTTGGTGTCAGTGGGAATGTTGATGGCTAGCCAAGCTTACGTTGGCAGACTTAAGCGTGCTCGCACTCCTTTTCTTGATATGGAATTCTGTCACCTTCTCCATGCTGTTTGATGGTAAGAATTTCACCAATCTGATATGTGAGCCCACAGACAAGAAGAAGTGACTAAGTTCAAAACAGTGTTGAACTCCAATCCTAACGATGTAACGATTGAACATCTTACAAGGGTATGGCTGCGATAGCTTTCTATACAAGATATTCCCTTTCATCAGGTTGTTGGCTAATATTTCCTGGCAGCTCGTTGCGGTCGGAATCGCCTCAGGAAACAGTGCAATCTACAGCGCAAAGTTGCCTCTACTTTTCATGCTCATCCGGATCTTTGGAATCAAGGATTGGTTGCGCTGGATGTGTATATGTCTCATCGTCGTCGGAACTTTAGGCGGCGTGATTACGCTGTTGTATGCGGGAATCTCCTGCAGCCCAGATCTTCACGAGCCAACTCCACCATTCTTGTTCTCGTGCGTCGGCGCCCTCACAAACGCGACCATTGCCCGTGGCTCCATATCGCTTGCCATCGATGTCATCGCATTCGTCGTCCCGATCCCAATCATCGTGAATCTTAAGATGCCGCTTCGTAGGAAGATCGGAGTGGCCTTTGTCTTTGCTACGGGCCTTCTGTGAGCTCGGCTATTTTTCCCCTGTTGACTTGAGCAAATTTACTGACTACGATCCTTCGTAGCGCCATCGCAGCTAGCGCATTGGGTTTGTATTTCCAGAAAGCGCAGTCCGAGGAATCCTCTACCAATTTTGCCAATGCTTTGCTTGTCACGTAAGTTTGTCAACATCAACATCACGGTCCTCCCGTCCCTCGCTTCTCGCCTCCACAACCCGTTCCAGCCCCCAGCGAGCCTCTCATTGACAAGCCCACTAGTGTTATCGAAAGTGCCGTCGTCCTCATGGTCAGCTGCACGCCTGCCATTCATGTATTCTGGACCAAACATGCAGGCTTCTTGCGCAGCAGCTTTGGACTGCTAACCTCATCACACACCAAGTCGAAGCTTTCGGAATCCAAAACCAACCTGGGAGCAACTACTAGCTCAAACTCAGATCGCACCCAGGTCCACGCACATGAATACGTTGAACTAGAGGAACACACGTATATGGGGAAGCCACCATATGAGTCTGAGGTGTTGAGGGTTAAGCAATACGTGTAAGATATCATTTTGAAACGTTTAGTGTATTTGGGCTTGTGTTGGATTGTCTTGATTCAAGGGGGCTCAGCCGTCTTACCCCTCTTCAATAATACAGAAACAACACGATATATAGCGCACATGTCAAACCATAGAAGCCCTGAAGCTGGGATGCGACAATCGACGTTTAGCTACGATCCTCCACATGTAACGATCGACGATGCACGACCCGCTTTTCTTACCCACTCTTTCAACGTCCGGACTCAGATCGTTCGGGGTGAAGAGTTAAGGAATGATTTCCGCTGCACTCAATAATGAGATTTTCTGTCTGGAACAGGACAACTAATGCAAAACAATGTGGACATTTAAATCGATATTCTTGGGCGAGTCGGCTGTGGGACGCCTTCAAAGTCCTCGGCTACAACAACCAGTGGGTAACGTTACATTTCTGTAGCTAGTATTCCTTTAAATTAAAAATCAAACTTTAATCAACGCATTGATTCATGTCTGCGGTAAAGCTTGGTATGCTAACTATTTAAGACAAGGATGATATTGCTAGTAGAGGGGCATCGAAATTAGTGCGTAAAAGGCCCGGGCAACATACGCATCCTCAGCAATTCGACAGAAAGCACAGGGCGCCCGTCATTAGCCAAAAAGAATGCCCAGGTGCTTTTTGGTAATTAGTTAATGTATTTAATCAAAGCGCACATATCAGATCCCTGTACGGAGGTAGTTCACCGGGACTTTCCAGATCTGGAAGGTGGTCCAGGGAAGACGGGTAGTACCCGTGGGTATCTGGGAAGTATAAACCTTGGGACACCCCACTTGGCAGATATTCTCTACACAGACAACCATCCTCATCCAATGAATATCCTGATGACCTTAATAGTACGCTATTTCGCCTGTAACAGTACCTGGTCAAATCCGGCCCTTTGGTTGTACGGAGATGAAAGGAATGTGGCGTCTTCACTGAACCCCTGCACCCTAAGTTTCAACACCCAATTAACAGCGCCAATTCCCCTACAATGGGCTCATACAATATCGACTACTTCCCAAATTTCTAGTAGGCCCACCAAACAGGGACTGGAGCCCGTGATTGCCTAATTGTCTTTTGTTTTTAACTTCCCCTCCAACCCGTTCAGGGCAGTTAAACCTACTTCCATCGCCGACACTCTAGATCTGGTTGTTTGATCTCCCAATTTCAATCATGCATCTAGCAACATTCATAGCCATTGCCGGGCTACTAATAGGCGTTTATATTGTCACACGACGTAAATCAACGTCGTCTTTGCCTCTGCCGCCAGGCCCCAAGCCATTGCCGATAATTGGCAATGTCCACCAAGCTCCCAAGTCCCACGGCTGGCAAACATATCGCGAATGGAGCAAGCAGTATGGACCCATTGTTCATGTCAACATGCTTGGACAGCCTGTCATCATTTTGTCTACGTCTGAAGTAGCCCACGAACTCCTAGCGAAGCGTGGAGCCACATTTTCAGACCGACCTCGTCTTTTTGCAAGGCTCTGCTTTCCTCGACTTACATGTGCCACAATGAGCTAATAAAAACTACAGTTGGCAACAGAGTTGGCCTTGAAAGGACTCAACATCCTCATGATGAATTACACCGATCAGTTCCGACAACATCAGAGGCTACAGGTCTCAGTGTTAAACGCGACGCCGGCAGCCGCCTATCTCCCCTTCCAGACCCTAGAATCACAACAATTAATACAAGATCTCCTCGAGAACGCGGGAGGCGCTGGTGCTGAGGTTCAAGGACATTTTCAGCGCGCCGTCGCTAGCATCATCCATACGTTGCTGTATGGCTTCCGCGTCAAAGACTACAACGACCCGGTACTTCGCACCGTTGTTAAACTCAACGAGGAGTTCTCCGATTTTATCCAGGTTGGCGCGCACATTGTTGACCAGTTCCCTGTACTTAATAATCTGCCCGGTTTCTTGGCCCCATGGCAGGCAAAGGCTGAAAATCACTACACGACTAAGTATGATTTGCGCGACAAAAACTTCCGGCGCGGCCAGGAGTCGGACGCCTGGAATATATCAAAGCATCTCAAGAAGACGGTCGAAAAGGATAACCTCGATATGCCCTTGAATGAGCTAGCGTTTGAGCTTGGAACTATGATTGACGCCGCGCTGGACGGCACCACAGACAGCTTGATCTGGTTTGTGGTGGCTTGCATGACACAAGACCAGGGCTTCATCATTAAGGCACGCGAGGAGCTAGATGCCGTTGTAGGGCACGATAGACTTCCAGTCCCAGATGACAAGCCCAACCTGCCGTACATCACCGCAATTGTCGAAGAGATATTCCGTTGGCGACCCGCTGGTCCCGAAGGCGTCCCTCACTTGAACAAGGAGGAGACTACCTACAATGGATATACCATTCCCAAGGGATCTGTTATTATACCCAACGTTTGGACAATCTCCCGAGAAGAGGCCGTTTTTGGCCCGGACCCCGACGATTTCATACCGGATCGCTGGATCGATGAGGACGGCAAATCGCTGAAAGACCTCCCCCTGCTGCCTTCGGCTATGGAAGGCGGACCTGTCCTGGGCGGTATTTCGCTCGCAATGTTATCTGGATCGTTGTAGCCCAGCTGCTATGGTCCTTCGACATCAAGGCTGGCCTGTCTGAGGAGACGGGCGAGCCTATCCCTATTGACCCTCTTGCATGCACCTACGGCTTGGTTATGCGGGCCCTGCCTTTTAAGGCTTCGTTTAATCCCCGTGGCTCTTGGGTGCGTGAAGTGATTGCCAAAAATGGTGACACTTATAGCAAGGATCATGTGGCCATGCTCAACCAAATTGGGGCGGAGTTCGCTAAACTGTAGCGGACCCCCTTCCATCTCTCTCTCTCATTATACACATGTACAATTAGTTACAATGGGGTAAACTACGGAGGATTTTGTGAAGATATGGATGTGAATATGGTGAACTACAATATGTACAAAACATCTGGACTAATGGTGCCAATATTCCACCATGAACTTTATATTACATGATAGCCTTAGAGAATAATAGCTAGAATAACATCGTCTCATTGATGGAGAATCTCCTCTGTCTAAGCGGAATAACATTGGCGTAACACGTGGTAGTTTCAAGTTAAATACGGAGTACAAAGTACTGATAGTAGCGGTTTTTTTCTCTCTGATTTTTTTGCCTTAGCTCAGCACTAGAATCCTAGCTCGGCGCTAGGCAAGTTCTAATATAGTGCTCGGTGCTGCGTATTCCGCATGTGGTTCTATATTATGCACATGTCAACAACCATGTAAGCACTACTGCACGGGCCATATTCCTGATGAGAACGTTCGTTGTGCTAGCTCATATCGCTTCCTTCATGACATCTCCAGCCAAACCATTGGCTGTTGATCATTAGCGGCGCGACGTGGCTGCTTGCCCAGGCGCGAAGGAATATCTTGATGCCCAAAAATGTGCTTGATTTCGTTTCGGTTACCGAAGTATGGCTCGTGTTGAAATGAATTGTAAGCTTGATGGTATCCCCATATCGCACAACAACTTATGATGTTTCTCGTCAGCGCAGGACCCTCGATACTATACGGCAATTCTAGTACAATATTCAATGGCTCTCAAGATGATTCCTCGTCTTACAGGGTTAAGGTTGACTTGGCTATTGGGATTATTTTCCTCTTCATTTCCCTACGATTGGTGATATCGAAGGTACATGTGCACCTTATTGCAATACTCTATGAAGATCCATGTGCTCACATTCTATAGACACCCTCTGTCTTACCACCTTGCGAGAGAATAATCGAAGAAGCAGAGCGGACAAATATTCGCAATGGACACGAAAATGCCGGCTTCCTGTCTAAAAAGGCAGGATTTTCGCCCCTTCAAACAATAAAGGCACTTCCGCCTTCCCATGCAGTATGGGATCAACTTGCTGCCGACCTACCTCGCCTAGTGCAGACCCAGAGTGTCCGAAATGCTGTCACCAAAATGCCACTGCTTGACGCATCCGCTGAAGCTTTGCCTGACATTTACCTCCAGCGGGCCGCCACCATCCTAGGAATGACAGCCCATGTGTTTGTCCGCATGGAAGGAAGCGAGCCTCTCACATTGAAATACGACGGCCATAGCGATATACTGCCACCATCGCTGGAGATCCCGTGGGCCGTAGTGTGTAGACGTCTCGGGCGATCAGCCCCAGCTCTCACCTACGTTGACGGGGTGGTATCCAATTTCACATCAACCAATTTGTCACACAGTGGCGTGACGCTCGAAAACTTGGAATTGCTCGTTCCAACCGTCGGCACCAAAGAAGAGCACACGTTCGTTGGTATAATGATTGAGATAAACGCCAAGACGATACCAATTCTCCATCAAGTCATAGAGGCACAACGATCGGTCTTAGCGAAAGATTCCGACTCGCTCAAAGACGCAATTCGAAGTCTCCATGCACTTTTACAACAGATCACCGGGGTTCTCAATAAGCTTCATGCGAACCGATCACACAAGGCTCATATTGATCCTGTCTTATGGACCCTCACTGTTGGGAATTTGGGGATTCCTTGGGTGAAAGGCATGGTTGGAGCGGCAGGTACAGCACATCCGTTGTTTCACATGATGGATGAATTTACCGGACGGTTTGAGTATCTCACTGGTATTGGCCAAGAAGCGCAAATTGTTCGAGCTACATATCCTATCCATTGGCGGCAGTTCCTCGAGGCCATGACGGAAGTGTCAGTCATGGAATACATTTCTGCCTCAAAGGATAGAGAATTAACGGACCTCTGGAAAACCTTTACATCCGCATATCACTGCAACGACGGTTTACTGGGATTCCACCGGCGAAAGGTGTTCGGCTTCCTTGCAGTCTCGTTCAGGATTGGTCGAAATACAACCATCAATGGTCTAGGACGCAAGCACAGGACAGAGCCCTGGCATGAGGTCGATCAAGAATTGGAAAAGGCTCGTCTAGAACGCAGATGTCTGGACCCAGATGAACACAGTCCCGATACCGAGCCCAGCTCGAACAAACTCGTTGTGTCCGAGCTCATAAAGCATAACTCAGAAGAAACCGGTTATTGGTTCTCTGCCAAGGGGAACGTATACGACGCAAGCACATTCATGCAAAAGCATCCGGGAGGGGATACTGTGATTGCGTTGTGTAGCGGGCAAGACATCACCGACAGCTTGAATGCAGTCGGTCATTTGACAAATTCTTCGATCCGCAATAGACTGGAAACCTATCTGATAGGGACACTGGGAAAACCGAAATTCGCCTCTTCACATGTGGAAGAGGCCTACATGGCCGCCGTTGATCTTGGCCAAAAAACAGCTGAAATGGAAAACGTGCACCGGAGAAATTTCCAGTTATTGAATGGGAAACTTACCATGCTGGACGAACCGGAAGTTCTCACGCCGAAGAAAGCACGACACCTGCTTGATGCAAAGAATAGGCTTCAGGGCGACCATGTGCCGGGATTGGCGATACTGCTAGATGCCCTACTCGATGGCATCGCGAAGTTGGACATAAACCTTGACCTTAATACTGCTCGTGCGCAAATGGTCGGTCTTCTTGCGCCAGGAACTGGCCCAGGCACTGCAACGCGTTTCTTGAACTATGAAATGGCGCTAGACATGCTGCGGAAAGACTTACATCGGTTGACTGAAGTAAAAGAGCTTGTTGCGATGGTGCTTGGGACTTTTGAAGACCCTGGCTTCACATGTTCTAAGAAAAGTCAGCTTGAACCCATTGTGGGCACACTAAATAGAGTAGCAAGTGAATTGGTTGTGCTTGCTGGGAAATGAGTTCTTTTATATGTTTATAGAAATTAGAGGTAAACTTGATGGGGTTACTCACGTTATTCACTACTGTTCTCGACTTGTTCTTTAAATGCTTCGGCAAGACATGTAAGCGTATAAAGTAGTATCACTGATCAAACAGTCATACCCTCTACCCGCAAGTTCCACATCTAATTCCTATCTCGAGGTGTTGACAAGGATGATACATCAGGGGCAGTAAATGGCAGTCTACACCATGTATATACATCGTGGTAGGCTCCAAAGCGATGAGTTTACCCTCCACCCAACACCACAGCAGATATCCACCGCTCGGTCCTGGATCTCCTCAATAGGCATAATTTGGAGTCTACTGGCTGTATCTGTGAATTATTTGAATTAGCCTCCCTGTTCAACGTCACCATTGACCATGGCCACCTCTACCCCGTTCCTGAAGAACAAAGAACAACCTCGGCGTCCTCCATACAATGCTGTTGATGAAGCCAAACAGCCTAGAACAAGCTGTCCAAGACGTGGTCAGGCAGACAATCGTGTCCCAATGGTTTACTCCTTCCGATGGCTACAAGTGGAACATCAAAGGTCCCATATTCGACAGCAATAACACGCCCGATGGCACCGTCATCCAAGTTATTCAAGTGGTCCAGATACCCGCAGTGACATTCGAGTGGACCGAACACCCAATCTTCCTAGTATTATGCAAGCGCCCATCTAGCCCAGGTGACACTATATTAGACTGGGATGGTATCATGCAGGACCGGTTCATTCATCACCTCTCAGAAAACTCAAACTCACCAGAAACGAAAAGACTATTTCCACCTATTGCTGTCGGCAAGAAAGTGAAGTTCGACCTATTCGACGGAAAAGCACAACCCGACCAAAGATTGGCTCAGCTTCACCAAGGCCTAGTCGATTTGAAAAAGGCGAATGGATCTGCACAGGTCGAAGACATGATGAACTATATCAAGACAAATGCATGGCAGTGGGTTACCGACTAAGCGGGGTTGGGCGTTGTCCTGGTGTGTGATAGCTGCTCTGCATCCATCATAGCCATTATTCACTCTGACGTCTATTTCCAACAGGCATTCCATCAAAGGGAGATGGATCTATGTGATATGGATATATTGTGTAGCAGAGCAATATAACAATCCGACCACAGTGGATTTGGATTTGGCTACAGATGTGTACTGTTCTAGGGTTTCTTCTGGTCGTGAGTTGAAACGGGGAGAATACTCGGGTTATAGACAGTCCAAATTGATCCGGCTTCTGTCCTCTTTTCTTTTAAAGTGAAAGAGCAATGTAGATTCCCAGTGTAGGTGTGGCGGCCATCTTGATAAGAAGACTCGAGAAACCGCGGGCTTGGAACGGAGAAAAAAGGACCCCAAGGGACTCCTGTGGTTAGCCGAAATCTTGAGCAGGGTATCCTGGCATGTTTCTTTGGGTAATGATACATTTACTTGCATTACTTCAAGCTGGGCTACTCATACTAGAGATCACAACTCCTCTACTTTAAATAGAAATATCCAAACCACAGTAAAATCTGAAGAAATAAAGTGCATTATACTGATATCATTCTTCACGTAATTGACCTGGTGATTATTCCATACTCTATAGACAACCATGCTCAATCTGGTATTTGCGAGGGTCAAGGGCGGGCAATGCGAGAAAACAACCCGTAGATGTATGCCACGGATTCAAGGATGGGTGGGGAGAGAGGAAAGGTATGTACATTTCATGAATGCATGCTGGAAGACAACCACAAAAACTGCGCACACGGGGATGGGAAGGGGGAAAGCAGCTGGGGGAGAAGTGGCCGATGGGAAGGCGAAAAAAAAAGAGGCGAAGAGACGTCAAGGTAGACGGCGGGAGTTGCTTTGGGCGTTGCTCCCCCCGAATCAACTGTCTCCTACCATCGAGGTGATGCTGTGCTCCTGGTAGAACAGAGGATATAGCGATGCAATCTAGTTCAAAGGAAACTCGAAAAAACATTGGATATAAGGGTTGTCCGAGACCATTCGAGATGGCCCCGGAATGCCGCAAGGTACGGTACCAATGTTCCACTGCCGACGACGCACACGTTTTCTTCCAAATGCAACCAAGAGATGAATCACAACAGCCAGTCCCAGTGGCACAGCATGCTTGATGAATGTGTCAACAGTGATGATGGAAATGGTGACATCATCTTCCGATTAAAAAAAGTTCAGATCCGTTGAACGCCGCCCAGAAAGGAAACCCTATGACCAACATAACATGCAGGCTCCAGCTGGAAACTCCCAAGGGCGGACCCAAGAGATTCACACAGCCGAATAAATAAACAGGGGGAAAGGAGACGCAGGAAGATGTGGCAAGCACTAAGCACTAGGGCATCAGCGTTGATATCTATGGCGAGGCCCAGCCACCAGCCACATCTACCCATTCGTTAAGACAGCTGCCTTGCTTGCCCTCGACATCGACAATGTCAGTGTCGCAGCGGCATCGGCAACCGACACCGTTCTCCTTGACTTGATCAGGGTTCGCCCAGTACTCGTCTTCCTCGATCCGTTTCTTCTCGTCATCGGTAGTCTTCTCGAGGTAAGGGATACGGGTGAGTTGGCGGGCCGGAGCGTTGGCTGGGCAATGCTGAATGGTAGTGTGGCGGTAGCCAAAGTCACGGAAGTAATGAATATCACTAGGCGCGAGGAGAGCACCGGCGGCCAGAGAGTGAATAGGAGCATCGCCCCACTAGTACAGTCAGTAAAAATCCCGTGGCAGAGTTTAAAGAATACAACATACCCGCTCATTCCAAAATCCTCCACTTCTGTCCATCATAGTGAAGAAGTCCTCATACTCCTTGCTGCGGAACCAATCCAGACGAGCAATCTCGAAGTTGCTCCAGAAATGGCACATGTTGTAGCTCTCGCCTTCCATGGCCTCTGGGTCCACGTCCTTCAGATTGTGGTCACCGGGGTCGGTCTGCAGGATTTCATCTGGCAGTTTGTCCTGCTTGTTCTCCACGGGGGGTTCTGGTTGCTCTGGCTGCTCTAAGAACATCTCCCACAGGCCCTTGGACTTGAGGTTGTTCTTGCGCTTGTAAGCAGCCGCATACCGGAAGATGTTGGGGACAGTCTCGCGAAGCTCTTTCACTGCAATTGTGAAACCATAGGTCTTGTTTGCCTCAGCCATCTTGAGGAATGGATCACTAGAAGTAACAAGTCAGCAGATTGACCAGAAAAACATGTCACAGTAGGTATCTTACTAGGTGATGTCGCAGAAGTACTTGATCTCGGGCTCCAAACGCCAGTACCACTCGTACTTCATCAGCAGAGGGTGCTTGTAGAAGTGTCTATCGCAGAGTTAGCTTTATAATCCAAGTCTCCTAAGTTTGCCGTTGCAGACTGACCCTGAGTAGAATCGGCACATGTGGTGGTAGCTCTCCATTCCACCGTACATGATGGCGGCATCACCCTGCTTCTTGATGCCCTCTTTGGCAACCTCATGGTCAACCCAATCAGGGAATCCCCACATGCTGTTGTCAATCTTGCCGAATTCAACCTCTGCGCTGGTGTAGTTCTTGACCGTTGCCTTGAAGTCCTCGTCGAAGTCGCCATCGTTGAGGAAAACATAGGGGTAGTGCCACCACCGGTTGAAGTGTCTCTCAATCGACTTGAGTGACTGGATTACACCATCCAACTCCTTATTTCTAGCAAGGACGACGAAGGCGGCATTGGCGCGGGGGGCCTTTGCGATTTGTTCGGGCTCAATAGGCATACAGCCCGTAGCGAAGACTTTATCATGTTTTTCGCTGATTTTTCTGTAAAGCGCGGGAGGTTAGCTATCGCACACATGACCACCGATTGACGGGGAATAACGAACCGGATAGAAGGCGGAGTTCCCGCTGGAATTAGGATGCCCCCCGGGGAGGCAGGGTGTCGGACAAAGAGGAGCAGAATAAGCACAATTACAAGACATGGAAATAGTAAAACAAGACCCAGGGGTATAGAAATAGATGAGTTGCCCTTTAGGCGAATCCTCCGTCGGAAAAAGGCGAATCTAGGATGGAGGCGGCCTTTCTCGTTTGGAGCATCTTCCAACGGCAGACTCGGCGCACTAGGCAGCCTTTTCGTGATGCGTTGGATGAAGCTCATGAGTGCGATTGTCGTGAGACCACACGAATAATTGTAGAGGTCAGCTGTCAGGCCCAAGCGACAGCACGGGGCCGTTAGGGAGATAGCGGAGAAATCGTGTCGGGGGTGTGATCAGAAGAGAACTTCGTCTTGAACGGGAAAAAAAGGTGGTGAGCACACGATCAAACCAAATTCGGTCCGTATGGATCACAGGAAGATCCGAAAGTCAAGAGATCTCGAGAAGTGAAAATGGAGAAAAATGACAGCAAAACGAGTGGCCGGAGGAATGCCTCCTTTCGTCCCCCAACTTTCTCAATCCCACGGTAAATAGATGGGAAGGGCGTCGGGAGAAACGCGGGCGACTGTGAACAGCAAGGTACACAGAAGAAAGATCGGGGACATCAAAACAGGATGAGGGTGATGGGAGAGAGAAGATGGGGGAATTGGAAGATGGGATGGGTTCCAAAGGTTGCTTGCGCCTCCCTGGTCTTGGCGAAGTCCGGTGGCCTCTCAGCTGTCACCCTGAGACGGTTATTTTACCCCTGGTTACTGTGCAGTGACGCTATAACCAGTATTGTATGGTATTTAATGGTAATCTTTTACTATTTGTGCGCTTGTACTGGCCCGGTGCTTCTTTGCTTCTTTTGGCATTTCAAGGATGTATCCTTCAAATGATGTTTCCTCCTTTAAATTTGTTTTTAGCATATTCCCTATATTTGAGGTTTACGTGGACTTGATGCTCTCTTGCATCTCCTTTGTTCTTTTGCCGGAATCATGATTGGCCTCTCATGGCGTGGCCTAGGGGGCTAGGTGATCTTAAACGGTAGTACCACTTGTATTAGCCCCCAAGCTAACCAAGAAAGCTTCTGTGCGATCATTTTGATCCCATATGCTGGGACTATGCTTGTGTTCATGTACTTTGTACTTTGTTCTTTGTACAAACTCTTGTACCTGGATCCCAAAAAAAATATCTGATGGTACAGCTTATTGTACGTAGCCCACTTGATCCACCATTGTTCGGCCCTACGAGGCAATGGCACATAATATACACTGTAGGCAATAATGACTACGGGCATGGAGACTTGGCTTTTCTGGAATGTATCAGTTGGTCAAAATGGTCTTTGTGCACATCATTCCAAGGTTTACCGGGATAACTTCAAACTCAGAGCGCTCCTGAGACGACTTGTTTCACTTGTCTTTATGTAGCCAATACAATCTGTAGAATTAGCGCATGACGATCGAGGGTCCAAACCTTCTCAGGCCGTTAGGCCCGAAAGTAGCGCCTGTAATGATTGTTAGGGACGTCTGACCCTGTCATCTGTTCGCATTCAGCCTCTTATATGTGCCTATTATTGAGTTAAGTACCTGGTACATAGTATTCTATATTTGCATTGGTCTTTATGCAGGTACTAGGTACATATGCCCACAGTCCGTTCAGGGTCTCATACATAAGATCTGCACGTGATGTAAATACAGTATTGTATTTTATGTAATTTCTTTCAATTTCAATTAATCAAATTGCAAATTTAATTATTCTCTATGGGTCCCATCTAAGGTCTGGACCCTCGCACGGCTTAATTTTCATATTGAACACATTGCTATATTGTTCTCTGTCTGTTTTTTTTCCTCTATCACTTTACACATATCTCACCTACGAGAGAGTACGGAGTAACTAACTCTAGTTAGTTAACATATAACTAACTATACATGTACGTAGTACCTAGTTACTTAGGACTATACGTATACAAGGTTTATTTTGTTGTGCATGGTTACTCGAAGGAACTGACTTCCAAGAGCAAAATATATTTAGTTAAGCACACTAATATATCACCACTTGCATATCAAAGTCATATAATTTCCCACGCGCATTGTAGATCCTAACTTGCTCGTTGGGGAAGCCAAAGGATCAAAAAGCTTGGTTCCGGGCAAGATCATCCCCATCATCCCCCCATCATCACACTCCGCATGATAATAAACTATATGGAGTCACCACCGTGGGGTTCCCCCTTTTTTTCATTTCTTCCCTTCTACCAAACCTCAACATGAATACAGTGCTGACGAGGCCCTCATTCTCTGAGGGCAGAACCCCGATAATCAAAGTCCCGGAAGCCGGCCCCTCATCTCATTTCCGAGGGCCTCACAACAGCGGGACTTTGGATCCCTTTTCGCCAGTCAACGAAAATGGAAGTTTCGAATTCGATCGAGTCTTGAAGACAGGGAGAGTCTGTCGCCGAGTCAAACACAAACATGTCTTTCGCGCCTCATGGAAACCAGCCTACCTCGTCCTCCGACCGAACCTCCTTTCCGTATACAAGGACGAGGAAACCACCCGCCTCCGAGTCTCCATTTCCCTCTCTGAAGTGACCGCCGTTGCGCCCGTCAAGTCTCCGCGATCGACCCGGCGGCATGTTTTCGGTGTCTTTACCCCATCTACGAATTACCGCTTCGAAGCCCTGTCCGAACGCGATGCCGAGGACTGGATCGATCGCATTCGTGCGGAGACCCCCGGCGACGAGGACGAGCGAGCTTTCCTGGCTTTAACCAGAAAGCGCGAAGCCCCCGCGATCCATAAACAGCTCGTTGACGAGACAACCGATCACTCTGACTTCGATCACACTGGCCGCGCCAGCTCTCCCGAGCCACGCCACCCACTGTCGCCACGCAGCAAAAATACCCAGAGACTCCCTTACATCCAAGATTACTCCGGCAACGAAATGACTTCTTTTTCAGAGTTCTCCGATGGACCTGCGCCAGCACGCAACAGCCACCTACGATCTATGCCCTCCATCCATTCATTGTCCATTTCAGCACCAGAGGATAAAACAGTACCCCGGCCATCATCATCTCTACCCCGAGACACCAGCAAACAAACAGACCTGGGCATCCTGCGTGACCCAGAGCGGGTCATCTGTCAGGGATACCTGCAGGGGCTGCGCATCCAAGGGACCGTGCGCCAGTGGAAACGACTCTGGGTTGTGCTTCGACCTAAGAGTCTGGCCTTCTACAAGGACGAAGCGGAGTACGCTGCCATCAAGATCATTCCCATGTCCCAGGTATTTGATGCTGCAGAAGTGGATCCTTTGTCGAGATCGAAGACGTTTTGCATGCAGATCATCGCCGAAGAAAAGACCTATCGACTTTGCGCTCCAGACGAAGAGTCTCTCGCGCGCTGGCTAGGCTCATTGAAAAGCATTCTCGCTGCGCGCAGGAGATTGGATCCCACTCTGGGCACTTCTGTATAATTCTACACCCCCGCCCGCTCTATGGAGTGGAGCCTGTCTTTTACTCTACCTATTCCTGTTCCCTTCACTTCATATTCCCTACCTCTCAGCGACCCCCTTTCTTTGTCTCTTACCTTTTACCTCTTTTCTTTCAATATACCCAGGTTGGTGATTTCGTTTTGACTACTCTTCTCGTGGTGAGCTTCGGAGTCTTCAAGGAACGGATTGGCGTTAGTACCTTCGTGCACATTCAGTGGGCGAAGGGGATTTCTTTTTCATCACGAAGCTACCCAGCTTTTTTTCTGTCTTTCATTTCTCCAACACCTTGTCTCTTGATTTCATTTATCGAGTCGATGCATTCTCATTGCATCTATGCTTCTTTCTCACTGTCGAGTCTGGCATTCTCTCTTGTCCGTCGTCTGTCTTCTTCCATTTCAGTGTCTATATTGAGCACCTATTATGTATCATATTGCTTCAGGCTGTAGTACTCTAGTGCATAATTATAATACAAGTGAGAAACATGTATTATTCGAATTTCCAACGGGAGAAGTTGACCCTATACGGTGCTCCGATATGTCTATCTGCTGTTTCCTTGATCTAGTTCAATTCGATGAAACACAGTCACCGTAGATTTGATTCATACAATGGCTCGGGGCTATGCAATGCATGATGCCAACGAATGAAAACTAGCGCAGTGGCGTAGGCTGTCGTGAGAAATTTTATGGGTGCCCTAATAGGTATATACAAGCGCCCAGTTATCCATTGGGCAGGAATGCCTCAAATAAGTAGTGAGGAAGCCGAATTATTTCCATTTCTCATTTTTCCGCGCAAACCGCTCTATTACTATACGAACAGAACAAGAAATGCCGGAGTCTCTTATTGAGCATGAGGTAACTGGTAGCCCACGCCAAAAGGGATTCAAGACATACAAAGATTACTACCAGTCAAGTTTCCCCTTCGAGAAGGATCTTGATGACCGATACTTCAAAGAACAGGGACAATCATCCGAGAACCCAGGTGGTTACATGCAAGCTGGCTCGATCACAATGGTAGACATTTCTGCAAGCGGTTCTGTCTTCCCTCCGCATAGGTTTCCCTTGCTGGAGGGGGGACCAATAGATCCTAGGCATCGGGAGGATTTCCAACGCGCTACACGGTGTCACGGCAACGGCCTCCGCACTAGAATTGTTATATCTGACTATTGGAGACATACAATCTTCTACGATTTCTTTGCTCTAGAGTATGGTTTGGACCCAGAGCTCTTCAGAGCAATTTTTGGCTATTTCAAACGCCTCGATGGAAATATATTCGACCCCCGCAGTGTGACTGCTTTCCTACCGTGGGATTCCTGTTCGAAGGACAAACCCGAGCTTTTCAATCTTGGCTATGGACGATTTGCACTCTGTTTTGAGAGGGAGTGTGGAACGACGGTGAAGCATGATTTAAACATTGTGTTCAGTAAGTTCATATTCGAAAAGATGGGGTAATGAACTAAACCTGTGACAGTTTTCTGGACTCCCCCAAGACGGTGTCGAGATGTTCAAAACGATATTCCCATTCCTGCATCGATTTTGCGCTCTCATTTTCGCGTTCAGAGTCGATGGGACGTGACCGCAGAAGACCGACCTTCGGCCATATTATCTCGGTATGTCCTCAGTGATTATCACGACTATTATAACGACTACAAGGTTTTCGTCAATCTTTACAACACCCTTCTACTTAATTGGCCTTACGATCGAGTATTGGAGGCCAACCTGAACGCGATGCTTTTTCTGGCACCGTGTTTAGATTTCAAGTTTGCAGAACTATATACCATCTCCACGCTTCTCAGTGAAAGTCACGGAACCAACCGTGAATCGCTACATACAGCATGGCGAGCTCTACGGGCTGACATTGAAGCAACTGCTGCAAGCCGATATAGCTGGGATAGGTTATGGGATCCCACTGGAGATCCCCAGCCTAGGGATATGTTTGCGATTGACCATGACCATGCCATGGAATGTGCTAGAAGGATGGAGTCCCTCATCAGAGATGAGCAGCAGTTGGAAGTTGGCAGATTAAGCTTAGAGGAGTCAAAAAAAGCTATTCAGCAAGCAGAGCTTGGGATCAAAGAGGGAAAGCGAATGAAGATGCGTGAGTGCTATCCAAACCATCCATGGATACTACTCAGAATCCAACCCTCAACCTAACCATTACATTATCTTTAGTCACTATAATTGCCTTTGTTTTCTTGCCTGCCTCGTTGTCAACCTCCGCTTTTGGCATGAACCTACGAGAGCTCAGCACCCCATCGGTCTGGGTATTCGTGCTCACAACAGTAGTGATATTCTCAGTGTCATTCTTGTTATGGTTCACAATCTATCAATTCAACCTCGCCATTCATGCTCCACGGTCCCAGAGGACAATGGGCGAAGGACCACCTCTCTCTAAAAGATTACATTGTCTGTTTTGGCTTATCCGCCACCGCCATATTATCTTCTTATTCCGCTCCGGCATTGCCATTTCGTTGCTGTCCGGTGGCAGGATTGGGTTTCTACCAGCATGTCAAAACAAGGATTGCAGCGCGAGATTAATTCCCAATCGACTAGGTTTGGATATTGCTGAGCCACACGATCCAAATCGGCCCTGGGCGTATGTCACGTATCATATGTTTGTGCACGGGGGAGATTGGACGGCACGGCCTTTCAGTGGTGTCATCCTAAACTATAGGAGTGTAGGGTGATAGTTGATTTGGCGACTTTTGGAATCACAATATCCCATACGATAAACATATGATGTTTACCAGAATAGTGAACCAATATCAAAGTAGGAGGGGAAATAGAGAGAGAGCATGTGCTGCGTAGGCAATTCAGTACCATCGAACCCTTCGGGTTTTCCCATGGACATAATTATGGAAGTCCCGAGTCAAGGTTTTTCTGTCTTTCATTTCCCCAACAACGTTGTCTCTTGATTTCATTCATCGAGGCGATGCATTCTCATTGCATCCATTCTTCTTTCTCACTGTCGAGTCTAGCATTCTCCCTTGTCCGTCGTCTATCTTCTTTCATTTCAATGTCTATATTAAAGCATCTATTATGTATCATATTGCTTCAGGCCCTAGTACTCTAGTGCATAATATATAATACAGATGAGAAACATCACGTTCAACCCTTTCCAGCGAGAAACCCTTTGCAGTGCTCCCGGATGTCTACCCTGTTCACTTGATATAGTTCAATTTGAGGAAACGCTGTCACCATAGATCTGATTCATACAGTGGAATTACCCTACAGCCCAATGAGTCTAAAGACGATATCGGTGGCTCATCAAACCCTGTGATGTTTATTTTCCCTTTCTCTCTCGGGTACTACCTATAAACATGCGGCTCTATAGTTTTCAAAACTTAATCTTCAAGGACCACCCTTCACAGATGCCCCGAGCGAGAATGAATGCTACCGTGGCCGACAGATAAAGCACACCACCAAAGCCTATGAGGCCCCCATATTCGCCGCCACTCCTTTCCTGAATGGCCCCCGCAATAGGAATTCCTACCAACGTGCCAATACTAACAATTGTGAATGTTGTCCCGTTCCGCTTCCCATAATCCTCGGTGGCGCACACTTGAGAGATGCACACTGGAGTCAGGCTGATAGCGGCACCACTCCAAAAGCCAAAAAGTACAGCGTAACATATGATAGCGGGCAAGTTGCTGCCAGCTTTCAACCACAATGCAAGTGTCAAGATTGAGCAAATCAAAGATGTCAACACCATCACGTTAAAGCGACCCACTCGATCAGCTACTAGTCCCGGCAAAAACCTTCCTGGGATAGCACCAATATTCAAAATCGGAATCAGGAGATAAGACATGGTGTCTTCTACACCAACGTATGCTCCATAGGAAGCAATATAGGTGATTGGGATGAAAACAGCGAATTCAACCAAAAAGATAGCCACGGTCGTAGATGCATACTTGATATCCTTTAGTGCGCGGAAATCAACCGACGCGCCGGCTTTCTTGTTTGGAGGCAGTCTTGTCTTCAGCAAAATACAAGCAAATGTACACAGTACCGCACACAAAAGCGCAATAATACGTATTGCCCAGCTGAATCCAATCTTAGGAGCGGCAAAGATGATTATCAAAGGAAAAACAACTCCCCCGATGCCACCTGCTGTGCACGCTACACCTGTTGCCCACCCGCGGCGGATATTGAACCAATGTCCCACAGCGGATACGGCTGGTGTGAAAAGCGTGCAGGCAGAGACCCCCCGAGGACACTGAAGGATAGGAAGATCTGGTAGTACTCTAATCACATTAGGGACCGGTTAAACATTAACAATGACAGAGAACATACCTTCACTAAAGCTAAAGCACACCAGGGACATGACCATACCGATAGATCCTGGGATGATCACATAATTTGGACCAAATATGTCGAAGATCGGCCCTTATCTTGGATAAATATATGCAATCATACGAAATGGTAGGTACTTACCAGCTTGGGCTCCTGCGAGATATAGGAAGAAGCCGTATGCACCGAATATCCAACCGGTGCTCGACTCGGAATAGTCTTTGAGTTGGTGTGTGCTTGTCCAGGCATGCAGAATACCCAGACTGTTTAATAGCCCCATCGAGGGGACCATCGCACACCATGCTCCCAGTACGACGGACCATGCTTGCAGACCTCCTTCTGGGTAATCGTTGTCTTTCGGGGGCTCGAGACTATCGGATGCAGGAGTGATATCCAGTGCTTTTTGGGTTGAAAACATGTCCATCAAGCTGGTCTCTAACCTTTAGTGTATTAATGCCGTGTTGAGTATAGAGAAGACAGCATTTATATCGGCTGTCTAGATCTTGGACAGACCGAGAGCCCTACACTATTCCAACATATTTTTATCTAATTCGAATTTCGGAATCAATTTTGATACTTTGTATAGAGCGACCGGCCAAATCGAGCATTGATTGGACAGTGTTGTTAAGCTTAGAAATACTCGGCGAAATCAGTTGGTGATTGGTTCAATCGGTATGATGTTCGGCGAACTCGAGACTGTCCCACTATTTTCAGAATCTAAGTACTTTTTTGTCGCTAATCATATGGTTTTTGCCATTTATTCGATCAATTCGAAATTCGGTGTAGGTTTGTTAGGCCGACACACGCCTTCCTGCGACACCTGGTAGGTAGAGATGTCCCCCAGACCGAATCAGCTCACGAGTTCACCGAAGCGTTCCGGTTCCACACCCGAACTATTTCAAGATTACCTACCGAACTAGATACATTCGCCGTACTCTATATTTGCTCGCCGGTCTCGCTTTACTCCTAGCTTGACTAGTCTAGCCATGGAGTCGCCCATGCAAAACCCTAGGCAACATCGAGATACTGGCCGTCCCTATCGATCTAAACGTCATCCGCCATGCGACCAATGTCGCCGCAAAAAGCTTCGATGTGAAGCAGATGAAGGAAAAAGCTGTCAACGTTGTCAATCGAGATCTTCACCCTGCAGCTTTACTCTTTCCCTCCATCCATCATTCCTACCTCGTTTTGGATCCCTGTCAGATCACCAAGAGGCTGAATATGGAAATAGCGAGAAAGCGTCTCCGGCGACTGATGTTGATCAATTCCAGACAATGCAAACACCCACCGGTTTTGAATCAACGATAAATTATGACTCAAATCCAATTAATGACCCAGCCGGTGATTTCCTTCTCCCGCTACAGCCAGCCTATCCCTTACCGGAGAGGCCAATGCCTCAGGCTATCCAAACACTAGACTATCTCAAAGGCGTCTCATCGCAGCTCATTGGTGCATCTGGTGAATCAGATCCATGGCTGTTGCGACATTGCAAGTTTGATGAACATGGTTTTCTTCTTTTCCATCAGGTTCATTTCCGTAACGCTGGCGGCGTGCCGCGGGATGAGAAGATTCCTGTGCATTTCCTCGTCACAGCGGATGAGCTTTATGATGCGGCCAAAGAGACGACGAGGTATCCAAGCATCGGATCTCGGAGAGACGAGCTGAATTCGTTGGTATCTCTCGAGTGTGGGCAGAGATTGGTTTCGCTGTACGTCGTCGTCGTTCATTTGCATATATTCCGTTATATTTCAGATTGTTTGTTATTTATATATTTTTGGTTGATCCACAGACGATATTTCACAAAGCCATTGGCTGATTCCTCGCAGCTTCTTGAGATTCATCTTCCCAACTCTACCCATCATATCGCGGTCGAAGTTTGGAATCACGCCTTCACACCCAATCCCCGACACAAGCATCCTACAAAATATACCAGTACATCTTCTAGCGGCCATCTACGCATTGGCCCAACCATTTACCAAATTTGACGAGTACCTGAGTATTATAAATGCATACACCACGCCACCGACAGACAGATTATGGCGAATCACTTTCGAGATGATACTTGAAGAAATCCATACACCACACTTAGCAACCCTGCAGGCAGGACTTCTATACCTGCACAAGCAACAACAGGGAAGTCAAAGTGCCGTCGCCGATAGTCCTTTGGTGTGGTCATTTGTCGGAATGTTAGTTGGTCTAGCAACCTCACTAGGCCTCCAGTTAGAGTGCCGACCAATGGGTCTGCCCGCATGGGAACGCCGACTGCGCAGAAGACTTTGGTGGGCTCTGTACGCCGAGGACAAATGGCGAAGTCTGCTAATGGGTCGGCCCCCGTATATTCGACATGATGAATGGGATGTGACAGATCTCGACGATGACGACTTTCGCATCGACACTGAAGTGTTCTCGCCGGACAATCAAGCCCGGGAGGTTCTTTGTGCACTTCAATTCCAGGGCTTTGCACGTCTATCCTGTCTCGCCGACGAAGTCCAGCATCGTCTATTGTTAGCCCTCCCACAATAGCACAAAATCCAGTGTTAGCATGCTAATCCAAGTGCCAGTTCCCTGCGCGCCGCCCAACGCCTATCATCCAACTTCCCCGAATCACTCGCAACAGCACGCTCCCTCCTAACCAAGCTAAAGGAATGGTATTCCCACCTCCCACCCAGCCTCCGCCATCAAAACAAACCCTTCCCCCAAAACAACCAATCGGACTGCCTGCATTTCACCTACATTCTGCTCGAAGTATTCATCTTCCGCGCCCTCCTCAGACCAATGGTCCGCTCCGCAGCCCCACCACGCCTCTTCGAGGAACCCCAAGATAGCCTCGAAACCATGGTAGACGACTACATCGCACATATAATTTCCGCCGAGGAAATCGACCCCGTCCCCGCAATAGACAACGACACCGGAAACGCAGTGCTCAAAGCAGCAGAGAACTGCGCCGCAAGTATGCTTCGCTCCGTGCTGCGAATGCCCTGCGATCTATCCGCATTCTGGTTCTCGTGGTGTCGAATCGGTTTCGCGACTGTTTCCAGCTTCATGATGCTTCTCGTTGTCCAGGCCCCGTCAAAAGAACATGCCGTTCGCGCCCGGGGACTGGTAGATATGTGGCGGCAGGCGCTTGTTCGGGGTCAATGTCAAATGATGGATCTTGCGCTTGTTAGATTGAATGGGCCGCATTGGATGGGCCTGACTAGGAATTTTTTCTTGCCAACCCATGTGCGGGAGGCAATTGAGTGTACTGGAGAGTAATGAATATTTGAGACATACCTATCCTTGATCTGAAATCCGGTGTATATGTCCATATATATACCCAAAACACTATGAAAATACCACCATTCAAACTTGGATTTCTAACTATTCTGGATATTTCTTCAGCTGTCACACATAGGGCTCGGAGGTGTGATTATAAGTTTATCTCGGTTAAACCAAGCTTTTGGTCGGCCTTGGCTGAAACCCCCAATCTCAAATGTGAAAGATCAGATATGTGATTATATGGGAATTGTTTTTAAAGTTGATTAGAACTCGGCAAATCATCCATCTACAACTGGATGACAAATTTTGCCGAGAGGTCGACCAAAATGCATGCGCAGAAGTAGAGTTAACGAGCATGTTGTTGAATGATTCTATAATCTATACTGGGAATACCAGCCCTTTCGCTAGCTAGCGAAGGGTAGCTGGAGAAGAAACTAAAATTGTAATGTGAACAAGCTACAACAAATGTGTAGCGATAAATATAAAAGCCTTCTTAACCTCAAACTAACGCATTTCCTCTTCTTCAACAGGAATACTGTTATACTCGCCTGAGAAGGACCTGCCTGCTCCATCAGTAGTGGTGAGATCGTCCTGAGGCTTGCTCTCGTGCTGCACAACCAAGAACGACAAGAACACGATAGCTGCTCCAACCCAGTACAGGGGACTGGAGTACTGTGACTGTAGGACCATCTGTCCAACCAGGGAGAGCGGGATGGTCATACTGAGTCCGACAGTCACGATAAGCGGTGTGGTAAGAAGCATAGCGTAAGCCCAGGCAATATCAGAGACAAATGATGCAAACCCGTTAGTCTGATAGGCGTGAGGTTAGTCAAATAATAATCAAGGTGAAAAAGAGGACTCGGAGTCATACCAGAATGATTGACCATACTCGCGACGTTTCGGGCAAGGAGAAGGGCTCCATTCCAGTCCAGTGCAGGATGAAGAAACCGGGCCACAGGAAGATAATGTTGAAGAATCCAACCAGTCCGAAGAACAGTGGCATGTTTACACGGGACTCATCGCCAACTTGTTTCTTCATCACGACGGTGTAAAGACCGTACAGGATGGCACTGAACGCTGCCATGGCATCGCCAAGGGCAATCTCCCCTGATGATTTGTGTGGGAATGAACCCTCACTACTATCTCCGCCCTCACCTGAATCTGGCTCAGAGAGATCTACGCGCGAAATCAGGATAATGCCAATCAGAGAGGCCATGACACCCATGAATTTGCGCATGGTGAATTTCTCAACACGGAGCAGGGCGCCGAAGACCATGGTCCATACACCTAGAAGAGTGAGGGTGAGAATCGGATTTTGAACACATCTAAACAGGGGAATCCTTACCACTGGTGGAAGTTAGAATGGTTGTGCTTCCAACTGAGGTGAATTGAAGGCACCCCATGGCGAAGTAATTTGCCTATCCAAAGAATCTCGATTAGCTCACTTCCAACACATAAGCTTCCACATCGTGAGGTGTACGACATACAGTAAACTATGACAGGTTAGCCAGCTGATCATATATCCAAACTTCAAGATTGTGTGCTTACCCAGAGAAGACAAAACTGAATACTGAGTTTAGCTGTTGCTTTGAGCCCTAGTTTTCCGCTTGGAGCATCCTGTCTCTCCCGCGAGAATCGCCCACCCTCTTCATCGGAGTCGTTGCGCAGCATGCTCTCCTCCTCGGCCTTGGGGTCATGCGAATCCAAGTGATTCAAAAAGGTCTTTATCGAAGTGATCTGAGAGAGTTTCCCGTGGCGCCAAAGAGCCCATGTTCGACGAGCGACGATAATAAGGAGGGGCATCATAAACATGGAGGTATTCGTATAAGTTACGAAGAAAGGTTTCGGGTAGGTTTTGTCGGCGAAGATAGTCTGGATGGCATTCGATATGTAATTAGCCAAATGTGTGCAACAATATATGTCTTTTGCGTTATGATTTCTCAGGAAAAGGGCGCGGATACACTTCCAAGGAAATTCGAGGTTGTCCATAGCACAACCACCACCAGGAGCAGGATGATTCCTAATGTTCGCCGCGCTATTCCCAGTGGCATCATGCCAGGTCCTTCGGGGGTGGTCGAGGCCATGGCAATTGGTAATTATAGTTGTTTGTGAGAGGACGTGAATTTGCGCGACTCGTCAAGGTGTAATGCTGGTCAGGAACCTCGTGTTGCCGATGTCGCAATCGCTACGTTTGCAGCCGAAGATGCCGAGTTGGACGGGTTATCAGTCGGAATGCTGTCATCTGAAGCGCGACGGGCAAGGATCTCCAGTGCAGGAGCAAATGAGTGTCACGAGACTTCCTGCCTAAAGATATGCGGGTGAAGAGAACACGGGGGTAGATGCCAAGCATTCGCGAGAGATAAGGGTCCGGGTGGGGAGAAATGTAGTCGCGGCCGATATTATATGTTGACTGTGCTGTTATGTACTTCGTACAATTTATTGTAGTACTTAATCATAAGTGACAGGTGTTGAGATACATGTCCAATGGCTGCCACTAGGAGGAATCTGCCCTGATGATGACGGGTCATCTGATAGTACTGCATGTGGATTCAATGTTTACTTCGATAAAATACGCGCGACGAACTGCCTATTACGGAATAAAGGTATTGCATTACGCCCAACAAAGACATTGTCTGCCTAAAACTGAACCGAGAAAGGTTTGAGTACATAAGATGTGACTTTCTCAGGCAAATTGCACAATTGAAACCAAGACATCTACAAGACACCGGGGGAAGGGCAAGGTCATCCAAAGCAAAACCACATGGTCTTCTCTACAGACTCAGGGCCGGAGGCCAACCAAATAGTAGTCGGAAAAAGGAAACACAAAGGAAATAGGTCGCTGGAACATCATGGGAATGGGAAGGGTATATCAACAGGCGCATCCATCACGGTCATTGTCTAGATGGATGTTGATTGGGTCGCTGAATTCACCACTGAATTCCTCGGCCTCTTCCTGGGCAAGTGCACTCCGCGCGATAACTAAATAGTGATTAGCAACCTCGGAAGAGAACAATCGCTTTTAGCACGACTAGATGTGAAATTTGACTCACCTTCAAACGCCTGCTCGACGTTGACAGCCTCCTTGGCACTGGTCTCGAAGTAGGGAATGTTACCCTTTGACTGGCAGAAAGTCATGGCCCGTTTTGAGGAGATCATACGCTTGTTCTCCTCTACATCGATCTTGTTACCGATGACAACCTGCACATGACTATCAGCACGGACCAACATATCATTTTTACCTGCTGCCGCAGCGCACGAGATAAGGAGAAGGAATGCGGGAACGCCACTTACGAATGGGAAACTCTCTGGATCTCTCGGGCTTGCCTGGATCAAGAACTCATCCCGCCAGCTGTCGAGAGCTTCAAAACTCTTCGAGTTGTTCACATCGTAGACCAGGACGCAGCAGTCGGCTCCACGGTAGAACGCGACTCCCAATGACTGGAACCGCTCTTGGCCTGCAGTATCCCAGATCTGACACTCCGAGTCAGTTATTGCCCCTCATCACGATTGTGCTAGGGTCTCCAACGCCATACCTGCATTGTCACCAGTCGGTCGTCGACAAGAACTTCCTTTGTGAGGAAATCGGCTCCGATAGTGGCTTTGTAGCTTCCACTGAACTTCTTATTGACCTATTCATCTCGAAAAAAATTGCGTGTTAGCGGTTATAGGTATTCGTCACCGACCGCGGTACAGCCGTAGAGCGCTAGTTGGGGGTGAGGTTGAACGGACATATTGGTTCATCAAACTTGTTTTTCCGACACCACTGTCACCAAGGATGATAACCTAGATTTCCAATAAGACCCCAGTCAGTAAACATTCCACTTTTTGAAGGAGTCGGTGCTCGTCACACGGAGCAGGTGCGGAGTTTGTACCTTGAGGAGGACCTTCTTCCTTGACGCCATGGTTGGGAATCGGCCAAGTGACCAAGTGTAAATTCGCGAGGAATAAACTGGAAAATCGCTGTTAAGTAAAGACCTATGATCAGTCTTCACTAAGCCTTTATAGAACAGATAAGGACAAGATAGTTGGAGAGTTGGGGTCGGGTTGCAGCCGGATTCGATGATGCATGAGGAGAACTGGGCGATGGAGCGGGCGGTGGGCAATTGATAACGATTAGCACCGCATCTCGCGCCCGGAGCGGCAACCAACTCCACTTCATCACATTCAGGTACATCCCCATTTGTTTGGGAAGGCTTATGGCCCACTGGAGGGAGGAGTACTTGGCTGCCCTGACAGTCCGAGACCAGCGAGAAAAATCAAATGCTACTCTTTATGATGCCTGTGAGTCTACCAGTGATGCTCTTTGTTGAGCGATTGCGACTGACATCATTTACCAAATCTAGATGCCCAGCTTGCAGATCGTACCAGCAAACTAGCAACAGCAGCAAAATGCGCCAGTCTCACAACATCGCAGAGTGAATCTCAACCCACCGTTCCATCTCCTATAGTTGCACCATCCAGAAAGCAACGATCGACTGGCCCAGATTCTACCCCGACCGATCTTCTCAATACTACCCGTGCAGACCTGTCCGAGGCGCAGCGATCCCGCTCAGAATTACAAGATCGCTTGAATAGAGTGAATGCGGAGGTGGAAACACTTCGCAAGAAGAGTTCGCAAGAGGCTCGACGAATCAACACCTTAGAAAGCGAGAGGGCGCATCTAAAACTACGATTGAAAGACAGAGATGCGGAGCTGAAAGGGAAGGCCAAGCTGCTAGAGGTAGGCTATTTTGATGTTTACATAGGCTTTCTAATCACGCAGGGGTGAGGGAAAGTGGCTAACATGAATTGTGCATTTCTGCAGGATTTCCAAGATGAACTGGCGACACTAAACCTTCAACTTAATATGGCCGAAGAACGATCAACTCGACTTAAAAATGAGAATCAAGACTTGGTTGATCGTTGGATGGCCAGAATGGGCCAAGAAGCTGAGGCCATGAACGATGCATCGAAGTATTCCTGAATGCCTCAATACACCGAGCAGGTGACAGGGCAAGGTAGCTAGAAGAGACTGGAGCATAGCTTCTGTGGCATTTAGATCTTGAATCGTGATAGTTAGCCCCTTAGATGGAATTTGAAAGCGCTAGATACATGATCATGCAGCCTATACCAAGGCTTGCTGATCCTTCCACTGAGCGCCTGGACAGCAAGTGCTGTTGCAAGCCCGCGGTTCATGACCTTCTTCCCTATAATCGGAAAGCTACGTAAATAGGCAGCCTCCTAACCGCCTCTGCAATTACTTGAATGCCTCAAAGTCCTGATAATTGTACAGCACCATCGAGTTGCATACGATAAGCCGTATTGCCGGGGTAATGCGTAATCGATTGTTTCTACTCTGTAGTTCCGATCAAATATTGAGGAATGGGAAGGCTGAAGCTTCTCACCATAAGGGCCTAGACTTGAAGAGACAATCCGTTTTGTACAGGTCAGATTGTCGAAAAATGGTATCATACAAAAATGCAACAGGGAAAGTATATCCAAGAACAGACAACGTAATGTACAAAAGTGCGAGAAACGAAAAGTGTATGTGCCATGCGAAGATACCAAGCCAAGCAGCCATTGAAGACTATAGCGTATTATCAATGAAAGCTTTCAGTCGAGAGCTATCTTTAGTGGCAATGAAATATGTACCGCCAACGTCAGTCCAGCTCACGTGGTTCGACCAGTAATTCTTCTGCTCGACCTTGAGGAGATTGATCGGAGAGTTCAGGTTGCGAGACTGGATTTTGTGACCAGCGGGAACAAATGACTTGAGTGAGACAATTTTGCAGCCTTCTTTCATATCCAAGAAATGGTTGATCAGCTCATTGTTCAGTTGGGGGGTGAAAGCCTGGTTGTTGATGAGCACCACATCAGCCCGCTTCAAGACGCTGGTGATACTCTCCTGTTCAAGGAAGTCACCTCGGACAAGATGAGTTTTGCCTGGCGCAATACCCCACAGCCGGCATCGGGCCTTGAACTCTGATTGCTGCAGATCTGCCAAATCACATGCATTTGACATCATCTCGCAACCCCAACTCTCACAGCCAACCTCAAGTGCTGCCTGAAGAACGACATTGCCTACACCCGAGCCAAGATCGACAAAGACCTGGCCCGATTTGAGCTTGGTTTCTTTGAAGATTGTGCTGATAAACCGAGGGAGAAGCTCTCCGTAGACGTTGTCCGTGCCATTCTCGTATTGTCGGAGGGACTCCACTTGAGGGGATACCGTGCGCGAGTAAATTTGAGTGAGAATTCTTTCCACCCAAGGTAAACCAATGCCTTGTTTTGCATCCAAATGCTTCGCAAGACTGCCGTTGGATCTTAACCGCTGGATAGCCTTATTGTAATCATCGACAGCTTCCCGAAATTGGGTCTCAGATGTTACAGCCAGAGCCCGGCGTAATCGGCGCTTGATCCCGGTCGTCTCGTCGTTGAACTGATCCGCCTCTTCGCTGGGGATGTAATTATCGGAGACCGTTTCGATGACCTGAACAATGTCGTCGATAGGTCGGAACTCGTCATTTTCGCGGGGAACCACAGAGTCATATCTAGCAGAGCAAGAAATTAGCATATCAGTACCCAGAAATCAATGGTCCAACCAAAAAACGTACCTTTCCTGCTGCGAAGCACTGGGGTATTGCAGGAGAATCTCTTTGGGCTTGCCCTCGGCGCCGAAGGCGGGCTTGAACTTTCCTGCCTTCTGGCCCGACGTTATATCCTTGGCATGTATCATTTTAAACGGGCGAGATCCTTCTTCCGAAAACGCTTTCACCGAGCGGAGACGCCGCTCCGGGTCGAGTTCGGCGCTGGTGCTGGTCCTCGCACGTTTGTGCACTTCAAATGAGGCCTCGCTATCGCTCGCATCATCGTCGCTCGAAAGTCGTTGTTCGGGTGTCGGCCTTTTTCGAATGCGCGAGGAAGTACTCAGTCGTTTTGCCGAGCGTGCTTCCAGGTCACTGGAGACCGATCGGGATTTCAACGCCTGCGCCTTCCGGTTCCGCTCCGTTGAGGACTGGACTTGAGGTGATCCGGTCTCCGGGGGTTGTGTGGCTGATCGTGTAGGAGCTGCAGGTCGAGTCTGCACAACCTTGCGAATTTGCGCCTTCTTTGGTTGTAGAGTGAAGGCCCCGGCCCCTCCTTTTTGAAGGTGGTCGAAAAAGCCCATATGGATAGGAAAAGATATACACAAACTAATGCAGAAAGGAAATAATATATGCAAAGTATGCAAAGTATGCAATAAAAACGAGTTGAAGAATAAAACAAGTCTAATGCGAGTATGACGGAGGAAGTGGGAGAAGAAAAGAAAAGAGAAGGGCTTATCGATTAAGGCGCCACTCGGGGAAACCACGCGATCCCGCGTTCCTTGGCACTACTTGGCGCTTTGGTCTACAGCCTCATATGTACATGTCTTCTATAGGCGTCTAGTTAACTAACTAGTTAGTTAGTTACATGTGAATACATGTAGGTTATTCTATTTAACACTATCATCATCAAATTGTGAAATTTTGAAATTTTGAAATGTATTTTGAGGTTGTACTTGTGGAAGAATGAACCCTGGGGTATCATAATTATTTTTGCTATGTAAATTGTCTGATTCAAACATTTGAACTATGAACACTCTCTCTATTTCTTTGACTTCTTCTTTGCCAGTCTCTTCTCCGCACGAACATCCTTCTTCATACGAGCATCGACAATCTTGTACTTGCCCTTGACACCCTTAGGACGGCCAGAGATACCACGATTGGGACCCTTAGCAACCACAAGCTTGACTTCCTGCTTGGGCTTCTTCTTGGTTGCCCTGCTCATCAATCTCGCGATGGCGCCGGCCTTGTCCCGCTCGCTGAGAGCATCGTCCTCTGCCAGAAGAGCTGACTTCTTGCGCAGTTTCTCCAATCTTTGAGCCGCCTTGTACTTCTTGCGTCCCTGGGCCTCCATCACCTTCTTGATCGGGCGTGCATTGATGGCACGCATCTTTTCTCTGATAGCAGCCGCTGCAGCCTTGGTGATGGGACGGACAGGCTTGCTGTGCTTGCCCTCGTCGTCAAGGAACCATTCGGGAAGGCCGTCCACGTCGCGGAAGGCAAATCGGTTGAAGCCATCGTCAACAATGTCAGTCGACCTCTTCTCTCCAGTAGCCATTGACTGCGCAAGGGCCATGGCTTCTGCGGTAATGATATCGATGTCTGTAGTAGAGGAACAAATGTTAGTCAGACGTTATTCATGGTTGGCATTAATTGCAACTTACCCAGCTGACCGTTCGCTTTTAGCGGATCCTTTCCTTCTGCCTCTTCTACCTCGCTCTCATCGGACTCGTCAACCCAGACAGAGTTCTTCTTTCCGTTCTTCTTTGCGTCCTTGTTGTTCTTTTGTTTGGGGCCAGGAGTCTTCTCCTCTTCCTCCTCATCTTCATCCATCTCAAAGATGTTGTCTTCTTCCTCTTCCTCCTCCGCCTCCTCTTCGTTTGCCTCTTCTTCTTCCTCCTCCTCGCCCTCTTCTAGCCCTTCGAAGATATCTTGATCGAAGAACATAGAGGCATTGTTTGAAAGTTTCTTAGCCTCAGCTTGATCTGTAGTAGCATTTTCATCATCCGAATCCTCCTCCTCTTCCTCATCACTGCTGCCTTTCTCTCTGTCAGAAAAGCCCTCCCACTCATCAACCTCGTATTGCTTGCGGGTCTTTTTAGCACGCAATTTCGAATCTTTGTCCTCCATGCGGCCGGTGTACTGTTCATACATCCGGTCGAGCTCCCTGTCGAGACGGTCCTCCTCCTCGTCGCTCTCTTCGGTTTCGGACTCATATTCGTTTTCACTTCCGCTCTCGGCGGGAAGATCACGAGCATTGACAACCGCGTCTCTGGCATTTTCCCGGTCGACGCGTCTCAAAGTGAACGTGGAGTCGTCACCTCCCATACCAAGCTGCTCCATACCAATTTCCATGGGGGTGGTCATGTTCATCTGCATTCGAATGATATCCTTGCGCTTCTTTTCATTCTCCTTGCGCCTTTCCTTCTTACCCTTGGTGGTCTGCGCCTCTCGCATGCGGATCAAGTCTTCCTGGATCTGCAGTTCTTCGTCCATAGGGGCCACCTCGGCCACTTCTTCTGCCTCGCCTTCTGTGGTGGGCTTCTTCTTGATGACAAGCCCGAACTTCTCACGACACTTGATACGCCATCTGAGCAAGTTACGGAACTCCTTTTTACCTAGGATCTTCAAATCCTCACAGCAAGTTCGGATCTCCTCTGTTGTTTCTTCCAAGCGGTCCAGTGTGGACAACGCAAGATCCCCACCTGGTGGTTGCTGGAAGCTAAGTTTGTTGTAGCCACCCAAGATAGAGATAGGATCCGTAGTGTTGATGAACTCTGTCACTGGGAGCTCCTTGTGTTGGGTGTAATCTCCTTCTTCGTAACCTTCACGCTTGCGCTTCTTCTTTTCCGGGTTGAAAACCTTCGCTTCGTAGTTGGGAGTGGGAGCGGTAAGTTCAGCAAAGACGTACTTCGGGTCGAGGAACTTCGGGTCAATGCGCTTGGGGGCCTTGAATCCACGGCAGACGACGAAAATTTCGGCAGAGACATTTCGGGATGAAGGAGGCTTGGTTGCCTCGACGGAATTGAACAGCTGCTTGAAAACCCAGAGCAGGGGGTTGTAATCCTTGGACCGGAAGACCTTGGTAACGAAAGTTCCGCCCTCACCCAAGAAATCAGTAGCCAGTCTCAGGGACTCCAAAACAAGTTCTGCCTGGGAGAAAGCATCCTGAACCCACGCAGCACCAACGTTGGGAGCACCATCGTGAAGCACGACATCTGCTTTCCAGTGCTTGATGTGAGATCGAATCGTTGCGCGACACTTGTCCGTTGTGATATCGCTTTGGAAAGTAATGGCTCGAGGAATTGGCTTGATGGGTGAGAGATCGACACCAACGATAAGACTCTGCGCAGGCATGTACTCTGCAGCGACTTGACACCATGACTGGTCGGCCGTTAGAGAAAGACTTTTTGGGATAGAAGGTGCCATTTGAGGATACTTACACCAGGCGCAGCGCAAAGATCGATACAAACTCTGCTTTTCTCCAAGAATCCATACTTCTGATTCAATTGGATCAATTTGAACGCAGCACGAGCTCTGTAACCCTTCTCTTTGGCAAGTCGATACCACTTATCCAAACGACCTTTTCCATGCTGCAAATAGTCAGTACATTAAGTGATGCAAGCTGAGATAAAATAGAACATACCTTTTTCTGGATCGCCATTTTGAAGGAAAGCCGATCTTAATAGACCAGAAAATCCTTTTAAAATGACTGGGGAAATAGAACGAATGTATACTTTTTCTATGGAAGAGGATCCGAGAAAAAAAAAGTTGCAATACTTATCGCTCACCGCCTTCGAACAGGTTCTCCAGTTTGTTGCCTGAGGCCAAAGCGGTGCCAGACATGTGACGTGATATCACTCGGGCACCCCCCAGTCACTTGTGGCGCTTTGTATATGCTTTGTCACTTGGATTTGACCGTCTACCTATAGACCTGATGTTTTCACCCTACCTCCATGACGCCCAAGGGATCTCGCAAGAGAGTGAAGACCAGCCCATCCGGCGTGGACTCACCGGCTGGACTGAGCGGTGATGCCGGAGACCGCTCAGATTCCCAGCCACGGGGGCACAATGCCGTAAGCTCTTTGTGACCAGAATAGCCAGTCCTTTTGTCATATTTACTGATTATTTATCGTTCATATAGAGCTGGTACCCCGGGTCCTGGTCTTCCATTGCGAGAGTGTCCAAAGCAGCCCCAGTTACCGAGGTTGCCCGTGAGAGCATTTCAGCAGCCAAATCTGTAGCTTCGAACGTCACGAACTCATCGGCTTCTTTTCTTGATACCCCAACGAAGAATCGACACCCTTCCATTCAACTTACGCAAAAAGCGGGCGCCTCGACCAGGTCTCTGCCCGCTGACGCTACCACCACCCGAGTCAACATTGCATCGGATGGTTCGGCTTCCACTACGGCTGCCGACGATACCGAAGATCCCAAGGCTGTAGAACCGGCAACATCTGATAAAGAAGCACCCGACGAGAGTGATATCAAGCCGCTAGAGGAACCAGTCAAAGAGCAGGAGGCCACCCCTAAGGCCGATCCTAGCATATCGCATGCGGGATCTGCAGAGGGCCCTGAACAATCTAGTGGTTGGCGCTCGTGGATCTATGGACCATCAACTACATCTGAACGTCCTGCGAATGTCCCAGAATCTACACAGGCCGTGGGAAATCCGTTAGCCGAAAACCAAATGGCAGAGCAGGTTGCCCAACCTCCTGTAAAAGACTATATAGCACGGGAAGAAGAACTGGAACCGGAACCAGAGCAGACCAAAGATACTGCTGAAGTCACCCAAACATCCCAGAAGCGATCGTGGCTCCAGATGTGGTATGGTACAAATACATCGAGCAAGCAAGAATACCCACCATCTACAGAGTCCACGATCTCCCCTTCCGCGAATCACAATTCCACCGAGGCTCCTGACACAAACATGGCACCGCAAGATCCCCCAGCTGAGCCAACAGAACCAGCTCACGGATCACAAACCCCGGTCGGAACTACGAGATCATCTGGCTGGTCATTCTGGTCCAAAGATCCAAACAAAGATGGACCCTCCAATAAACCGCAGGAAGGCGAAGCTATCGAGGCGTCAATGGGACCTAACTCGCCATCAAAACATACAATGCTTGAACCAGACACAGATTCGAATGTCAAGATAACCCAGAAAGGCAGTATCAAAGTCAAGCCCCCAAAAGACAACCGTCTCAAAGATGGATATGGGACCACCACTGAAGGCACTCCTACATCTATGCCGCCTGTTGAACCTCGACCAGCCGATACCACCGCCTCGAAACAATTACAGCAAATTCTCCCAAACCAAGTACTGCCCAAGTTCGAAGAAACTTATGCGTATGAGCAATCGCCCTCCATCTTGCAAAGCCTCAGTCGACTCCTGCATTATGGGAAAGGACCAGAGGTTAGGCACGTCAGCAGGGTCAGAGATCCGCTGCATGTGAGACGGGCTTTGGCTATTGGTGTCCATGGATATTTCCCCGCCCCTTTCATTCGAAATTTACTTGGACAACCCACAGGGACATCCATCCGGTTCTCTAATATGGCAGCAGATGCCATCCGGAAATACACCGAAAGCCATGGCTACTCTTGCGATATTGAAAAGATCGCATTGGAAGGAGAAGGCCGCATTACGGAGCGAGTGAATCTCCTGTGGAAGCTGCTTCTGAATTGGATGAAAGAAATCCGCAAGGCTGATTTCGTCATGTTCGCATGTCACAGTCAAGGTGTGCCAGTAACGATTATGCTAGTTGCAAAGTTGATACAGTTCGGCTGTCTTGATGCCAAACGAGTCGGCATCTGCGCTATGGCAGGTGTGAACCTCGGCCCCTTCCCGGATTATCGCTCTCGATGGATCAGTGGGTCGGCTGGAGAGCTGTTTGACTTTGCACTGCCTTTCAGCAAGGTCTCAAAAGAGTATGAAGCGGCTCTTAAATGTGCTCTCAATTTTGGTGTCCGCATCTCTTACATCGGAAGTATCGATGACCAACTCGTTTCACTGGAGGTGAGTACATATCTTGATATTCAAGCATCTATCAAATCGCTAACTAGCCTTTAGTCCTCCCTCTTCTCGCCCATAGCCCACCCCTACGTCTACCGCGCCGTCTTCGTAGATGGGCGAGTCCACGCCCCAAGCTTGTAAGCACCCCCCTCACCCATCCACCTTGATCGACGATGCTAATATCAAAACACAGCCTCTCCCATCTAGTTGGCTTTTCCCTTAAGCTTCGCAACCTAGGTATCTCAGACCACGGTCTAATTCGCGAACTAAGCACCCCATTAGCAGGAAGCCTATACTCAGGAGAGGGTCATTCTCGGCTGTACGACGATGAAGCCGTGTACTCGTATGTAACAGTCCTGAATCCCTACGCGCATCCGAAACTAACATCGTCTTCCAGCATGGCCATAGAATTCGCACTCGAGACTTCTTCCGTCCCAGACTCCGCGCTCAGCGTCAAGCGAGCCAGCAGCTCCGGCACGCCAAACCCGTACATTCTCCCCTTCGCCATGCGCGGTCTACTTGAAGAGGAATATGTGCGCCAGGAGCTGCACGACGAGACTATGGAATTGCTCAGGCAATTTGACGACTGGAAACCTTCTAGTAAGGTTCTAAAAGATGTGAAGTTTAGACTAGAAGGTATCCGGTCCAAGCTCTAGCTAGGTCCGGTAGTCAAGAATTAGAAGGTGTCTTGCTTGAATGGAGATTTGATATTAGCGGTTTATTAGACATGGAAATATACACGCTCTCTTTTTAAGTACTTGCTGCCCGTGTGTATATAAATACAATTATGACATCCATGTATAGCAACAGTGGATTCATGCCCTTCTCGGTCTTGGTCGAATTGTGATAGAAGTTGTATTTCGTATGCGGATGAACCTGTGTACCAACGAAGGGAATCATATTTGTATTATGTCTGAGATGTCACAAAACGCCGCGATTATGTTGGTCACGGAACGAGAATAGCGGAGAATCCAGTCGTAAAAAGAGAGGAGGGGATCATTATTAATATGGCAGGCTTGAAAGTGCCAGAAAAAGAAGCTTAGAACGACCCAAGAGAAAAGGAACCCCCGGGTTAAACAGATGCTATTGGGAACGCCGTTTTATATGCACCTTCGATTTCATCTAGAACAATGTTAGTGTGAAGATTGTATACCAGAAAAATATAGAACACCAACCTCTCATCCCATCCAAAGCCTCAAAAGCAAGCGAATAATTCGACACGGCCGCGATGATCCGCTCTAAACCCTGTCGTAGTTCCTCAATGAGCTGACCAGTTGAATCTCCGCCATGCTCATTATCCGGGATGTCAGGGGCAAGTTGCTTCGCCACGCGCGCCTTGTAGTAGATCATGAACATAGCATAGCTACTTTGCATCAGACAGCATGCGAAGGAGGGCATGGTCCGGGGCAGCGGACGACCCTGCTGCTGCTGGGGATCTGAAAGAGGCTGTGGGACGGGCAGACTGTGGAACATGCGGGAGATGACGAGTGAGGCCTGGAGGCATATTTTCGCAGACTGCTGCGTGCTGTAGGGGAACCCGGCTGCGAATGGATATTGCGAGTACTGGGGCGCGTATGAGTTGATTTCGGGGTGGATGTCGGATGAGGTGGAGGAATCGGATGGGGTCATGTATTCTGTTGAGGCTGCTCGTTCGAAGGAGTTGAGGTTTGAGCAGGAGCAGGTGATGTTGTGGATGCCGGCGGGCTTTGTGCCGACGGTTGTGGGGGTGCTGTTTGGATTTGCTGCTGTCAGGTCGCAGTGTCTTTTGATGAAGAGGGGGATGTCTGAGAAGGCTCGGAAGCGGTGCGTTTTTATTTGGGCACTGGGGTCATTGTTAGTTGGATTTAGGTATGAGAAGGCGACTGGCTCGAACCTGGATAGTTTGATTCGGGATATTGCGCGTATGCTTTGGGCTGTGATTGATTCGTTGTGATCGCCGAAATCTGATGTCTGGGGCAGAAGGGGGAGTAGCTCCGCCTGTGCAATCACAGAGTGGGTCCAGGCATCAAGTTGCTGCATTCGTTCGAACATGTAGTACATCCCTGATTGGGACGAAAGGCACTTGTTCAGATCACCAATAAACTGGGTTGCCGATACAAGCACTTGTTGAGCTTGTATCAAAATAGCCCAACCCTAAATACCGGTTAGCGGATAGAAGATAGTGAAGAGGTCTTCGAGTGCAAACCTCGGTATCTGATGAAAACGATGGATATGGAGTCGTAAACTGCGGGTCATTGATAACGATAGCAGGCATCTATTTCGTTATTAGCTCCAGTTTCATGTTTGAAGAGCTATTTTACTCACCGTTGTGCTAACAATCGATCCTTGAATCACACAATAATACTAAACAACAATTAGATCAGGAACCAACCAATGAAAGAGGAGGTATACAAACCGTCATCCACCAGGCTCTCCGTCGAGCTTCCGAAAATTCATCATTCCCCATTTGAGCATGAAGTGACTTGTCCAAAGCCATTGCAAGAGCCTGACCAGCACGATATCGCATCTTGAGCAAGTTGCCGCGTTGGGAGTATTCATAAACTGAAAGTACCAAAAGAGCCAGGAGGCTTTCATAGTCCACCGGAGTTTGCGAGTGGAATCTTTCCCGTCCAACAAAAGGCCGCGCGGCAGACAATGCCTGTCCGGGATCAGTCGAGGACAGATCAAGGTCACACTCCGCTTCGATTGTCGAATGGGCGAGTTGGGCGAAAGCATGCGCGTATGTTCTGCGCTGGATTACAGACGCTGCGGATGACGGCTCAAGATCACTTGGGTGCGGAATCAAAGCCAAAACTGCAGATAGTGCAAGACTTAGAGGCGAACGGGGCCGGTACATCATCATCGGTTCAGATGTATTCGAACATGGAACAGAGCAGTTCAACGGTCGATCTCGGCACGGTGGTGATGCCCGTGGCGGAAGAATGGGGAAATAGTTATGGATGAAGTCGTAATAGGCATTCAATCTGGGGATGTTAGACAATGTATGGAACTTGTTGCAGAGGGATACTTACATTTCGGGCTCACTTCCATAGGTCCTTACAAAAGTTTGAGTGTTGTCCAAGGGCGGTGATATCAAGGGCACTTGCATGTGCGACTGACTGCCATCGCCAGTGAAGAAGCTCTGGAACATGGAGGGAACTTCGGATTGGAAATCAAGATGTCTTAAACCTGCGCCAGGCAGAGAGAGCTCATCGATTTGGTTGAACATCCCTGGTGCTAAACTTTGGTTAGTATATCGCTTTTTGTTAGGCATGAGGGCGACGACGTACGTTCTTCAAACTCCGGGGGCGAAGGGACAGCATTATATAGATCATCATCTTGCCTCGATTCCTGTTCTGGTGACAGGGAGGACTTTTCCTTCTTTTTGCGTGGCCCGCCTCGTTTGCTGGGTAGATAAGAGCATTCTCTGTCTTTGCTAACACACTAAAGTAAATGTTAGTCCATGCAATGAACATTGATCAATCCAGATCCAAAATAGAAAAGCACCCGAAGTACTCAAAGCACAAAGAAAACATACATTCGCGCATGGCATCTGGCCGCCACATCGTGTTCTCGAAGCCCGACTAGAATAAGATTAGTGGAGAAGTTCCTTAGTTTTTTCTTCACGGGATTTGCTCACCAAGGCAGGCAGGCTACCTTAACTGGCGGTTTAGCAAACTTCTTGCGAACTGACCGAGGCGCTGTCGAGGCCAGTCCGTTATAGTCGTGAGAAGTATCGGCCATGGCGACACTAAATATATGGAGTACCTCAAATAATCTACAGAACCATTAATTTGAAACTGCACCTCCCAGGTGTCTTTGCAACCGAATACTAGTTGAAATGGGGCATTCTGCGGCTTAATAAAATCGCAAGTCCGAAAGGGCGCTGATATAGAGACTTTCGTGTGATTGCTTGATCTTCGCAAATCCCGAGCCGTGGGGAGGTTCGGGATTTGCTTTTCGCAACTAAGCAAAGAGAGATCGAGTCAAACCCCAAATTGGAGAGATGGTGTCAGAGTGCAGTGAATATGCAGGATAATCGAAAGTGGAGATGTCTCTCATTTTATATTCTTTTTTTTTTTCTCTCTCCTTCTTGACAGAATCCTGGGAATGGAGAGAGAGGGAGAGGATAGGGAATTTTGATATTCGAAGGATTTCGGAGGGTACGTACCGGTATGGCAGATACTCGTATTAATTGACTTTTGTGGTGGAAGAGACATGTAATTTTACTGCCTAAAACAGTCGATCACGTGGATCCACAGCGAACGAAGCGCGATGATGTAGCTATTCTAATTTAATCTTCTAATTTAATATTACTAGTAAAATTTATTACTGCGAAAGGCTTTTGAGATTCAACATGATCTGTCGATCGGAGGGTTCCCGGTGATTTCTCCCAACCAAACAGGAGGTTCGGACATAAGTCGGAGACTTGTGATATCGAATACTTCTTTAACGGGGTGGATCCTTAACGTATCGCTAAACCACTCATATGGGAGTATGGAGTACGCTACCGAATTTACGGAGTACTACTCCGTAGATGATTTGGAATACTTTTTTTTTCATGCTAGGCATTGTCGATCGATGTCAAACTATCCACAGGGATGCGCATAATCCGATTCGTAATTAGACTTAAGCATGGGCCTTGCCTTTTCCAAGGGGGAGCTTAATACCCGCAACATTCCGCACGCTATCCCAGACACTGTCCGGGACTTTCACAGGGAGCTTGTGTCCCTTCAAGAACTGGTCGATCAACCACATTCCAACCACAAATTCCTCACGCATCAAAAGACCGATATTTTGGTGATCGACCAGATCCCACACTTGCTCCAAGATTGCCTCGGGTAGGCGGCTGCGGGACCAGATTTCCCGCACCACCAGGTTGAGAACCATATCCGAGGCATTAGATGGGTATGGCCCGGCTCCACTGGGATCGGGAGGGACGAGAAGCCCTTTATTAGAGGCCCAAAGACCTTCGTAACGTTTGCGTTCTTTCTCGGTAACCTCGCGTCTCCAGCGCTTACGGTCCCCCTCCTTGTGTTTGTGGGGGTGTTTGTGCAGGGGGTTTCTGTGTTTTCGGTAGTCGGCATCGGTGGGTTTCGGCATGCCGCGGAGTGTCATCGGCATGCCCTTGGGTGGACTTGGTGTCCTTGATAGTTCACTCTTGGATTGGTGTGCCAAATGTAGAATGGATCGTGCCCCTCGTCGCTGTGGAGGAAGCGGCGGGGGAGTCTTGATAGATGGGGATGCTCGTGCTGATGCCAGGGATGAGGCGATAATAGCACTAGAGAGGGATTCCTCGCTCATGCCAATAGAGTCGTCTATTATGCTGGGGGTACTTGTCGTATGTGACGGGCTTGACATAGATGCCGCGCTCGGTGTCGAAGGTGTTTCGAAAAATCCATGGTTTCTGGTAGACCCTCGTGATGGAGGCACACGCGGCGGAAGCCTTGGTTTCAGCTCATCTAGTGGCACAGAAGAATTCCGAGACACCAAGGAGAGGTGGGGGCCCGGTTCTCGATTATCCTGATAATCTAGAGTTGTCCTGGATTGTTGGGATGGAGAGCGCCCGTAGATAGGCAGATCTGACTCGGATTTTAAGCCACTTTCGTGCAGCATGCGATCTAAGGGGCTCTGTCTCCCTTGGATCGAGCGAAGAGGGGTTGGTGCTGGTAGCTGTCGCTTTTCTGGCGAGGGTGGCACCCGGCTCGCACTTCGTACTGCACCTGCACCTGCTGCGCCAAGTCTGGCAGTTGTCGACGGAGCACTGGTGTCCCGCCCAGGGGACCTTGACGCAGCGATCCGTGCCGCAATTTGGGAGGCCGAGGAGAGAGAGGCGGCTGAACTTCGTCCCCTCACACTTAATGGTGTATTGGCTGGAGGCGAAAGTGGCCTGGCCAATCTCCCAATCTTATCCTTTACGGAGCCCACTTCGGGGGCGTCGGATCCAGTCCTCTGACGACCCAAAGCCTGACGATCGCTTGCCATTGCAGCAGTGGCAGCGGAAGATCTGACCTTCACATTGGGTGAGGGATCCCTAGAGTGCTGGAATGCAAGCGTGGCGCCTTGTAGGGCGTCATTCCGGGCCACACCCAACCGCTGGTTCGCGGAAGCGGCCTCGCCATTCATGGAATCGATTCCCCGCAAAATTCGGTAAGTAAGCGAGTTATGTGGCTTGAAATCAGGATAATATCAAGATAATCAAGATCAGGATGGTCCTTCATCCGATTTATTTCTGAGATGTTTAGGGGGAAATATTGACGCGAAATGCCCGTGCACGCGACCGTACACGTTTCTTCTACGCGACTATGTGTACATCGAACACATAGAATCGCATATCACGATTAAAAATCATTTTCAGATGTTATATCTGTCTGTATGATTTCGCTATTTTATACCCAACCTTGGAACGTCCGATCATACTCTGTCAACTCCGCACTGTCTACCCCAGACTTTAATTAACCGAGCCGCCATTTATTCATCCGTTCTCCGCTTTGCTTCCCCCTCTCCATTTGCATCTGCAATGTGACTTACATATCAGCTTGGCTTGGGGAAATGCTATCTGCTTCTCTGAAGCACAATCGGAGCCATGTCGGGTAAAGACAATCCCGAGGATCCCCATGTTGGAACACATGGGAGGTCCGAGGTTCACCAAGATACAGATCAGAATGCAGACGAACTCCTTGCCGGTCACATTCAATGCTCCGTGTGTAGCAGTACTTTTCGACGACCGGAGCATCTGAAACGACATCTGCGGAGTCACACCAAGGAGAAGCCGTTTGAGTGTGCCCAGTGCGGCCGGCATTTTTCAAGAACGTATGCGATTGGGTTATAGCTATCCTTGCGCCAAATTACATGCTAATCAACCCCCAGTGATACCCTCCATCGACATGAATTGAGTCACCATGCACCAGGGACGGGAGGGAAAGATCGCACCCACCGGATTACCGTCAAAACATTCCGAGCATGCTTTAGTTGCGCAACGGCAAGAGTAAGATGTAGCGGCGGCACGCCATGTGGACGGTGCGACACTCGCTCGCTCGAATGCCAATACCCCACGCAAAGGCGGTCCAAAGCAAAAGACATGAGAGATTCAGGTCAAGAAGGCGATGCGCAGAATAACAACCTCAAACCCATGCACCAAGATTTGAATGACCTGGCTTCTAGACAGAGCCGGTTTTCTATACACCTGCAAAATGAGCCGGCATCATCCAAGACTTCGCTCAATGTATCATCTACGCCCGGCAGTGATCACACAAAACGAATACCACAGAATGCACACACCATTTCAGACGCCTCAAATTCTCGTTTCTATCTCCCAAATGAGATACAAGGGCCGTCTGATACACTGCCACTAGGGGTTTACCCTAGGGGTATCAACCAGACATATGACAACTTGAGCTCCGACGTCCCCAAAGCATTCTCGGTTAATTCATCCAACAATTTAGACTCTGAAATGAGGGATATCCAGCCGGGAATGAACCCAGCAGGTGACATTGAAATGACCATGGCAAACAATCCGGAGGTACCGCTAGAGTTTGATCACACGTTCTTTGACCAGTCCATGCTTTCCACCATCAACTGGCTCCCTAGCGAGTTGCTTCCTGGTGATCCTAATGGCCACGCACACTCTACCGGTGTTTCCTCGCAATACAACCAATCTCTCAGCCCAAGTGCCTACTTATCTCGGACACCGTGGCAACCACCGGTTATCAGCCCTGGGAAAATCAATTTTTTGCAGTCAGAGCGAGTCTCTCAGACACCCTCTGTGCATGTTTCTTTAAAAAACAACATGGAAAGCCCCAATCAGTATTCCCACGGTATTAGCGAGGCTTCTCCTCATACCGAATCAGCGGGTTCTGCCAAGGGATCCGCGGACTACTATGTAGATGGTGCGCCATCCAGACTCCCGAAGTACGGAAAGAAACACACGCCTTGGTCCAGCGAATCTGTAGGGCCGGTCGATATTGGCAAGCAGCTGCTCATCGAAGATGGCGAGCACCGGTTCAACTTCCCTATCATTTCCGAACTGCGAACAGATCAGATATCGGAAGATATAACCCGGTTCACACAACGGATTGAAACCTCCACCTACGATGGGATTTATCGGCACTTTGTTCAACTATGCTGCAATGAAACTCCGTTTTTTGAGGTGTTCGAATCGGAGAGGTTTCCCACTGCGGACGAATGCAACCAGTTCATCATCTTCTTTTTCGATTCATTTCAGGCCGTTTATCCGATATTACATCTTTCTAAATTTGACCCGAATACAAGCCATTGGCTCTTGACTTTGTCGATAATAGCACTCGGCTGCCACGTGTCCCACGTTTCCGAGATGGAGCAGTGTACAACTGCTCTCCACGAGCTGATTCGGCGGGGTATTTATCTTGAGGTGAGAGATGTCTTCTCATCCCATCCATTCATTTCAAACTAATTGTTTTGCACTACCAGAAAGAAAAGAGTCGCCCTGGTCAAGCTTCTCTTGAGGTATTGCAAGCTATGTTGTTCAATTGCATTGGGCTTCTTCATAGTAGGAGTGAGCGAGAAAAGGTGTTGGCATTGAGCACCTTTGGTGACTTGGTGGCACTCATGAAATCTTCCCGGTTATTGACACCGATGCGAACAAAATTCAATGAGGCGTCACAAGATGCAGCGTGGGCATCTTGGATTCAAGATGAGGTCAGGAGACGCACCGGCTATTGTATATGGGTAAGCTTTGTTGGAAAATGCAGCCTTTACTTTTACTGACGATGATAGCTTGTGGATTGTACTCTTGCATATTACTTTGATGATCGACCGTTTCTCTCCCTAGATGACGGACAAGCTGCATTGCCCGCGCATGAGAAGCTATGGCAAGCATCCTCCGCAGAGTCATGGAAGCCACTGTGGGCGAAGTCATTTGGTAACTCATATTCAGACCCAAAAACAGACCAATCTCTAACTTCTACAGCCAATGAATCCTTATACGATGCGGTTCACATCCTCTACATTGAGAAGAGAGTAGTACCCGGGATAGGAGAATTCAGTCACATTCTACTTATCCACGCTCTCTACCATCGAATGTGGGAAGTAGGAGACTACTTCCGCCGCCCACTATCCTTCTGGAACCCTACAGCGAAAAAGCAATCATGCGAGACCGCCATTCCCACAGGCTCAGTCTGGCTCCCCGGAATCCCCTCGTACTCGAAATGGCGCAACAGCGCATGCGACTGCCTCGACATCCTCCACTGGACCGCCAACAGCACCGTAGCCAAAGCCGCAGGCCTCGAGCACCCAACCATCCTCCACCTCCACACCGCCCGGCTAATCCTCCTCGCTCCATTCCGCGAAATGCGCTCCCTCGCAACCTCCTTAGCAACGGAAAAACAGCGCTGGAGCAAACGACACCAGTCCCTCGAGTGGCAGTACATCTGGCGCTGGATGAAACACGACCAATACAAAGCCCGCCTTTCAATCATCCACGCTGGCGTCACTCTCTGGCATATCCGTCGCTACTCGACGAACGCTTTCCACGAGCCTGTCGCGGCGTTCATTGCTGTGCTGACGCTGTGGGCGTATGGCTCGTGCCACCCGCATACGTCCCATGAGTCCAGTCCGCGTGCAGAGCCGCTCCACGAACCGAGTTTTATTCATCTTGACCGGCCGTGCGATGATGAGCTTGTGCAACTTTTTGTGAGGGAGGGTCATGCTATGAGAGGGAATATTACTGGTGTTGGTGATATCTGTGGGGCTGAGGGTCCGGAAAGGGTGCTGCGGGTCGGATGTGAGGTTCTTTCGGGCCTGACGGCGTGGAGTGGTTCGAAGAAGTTCGTGGCTATCTTAACGCGGCTTGCGGATTTGAGCTCGTACCATTCCTCTTGGGAACAGAATCGCCGGCATGACGCTGAGCATGTCTGATTTTTACCGAGGTCTACAGAAAATAAACAGCTTTCTTATTCTGTACACTAGACTTTTTGTTGGTCTCTTCGTCCATTTTATATTTGACTGTTCTAGCTTGAAGGGTACCGGCTGTCTCGGTGAGTGGTACGTATGGATGAAGACGGGGAACGTAGACGTTCTGGGAATTGAGGAGGCGCAGGTCCGAAAGGTAGAAGGTACATACAAATACTTCGGGGTGGAGGTCTGCTCTATTGTAGGTGTGTTTTGTTTATTTACAGTGTATCAGGGTTTGAGCTGGAGAATCAAAACGAATAGTTACAGGAAAAAAGATTTCTCTATCTAATTATGTTTACTTCAGGCACAAGACACACTCCAAATTGACAGCTAACATCCTGGGTAATCCGATCTGACAGCGCCTTCACTTCGTCACCATCAGCCTCTCCAAAATTGACTATAACAAGAGCGTGTTTGTGATAGACTCCAACCCGTCCTATCCGCCTACCCTTCCAGCCACAGTTCTCGATGAGCCACGCTGCTGGAATGGAGCTAAGCCCATTTGCCTTGGGGAATACAGGAAGTGCGGGATATTTGCTCTTGATAGACTTGCAAGTAAAAGCATCGACAGTAAGATTTTGGAAAAAGCTTCCCGCATTACCCAACTCTCTTGGATCGGGCAGTTTGCGTCTGCGAAGTAGACAAACTGCCTCACTGACTGACGATATGGTAGGTATGAGGGTGCCTTGCTCGTTCAGAACTTGTTGGATCGAGCCGTATGTGGTTTTTAATCGATGGTGGGGAGCATTGGTAAGTTTTATAGTTACAGTAGAAACCAATACATCCTTCAGACGCTTGAAAATGCTGTCTCGATACCGAAATTGACATTCGGCCCTCGTCACAGTACATGTCTTGCCGTCCGCCAGGTCAACAATTTCCACGCTTTCGAGAACATCACTGAGTTCCACCCCATAAGCCCCGATATTTTGAATGGGAGCCGCGCCCACAGTGCCGGGGATAAGGGATAGGTTCTCGATACCACCAAAGTTGTGGGCGAGACAATAGTCAACTAACGAGCTCCATGTGACGCCTCCGCCGACCTTGAGCGACGTATACATATCGTCTCGAGATATAGCTTCGATTCCAATAATCTCGTTCTTCAGAACAATGCCGTCATAGAATTTCTCGGTAAAAAGTAAATTACTTCCACCTCCCAGGATCATATGGCGATGGCTTTGGAACAAGGGTGACTCCACGAGCTCGTTGAGACTGGTGTTCTGGATACGGACTACATAGCGTGCAGTCACTTGAATCTTGAAAGTGTTGTAGGTTTGCAGGCTGACATTTTCCTCCCAGTGAAAGCTTGACATATCTGGGATCGCGGTGTTTCGGTATTTCAATGAGTGTTGCAGATATTGGGTAATCGATAAAAGCAAGCGGAGGGTTGATATAGGTGGGCCTCTCACTTTATTAAATGTAAAATGGCATATAAAAGTGAGTGATGACCTAGAGAGGAAGAAATTAATCTAGTAAGTAAAGAAGAAGTGGATTACCTCTTCCACCATAGAGGCAGCTCTCCAGGGCTCTTCACCGAGTAGTCGAAACTAGGGGATATTATTAATAGTGGGGATGGAAGTGCGGCCCCGAGGGACCTCCGATTCCTATAATTCTTAAATATATTGTAGCGAAATGAGAGGTTTAGAATGGTTGAAGTTTTGCATTAGGCCCAGTGCGGCCTAACTCCTGCTAGGGGTCGCCCCGTGCGTTGGGGCCGACCTCGAGAGTCACTTCCACACCAGTCACGCGAGCCATACAACTATGTTATCTATGTAGATACATATGTAGCTATGTAGCTATGACAAGATCGCCAATCATAATTCGCTATAGAGCGCCATGGCCTGCTATGTAACTTCAAGGCCCACTGTGGCACATCGGACTGAGCTGAGATTGAAGCTTAGCGCCCTGTAGAGATCTGAACGGGCCGATCCGATTTTGCAATTCCATTGTGCGATAAATATTCTCTTTATGTAAAATACCAGGGCAGCAACGTCCAGACCATACCACCTGCGATGCCAAATATTATAGCCATCGAAGGCGGCCACGACGTTGCAGGAGATATACACGTCTCTGGCTCAAAAAACGCCGGGCTAGCCCTCATGGCCGCATCTCTACTGGCGTCCGGGCAAAGCACACTTCAGGTGATCCCACCCGTGTCTGATATTGGCAGCATGGGTCGGATTTGTCAATATTTGGGCGCAAATATCACACGCAGTTCTGATTCTTTGCGGATTGATACGACAAATCTAGGCAGTCAGGATGTCCCAGACCGGCTCACGCGATCATTACGAGCTTCAATTTTGACACTGGGTCCCCTCGTTGCGCGTTTCGGGTTTGCAAACCTATATCTCCCGGGAGGGTGTCCAATCGGAACGCGGCCAATCGAGGAACATCTGAAAGGATTGGAGAAAATGGGAGCGCTTATCAAAGTCACGGAGAGGTCCGTTGAGGCTTATGCTCCTTCTGGATTACATGGGGCCACCATTCAGATGCAGACCCCATCCGTGACAGGAACCATGAACACGATGATGGCAGCATGTCTCGCGTCCGGGGTCACGTATATCTACAGTCCAGCCCGTGAACCCGAGGTGACAGATCTGGCCAAGTGTCTCATCAGCATGGGCGCGACGATACAAGAAGGAGTGGGAGCCGATCCTATCACTATTTTCGGCTGTGATAAACCCCTCCTCCCCTATCAATACAAAGTCATGGAAGACCGAATTGAGGCAGGAACATTTCTGATTCTCGGAGCAATGGCTGGAAATCCTCTCGCAGTGCATGGCTGTAATTCTAAATACCAGACCGCATTGATAGAAAAGCTGCGTGAAATCGGTGCTCAGATCGACATCAAGAAAAACTCGATAATTATCAACAAGGCTATATGTCCCGTGGCCGTGGACATCCAGACTGGCCCATATCCCGCCTACCCGACAGACCTTCAACCACAACTCATGGCACTACTCTCAATAGCGCAGGGCACGTCCCGGATCACTGAGACGGTCTTCGAGGAGCGCTTTAACCAGTCTGCTGGACTAATTGCCATGGGAGCGGAAATATGCGTTGACGGGAAAGACGCTGTGATATCAGGTGTGAGAGAGCTATCCGGGAGCATGGTAGCTGCTACGGATTTACGGGCCGGTGCTAGTCTAATTATTGCTGCCATTGCTGCCAAGGGGATCACTGTTATTTCAGACACTCAGCATATTGATCGGGGGTATTATGGGCTACAGAGAAAATTGGAGAAGATCGGTGTGAGTGTGAAACGGTCTAATGGTTTTGTTGAAGGGCTGAGAAAGTAGAGACGCGGATGGCTGTTTCTGCTCTCTGCTCAAGGGCGCAGCATCGTGAACGATGCAGTTTAGGATAGGTCTTTTTGCATCGTTGTCAGAGGGTTTAGTGGTAGCTTCTCAGAGCCGAGTCGCAACGCATTCTTTAACTTGTGTGTGTGATATTATCAAGGCTCGGAAATATTTTGCAAAGATGACGTTCCCAAATTTCAATTGCGATCTGACTCCCGCACTTTATACACTTCCTCTGTCATGGTTGGTGACAATATTTCCAAACGGGATGTTGTTATTGACAAGGACAATGCGCGGTTTTCAATAATCAATCGCCTTCTCTCTGAAACTGCAAAATAAGGTGCAGCTCGTGCGAAACGAGCTTATAGGGACCGGAGCAGCCCCAATTTGAGGGCTGGAAGGGGAATATCATTGAGCAATCGATCCAACCAACCTAGCAGCTCGCGAATACCAACGGCAAGAATGCGACTGACGCAGCTATTATCGTAGACGCGATATATCTTCTATACTCTAGCCGGTATGATGGGTTCTGTCTTACCTCAAGCGACAATAGCGGAGCTTCTGATCTTCAAGATCCTTACCGCCGAACACCAATGAGTTGCGCGATCTATAACGGGTATCATGAAATTGAACAAATCTTGGTGGGTGGGAATTTGGGTATAAGTTTGGCGCAAGGCATAGACTAACATGTAATGTAAATTTGTCTACAAAACTACCTGGGCAGTCTTCTTCACCAAAGCCTAGTCTCGTATAGTTCGTATAGTTCCAGGAAATGGGTGGACCCATCTCTTATCTTATCAGCAGTGCAGCCTAAAAACATCTGGGGTAGTGCAACTTCCAACTTCCTTCTCTTAACTTTTCCAAACATGGATTCCGACGAGATCTCAGGGCAGGATCTGCCGAAGCCAGAGATAGAAGAAGATCTGGACGAAAAGTGAGTTCATAACTAACTCGTGACACTAAGGCTGGGTAGATCACTGATAGCGGTTCGCAGATACCCCAACAGACCTCACAACCGGGCTCCGACATTGCCGTTCCACAATCTGTACCTCGACCTATTCAATCCACTGAGTGAGCTCAAGAAGAAGCCTTCAGGGCCTGCTCCAGCTCGCCGAAAAGCTGGTCCCCATGGCAAAGGTGCTACGAGTCTTAACCCGTTCGAGCGCCGGCGCGATGTGATTGAGCGCTTCATTTCACGGTGGCGCAAGGATGTCGGAGACGACATTTACCCCGCCCTTCGACTGATTCTTCCTGACAAAGACCGCGATCGACCTATGTACGGGATCAAGGAGAAGGTTATCGGGAAGATGCTTGTCAAGATCATGAAGATCAACAAGGAATCAGAAGATGGATACAATCTTCTGAATTGGAAGCTTCCCGGTCAGGGTGCTACAACACGAATGGCGGGTGACTTTGCTGGACGATGCTTTGACGTTCTCTCGAAGCGGCCTATGCGGACCGAGCCAGGTGACATGACGATCGATGAGGTCAATGAGAAGCTGGATAAGCTATCTGCTGCGCCAAAGGAGGATGAACAACTGCCAATCTTGACGGAGTTCTATCGGCGGATGAACCCCGAAGAGCTTCTGTGGCTCATCCGCATTATACTGCGGCAGATGAAGGTTGGTGCTACCGAGCGAACACTCTTTGACGTTTGGCATCCCGATGCCGAGAATCTGTACAGCATCTCTAGTAGTCTGCGACGTGTATGCTGGGAACTGCATGATCCCAATATCCGGCTAGAGGGAGAGGAGCGTGGTATCGCGTTGATGCAATGCTTCCAGCCTCAGTTGGCCCAATTCCAGATGCATTCATTCGACAAAATCATTGCTCGTATGAAGCCAACAGAAGATGACAACGTGTTTTGGATTGAGGAGAAAATGGATGGTGAGCGTATGCAACTCCACATGGCGCCTGACGATTCAACGAACGGCGGTCGGAAATTTGGCTTCTGGTCGCGCAAAGCAAAAGAATATACTTATCTATATGGGAATGGCATTTATGACGAGAACGGTGCTCTCACAAGACATTTAAAAGACGCCTTCGTGGATGGAGTACAGAGCATTATCCTCGACGGCGAAATGATCACCTGGGATCCTGAACAAGATGCCATGGTTCCCTTTGGCACGCTCAAAACCGCGGCGCTGGCGGAACAACGCAATCCTTTCTCAAATGGTCCGCGACCGTTGTTCCGCGTGTTCGATATCTTACATCTCAATGGACGTGATCTAACAAAGTATACCCTTCGTGATCGTCGCAATGCCCTGGAGAAAACTGTCCGACCTGTCCATCGCCGATTTGAAATTCACCCTTACGAGGAAGCCACTACCACCACAGAAGTTGAAACGGCTCTGCGGAAGGTCGTCGCTGAGGCGTCAGAAGGTCTTGTGTTGAAGAACCCGCGCTCTCCATATCGACTGAACGAACGCCACGACGATTGGATGAAAGTCAAACCAGACTATATGACCGAATTTGGAGAGTCCCTCGACGTTGTTGTGATTGGCGGATACTATGGCTCGGGTCATCGAGGAGGTGCGCTGTCCAGTTTTCTCTGCGGACTACGAGTCGACGACAGCACACAGGCAGCAGAGAAATGCTGGTCCTTTTGCAAGGTCGGTGGCGGGTTTACTGCAGCTGACTACCAGGAGGTGCGCCATCATACAGATGGCAAGTGGAAGGTGTGGGATGCGAAAAAGCCACCGATCACCCTTATCGAACTGGCGGGTGGAGACGCCCAGCATGAACGTCCAGATATGTGGATCAGACCGTCAGACTCAATTGTTTTGTGTGTGAAAGCTGCATCTGTCGCAATCAGTGATCAATTCCGCATGGGATTGACATTACGCTTTCCTCGCTTCAAGAAATTGCGCAAGGACAAGGACTGGAAAAGCGCGCTTTCAGTTCAGGAGTTCCTTGACCTAAAGTCCAATGCAGAGCAAGAACATCGGGAGAAAGAGTTCTCTGTTGATAACTCTCGAAAGAAGCGAGTGAAGAGGGCTACTAAGAAACCGCTCACGGTTGCTGGGTACGACGATAATGTCGATGTCCAGTATCTTGGGCCTTCTGGGCATATCTTCGATGAGCTTAACTTCTGTATGTGGTTTGATCATGTTCCCTTCCTATCGTACATTATACTAATATAACGACCTTCTAGTCATAATGACCGAGTCGAGCGTCCCAGAAAAGAAAACAAAAATTCAACTGGAACAGCTCGTGAAGGCTAATGGTGGCAAGATCTATCAAACCAAGACAGCTGTGGTAGACACGCTCTGTGTTGCCGAGCGGAGTGAGCTTGATTCTACACATAGAATAAGCCTAAGCTAATGTTTCGGCAGGAACGGTCAAAGTAGCTTCATTACAAAAGAGTGGGGATCAAAACATCATTCGACCATCTTGGCTTATCGACTGCGTCAAGCAGAATGAAATAGATGCAGGCCTGCCGGATCTTCTTCTCCCGTTCGAGCCAAGGTATGTTTTGACAGCCAAAGGAGACACAAATACACGGTGCTAATATCTATCTATTTCTATAGACACATGTTTTTCATGACAGAGGATAAAGAGGAAGAAGTCGCAGCAAATGTCGACAAATTTATGGACAGCTATTCCCGTGATACAAGTGTCGATGAGCTCAAGGATGTATGACACCCCAGAGAAATAACGAGAAACAACCAAGGCTTTGGCTAACAAGTATTCGATCCTGCAGATATTCAAGCAAATGGAGCAAAACCAAGAGCAACCCGACCATGCCCCGGACCCAGAAACCATTCAGAGAGTCGAGACTCGCATCCAGGAAAAAGTAAACGCCGGCTACACAGTACCCTGTGGATGGCTCTTCCGTGGCTTGAAGTTTTACTTCCACTCGAACGAGGATCAGTCGGACGAATCAGCCTCCCGAGAAATGAGAAAGGAGGACCAACGCCTCCACTTCGCTCGCAACACAGCCCGGTTCGCCGGGGCCGAGAGCGCCAGCTCGTTGAAGAGCTCAGGCACCACGCATGTGATAGTCGACCCGGAGACCTTGTCTTCGGCGGACACATCATCTCTCCGGAAGTCTCTGGCTGAGAAGCCGGGTGCGAAAATGCCGCATCTTGTTAGCGTGGGCTGGCTGGAAGAATGCTGGAAGAATGGCACTTTGCTGGACGAAGAGAGTAAGTTGTAACATCCTTGTTGTATTTTTTGGCCTTTTTGGGCGTTCTAACACATGTTATGGTGGCAGGATTCCCGGTTCCGAGATGAATCGTGTGAGCTGAATTCAATGCATTATGAATTATGCATTTCTTTCACTTTCCAATTTGCTCTTTTGATCGTCGGACATGTCCATGTCTATGCAAAGTGAGCCAGTCAAAATCAGCCACAGAGTACAATAAGTCACATTCTGTGGATCATCTGACTTCGTTTGAGCGAGCCAGCGAGGCTATAACGGATTTCATAAATACTGGCGTAGCCGAAATGACCTAGCCCGTAGGCCAATAAACCATTCTCTGACTAGACATGCCGTATCCTTTGAACCTGTGGCTATTATGATGGTCAGAGAGCCCAATAAACACCAATATAAAACGTCCGAGGTTCATCGGGCCACGCCGGGTGATCTCATGTCATGGGATGCAAGATGATATCACAATACAGGATGTTTAAAGTTAATATAAGATTTCTTAAACAAGAGTCTACTATGTACGGAGGAAGTATAGCCACTCGAATAGGCTCTCTCCAGTATCATCTCTAACGTTCTCGGGTGCTCTCTCAAGACAGCCTTCTTGGTGTATTTTTGATCTTCTAGCCGGAAAGACGAACAATAACTACACGGAGCAAGCACGGCCCAGGAAGCACGGCCTAGGCCGTAAAAAAGCAAGACTATGGATGCCCATTGGCGCCATTGCGAAAATGAAATAATCAATTGCAGTAATACTCTCGCTGAGGTACTGCTTCGTTATCTGTTCACCAAAGAGGGATAGAAATGGCGCGAGATCGGTTGCGAGATTGTTCGAAAAGTCATCCCAGCCATCTGCGCGAACAAGTGGAAGGGCGACGAGGATTGCGAATGAAACATATGCGGGCATCTCAGTAAATGCGCGCGACGAGGATTGCAAAAAGAGATGTGCGCGCCTCTCAGAAGTGCGCGACAACGTCTTAGACAGATTGACACCGCCAAGCTATTAAATATTAAGGGCTCATTCAGCCATGTCTTAATAAGACATGGGGCTGAAAACTGCGGTGCTGGGTGCTGGGTGCTGCCAAGAATATCTAGTGCGTATTGAATTTCCAAAGAGCGCCTAACGATGCATTTCTATTCGCCGTACGCTTTTTGATGCCATACTTCTGGGCATTTTTCGAGTTCCAGCATCTGCATACTGGTACATGTTGATATCTGACGTGTCCGCGATATGCACCTGGACACAGCCCAGTATGATACGGATTGTTCTAGCTAATGCGCGTTAGCTTAGACCAGGGAGTCAGGAAGCGTTAAGAAAAGGCTGTGGCTGACAGCATGAATGCGGTAATGAGCACGGCCATGAGTACAACAATCTACAAAGTAAACACCTGGCCAACAATGAAGGTATTCACTGTTCGTGCTATCTAGTACAGAGTAACCTTGGAAGCCCCTGCCCGTACCAAGGTAGATTGTCACTTGGACACGTGGGAAGCGACGCCTTGCCAGATTGTCGAGGCCCACTACAGTCATGTTTGACTACTTTGCAGCCATGATGCTTACATAGTACTCTACACGATCCATGGATACAGGGAGTCATGTAACTTGAGTGTAAAATACTGTATAGATCCTCTACAGGAATATTAATATTCCGAATCTAATCCTAATATGGTATAGTATAACTTGGCATTAGGGTTCCAGAAGCAATCGACGTGGCGAGACGTAATGCACGTAGTCCTTTTAAGATACATAGACTTTCCCATATAGTATGATGTGTGATGTGGTGTGGGTTACAAGGCAAAAAAGCTTAATGGGTTTCAAGATTTGATTTGATTTGGATAGATATCTTAGGTAGTGATCGGAAGATCGATCGGAAAAAAAGAGAGAAAAAGCAGCCATAAGAAAAGCATAGCACTGTCGAGGTAGAGATGGGGGTATGTAACAAAAGAGAGAAAATATCTGCGCCGAGCAAGACACCGTCCTAATCCAACGCCGCGCTTGCAGAGGATAACCGAAGATAAAGGGAAAAGAAAGCAAAAGATTTATGTACTGAAGTGTAGTGACCAAAAAGGGAGATGTATCGTGCCACATCTTGCGCTCTGCGCTAAGAACGGGCATCTATCAAAACCTTTATTTCACTGGGCTGAGACACCCACCCACCGGGACGGAACGGTGTTGTTGTCATCTCCGTCCTCGTATTGTCCCGACAAGTGGGAATTTGTCTTGCGTGCTGGCAGCCAGATGCGAGCACGGGCGGGGATATCGTCGCGGAGTTTGCCGCTGCGGCGCATGTTCATTTCAAGAACCACCACCCGCAAGAAATCGCAGTTCTCACGAATTTCGCGTTGGCGTGACATGGATGGAATTTCCGGGTCGAAAGTGACAAATTTCTGATCCTTACTTGCGATGTGGAAATGGCTTCGCCGATTGCCACGGCCACCGGCTCGACGATATGTCTGCATTTGAATCGAGACGGGGCACGTGCTGGAGGTCTGTGGCTTGTCGTGAGGATGGTCATGATAGACATACATCTCTGCCGGTGACATCGGGGTTGGGTTCATCGGAGAAGGATTCAAGTAGCGTCGTAGTGCTGGAGAAGGTGTTTCTTGCATCGGCAAAGGACGGCGATCATCGGTCATCTCTGGGGTGATGGTGAAAAGAGACCGGGTGAGGAAGTCCTCTGGTTGAACGGAGGGTGTGGCAAATGTCGAGACCGACTGCGCGGCGGATTTGATGGCCCGTAAAGATGCCGTAAGGTTCGACTTGAAAGTAGATCCGAGGCGTCCGAATGATGCAGATCGCTTTGCGGGTACTGTGTCGGGTGTGGCAGGTTCATTGTCGTTCTTAATTTCGATGAATGTGAATTCATCGAGTTCGGTTACAAGCAGAGGATGGTCCAAGGCACACTCCTCGCAATGCGAATACCGAGGCTGTCGTCTCTCCGGTGGACTTCTATGGCTGGGAGGGCTTGGTGGCGAGAGAAGACTGGACGGCGATGCTAGGCCATGGTCTAATGACGGCATCGAATCGCTTGATGTTGACCTGACTGACAGTGGTGATTCGTGCTCAGAATCGTTGCAAGGCAGGAGTTTCTCATTGTCTTCATTGGGCGGGCTGAGAAGGATGTCAAGAGGGGAGTAGGCGGTCCCATCCAAGAAATTATCTTCTTTCGATTTGATGTCTTCCTGCAGCATGCGCCTAAAGTCCTCTGCATGGTTTCCACGTGGTAGTTTCCGAGGTTTGCGGGTGGTCCAGTTTCGTCGCGGGACGGGGATGGCCGTTGCATCTAACATCGAGGTAAATGACGTAGGTTTGGGGCGGTCGTTGGACGAGCTGGAAGAGGAGCGATGAGAGGATTCCGAGGTTTTAGATAAGGCACGTGAACGAATATCTCGACGTGCTGGCAGAGTCCGGGAGCCACGCTTTGGAGGAATTACCACTGGGATGGTGTTGATCGATCCGCGGGTCTCGGTCTTGAGGTCGGGGAGATGAAGGTCAGAATAATCCGACGGCGTGAATGGCTGCATTCCATGAGACTGAAAGGGTCTCTGCGGCGGTGCCGAGCTAAATAGAAATGCTCTTGGGACCATCATGTTGACTGTTGTTTCATCACACGACCACAGTTGCTATCGAGGCCTTAGCCAGTTGAAGCGCTCTGGTCAAGTTTCTGAACGAGATACATGGATGAAGGAGAAAACTGTGGGAAGTGAGAAGCTCCCAAGAAGTCAGGCGAGAGAGGACCAGCAGCCAATCCGAAGGTGTATGTGTTGGCCGAAAGATATGTCGGGGAAGCGGATAGGGCCGTGAGACAAGGGTATGCAGGCACACACACGCGAGCCGATAAGGTAATAGAGAAGGCGATGAGGTGAGAGATTTGGGAGGAGGATGGATATGAGGTAGAATATTGAAGCAGGAAGGAGGATAATAGAAAGGGATAGAGAAGATAGAGAAGAGATGTAGGAGTCAATTTAGATAGAGAGAGAGAGAGATAATATGGGGGGAGAAAGTGATCTCAGATAGATAAGCCGTATTGGGCAGGTAAACCCAGGTAAATATCACGGGAGATGCAGGACAGTAATTTATTTTACGGTGTGATTGATTGGTTGTGGGAACAATGCCGGCATCCGGATTGTGTCCGGCGATTGAAACAGTATTTCAGTACTTTTAATACAATTCCTATTACTCATGGAACATTCCGCCGGTGGAGTCCGGAAGGGAAATAATTTTTTATAGTTATTTTTATATTTTCACATTTTATTATTTGATTATTTGATTACTTTCATATTTTTTATTGTGACATGTAGATATGACTACTTACAATATGTACTCTACAACGTATGATTAGCTCAATATAGTAAGACATACATATGCAGTATATAAGATGTATATGAAAACGAATCACATCTCAACCTTTCAGATCACTGTTGAATAAGATGTGTGGGCCCTTTAAGGTTGCTTTTAGTGCGGTGCGGGCAGATGCACACCGTTCTCCAGAATCAAGACCAAAAAAAGGTCAATTTTTATCATCTTGACTAGTCTTGATTTGTTTATATCTGACGGAAAAAGCAACCTTGCCCAGGTGGAATGATAAATGTGCATAGTTATGTATTTCGTGTCACTTTGATAGATCGACAGGAGCTCCGAGGCTCCCTCCGGTTGCCTCATACATATTTAAGGGGGAACAACATTAAAAGGGAGCGGGTGGCTGCAGTGTCCCAAAACGTCAAGTCGAAGAGACCCCGACGTGGCTAGTGGAGCGCCTTAAGCGAAAGTAATTGCGGTGAAGCCCCTATTTTCTTCCCTATTTTCTTCCCTATTTTCCTCCCTATAACTATTGGTGGCTTTTAATTATGGCTGTTAATTATTATTATATTTCGATCCGTCGCACTTTCATGGTATTATTGCTTCCGAAGCATCCGTAAACATTACATATGTACCTATCTAAATATTCGATGTCAACATTTGAAGTGAACACTGTTACATACAAAATAGGTCTTAGAAATCAAAACAAAAAGGGACCCACCTACATTGTTACCTGAACATCCTTATTTGGGAGTCTCATAGATATGAAATACAAACACACATCAAAATGTCCACAATGTCCAAAAAAAACCAAAGTTGAGACGTGGCTGGTGGAGCGCCTTTAGCGAGGGTAATTGCGGTGAACCCTTATACGATGTATACAGTTGGTTTTTTCTGTCTTTTTGTGAGGTTAGGCAGTCATACATGGTTTTATTGTGATTGGCTTTATCTATTGGCTTTATCTATTCGGTACCTATGTTTTGCTTGCGGCCACTTTACATATGTAACCTCAATCAGTCTATGTAACCCACCAAGGGTTTCATGAATCCTTCAGCAGGGGGAATCGGGAACATGTATCGGAGATAATATCCTGAAAATCACTCGGCACAGGTCCAAGTAATATTCCATTTTCCACAACAATTATATCTATATAATCATATGGAATAGGCCTATGATAAACAAACCTATATACATCTGTACTTATGATGTTTATGTCTGTAGATGCCTAGACCTCGCCACGTGAAGACATTAGTCAGCCGCTTATCGAAAAAGGACATCCCGCACCTGCACAGCCATCCAGAGGCCGGCGATAACCACATCTTGAGTCGTCGCTGTCCAGGTGCTTGCATCCAATCATTTCAAGAGCATCGCCAATCCCTAATCTCACCCATATTTTGCACTGAGCTTGTCCCCGCCTCCACTGCGGGTCATTGCAATCGTGGGGTACGGAGTACATGATTCCTACAACAATTGCCACCAGGCCTGTGTAGATCTTCAAGCGTAGCTGGTGCGTTGATATTTTCTTGTTGTAAGGCGCAATCTCCGATCTTAGCGCCTGACTAGACGGACTGGATCGCCACGGATGGACCGGTAGACTAACATGCCAACATAGCCACCGTGTGCACCCTCGATCTAGGCACCATGTTCTACTAACGAGCTTTGTACTCTAAAAGATGGGCATCCCTTGTCGAGGTTTGGACCAGTCACCGGCAAACACGACATTAGGCATGCGAAGAGGCCCCGCGGAGAAACCACCATACTCATTTCTTGAATCGCACCTATCAAACTATCTGAAATCATGAGTTCCGAACGTGCCCAACCATCCAAAAGGCGATGTGTCAGCACAGCCTGTGTCGCCTGCCGCAAAAGGAAGTCAAAGGTTGGACTTTCATATTCTGATATCGAGATATCACATTACTAATATCTGCGTGTAGTGTGATGGAAACCTGCCCAGCTGTGCAGCTTGTTCCTCAGTATATCATACACCTTGTATGTATCTCTTTTACAAAGAGCAATACCAGCATTGCTAACCCTTCATAGGTGTATATGATCCAAACTCGGATCACCGCCGCAAAGGTGTTTATAAGAAAGACACTGATACATTGCGGACCCGAAACACCACCCTACAGACTTTGATACAGGCAATATTGAACTACGAGGAAGCAGATGCTTTCGATCTAGTACGTCAGATTCGCTCTTGCGATGATCTCGAGGATGTAGCGGCTTCCGTGATCGCCCAGGAGAAGGGGCTCATGTCTACGGACCAAGCAGCAAGGGAGTCAGCCAGCAATGAGAATATTGCCGGGATAGATCAATTCGAGTCAGAGCTGGCTGGCAAGATGAGTGAGCTCATGCTTGACGGTTCTCGCAAATTTATTGGAGGTACCTCGAACCTCATCTTCTTGCCACCAGGCTCCGAGCTGCATGAATCTGCTTCGATTCAAAACAACGTCGCCCTCGATGCCGATAATCAGACACACGCCGTGAGTCGGTGGACCGAAGTCACAGACGACGACTCACTAATCAGCCATCTGATGACCATGTACTTTACATGGCACTATCCGTTCTTCACTACCTTATCCAAGAATATGTTCTATCGGGATTACATCCGCGGAGTTTCCAGTTCATATTGCTCCGCACTACTCGTCAATTCCATCCTAGCTCTGGGCTGTCATTTCAGCTCATGGCAAGGTGCTTTTGAGGATCCCCAGAATCTTGCAACAGCGGGAAATCATTTCTTCAAAGAGGCGAAGCGACTCGTATTGGAAAATGACGAACATGAGAATGCGAAGCTCTGCACTGTCCAGGCATTCGCACTTATGTCTGTCCGGGAGGCAGGATGTGGCCGTGAAGGAAAAGGCTGGGTCTATAGTGGTCTCAGTTTCCGCATGGCTTTTGATCTAGGGTTAAATCTCGATTCGGCAAATCTTGGGGCGCATAGCCTTAGCGACGAAGAGATTGATGCTCGGCGGGTCACCTTCTGGGGTTGCTATCTCATTGACAAGTCAGTCTTCATTGTTTTGATTATCTCTAATGCCTCTCTAACACTCCACAGATGCTGGTCAAATTACCTCGGTCGTCAACCCCAGTTGACCTCGACCAATGCTAATGTGCCCAAGTTTGATGTGTTGCCACAAGAAGAAGCAGAGTTATGGTCGCCCTACACTGATTCTGGAGTTGGTCACGAGCACACGCAACCATCGCGAACCAGGGCTGTCGCGCTGCAAATATCCAAGCTGTGTGAGATCAGCAGCGATGTACTTGTGTTCTTCTACCATCCAACCGAACTCGAAAGTTCCCAGCCCAAACAGTCGGAACTGAAGAAACTGAGCGATGTTCACACCCGGCTCGAGGCGTGGAAAAACAATCTGCCTAGGGAACTAGTGGCAAAAGAAGGACAGCTACCACAAGTGCTTGTCATGCAGTAAGTTGACATATTCGCACACGTTGTTGCCCCAGCTAACTCTTGCGTCAGTATGCTATATCAGCTTCAGATAATTCACTTATACCGACCATTCCTGAAGTATACCAAGACCAATACGCCACTTCCTTCCCATGTCTCACCTCGCAAGATATGCACACAGGCCGCCGCGACGGTTTCCAAGTTGCTGCGCATATACAAACGAGGATACGGACTGAAGCAGATTTGCAACATTGCCGTCTATATTGCCCACACTGCATGCACCGTCCATCTTCTCAACCTCCCCGACAAAAATGCCCAGAGGGACGTGATACATGGCCTCAAGAATCTCGAAGAAATGGCAGAAGGCTGGCTCTGTGCTCGACGTACCCTCCGTATTCTCGACATATCCGCAAACAAGTGGCAAGTAGAGTTACCACCCGAAGCAATCTCCATCTTTGAACGAACACATAACAAATGGGGGTCCTGGGGCTCTTGGGACCAAGCGACTTCCCCCTCAACATCCGACGATTATCCCATCGCACCCGTGTTACAACCCCCCACAACTCCAAGTCGATTTTCACCATCTGGGCTCCCATTCCCACATTCTCACACCGAACCCATACCCATGGTTGACACGCCGATGGGCCCTCAATACGGGCCCATCGCCGCCGTCCCAATATCGTTCCCCCCATGCAAGGAATGCGTCCACCTCAAGCCCAACGGCCCGAATTTGCCCCTCCCGAACCAACATATCTCCGGCCCCAAATGGCCTACCAGTTCACTCCCCTCCAAGGATCCGTTCCAGCCCCCTCTTCTCCCCATCCAAACAAGTGGTACGATGGCTCTGGGGCTCATATCTCACCCCAAAATGCAACGCCAACATCGGTTGCATCACCCGTATCTGGGTATGACGGCACAGAAAACCTGGTCGAAGAGAGCCAGGACTGGTGGTCGAGAAATGCCAATGCGTATGGCATCGGCATGGATGGTTGGAGTGGTACTTGGAATACTACTCCTCAAAACCAGCCTTCTATCATTCAATACCAGGACCGTAATCTCATGTCTGTCGCTCAGCCTCCTAGTACTGGTGATGAGCAGCCTCAAGCTCCAGGGCGAATGTCGACAGTTGGGTCGTCCTTGGATCCCGATGATACTACTGGGTATGGGGATAGATGGAAATAATGCATGGACTTTGTGATTTTTGACTTATAGGAACATATCTCGTTCGACTTTTGATACCACTTTAGGGGGGGTTTTGTCTTTTCCCGGCGTTTATGGATATGCCATCTACAATTTTGTTTCTGTTTCAAAATCTTATGATCACTTTAGAGGCAAGGACATTTAGAAGTGCAAGTATCAAAAAATTTGTCATAGATGATCATTAGTTCTCAAAAACCAACACCAAGGCGCAAAATGCTACTTCCAAGAGATCCATATAAAAAGAAAAGAAAAATGTGCATGGGATGGTATCACTAGGCATGGTTGTTAGTAAAATGATATCAGTCAAGACAACAGAAAAAAAGAACAGCTTACCAAGAAATAATCAGCGACAGGCTTCTTTGCAGGCATGCCCCTCGTGTCCTGCGCTGCAGCCTCAAAGACACGATATCTCCTTCCAGGACTGACAACTCTATTATCTGTAACGATGCCGTTGCTCCGACCATATTCACCGTTACTGCGAGCGACAGTGCCACCGCCACTGGAGTCTTCACCCAGCTCAAGGATAGCGGCAACATTGCCACAGCGGTAGCAGTAGTTTGGAGCAGACCAGACAGTGACGATACCGCCATCAAACATCTCCTTGTATCCCTCCATAACAAGCTGGTGGGCACGCGCGACAAGAGACAAGCCGTTGAGATGGTTGAACTGTTTGACGATATCGCCGCCGAAGAGGAACCCAGCCCCACGAGGACTCAATCCCCAACCTTCGATCTCATCCGGATCTGACCAGAGCAGATCGCACATGGCACCTTCGTGTGGCACCTCTTGCTTGCGGTCAATCAGCCGGATTTTATCGACGGAGTCAATGAGCGGTGACAATCCACCGTGTACACAAAGGACCGCACCAGTCCGGCTAGTCGTTGCGCTGCCGTTGCCATCGCCGCTCGCGCCTGTCCCTGGTGCACCCGATCGTGTGGGCGCGGCAGCCTGGCCTGGGGCGGCGGAGATGTCTCGTGGCGGTGAGATATTTCTGGAATCTGTGGATGCATCGGAAGACGAACGCTGTCGTGCACGGTACGTACTCATCGTCACTTCGCCTCTGGAATTTAGTACTTCTGTTTCCAGCTCGCTGTCATCGATCGGCATGCTTGATTGTGCTGTGTTGGAGGTGGGTTCTAGCTCTGAGCTCGCGCCGAGCACGATCGCGCCCAGGGCCAGGTAGTCGAATACTTCGCAGCAATACCGCCATACGTTGGCGCTGCCGTATTTGCGAATGCATTCGTCGTAAAAACCATATACTGTTGTGATTTGGCGTGATTCGTGGTTGCCCCGGATCAGGGTGATGCGATCGGGGTATCGGACTTTCAAACAAAGGAGGAGAAGGAAGGATTCAAGAGAGTAGAAGCCACGGTCGACGAAATCGCCCATGAAAAGATAGTTGGTATCTGGAACATCACCGCCGACGCGGAATAGTTCCATCAAATCGTGGAATTGGCCGTGGATATCGCCGCAGATGGTCACGGGAGCGTCAACGGACACGACATTGCCTTCTTCGATCAGGAGCTCACGCGCCTTGTAGCACAGTTCGCGCACTTGGCTTTCGGGTATCAGGCGACAGGCCCGCAGCTGCTCGATCGCCCTAATAGACACAAGACATTAGTTTGACGGTGAACGATGGGGGTCTGGAGACTTGAGGGGTTGGTGCCTTACCGGTCTAGGTCGCTCATCTTGTCGAAAGAGGGAGGGGGAAGGAAAGGGGGGGACTGTATCGAAATCGAGAAATCCCCAAAGAGAAATCAGATGGCTCAGTTCTCCGAAACAGCCAATCTCATCTTCGCGAAGCTATGATGCGCGACGCAGAGACTTGAGAGAAGCGGAACATCCAATCACGCGGGAGCCAGATAAGATTAGATGCACCCAAAGCCTTTGCTGTCGTCTTCTCTCCGCACGATTTCCTTTGAATCTCCCTTTACATTTGCCATCGGAGGTTCAGAAGCCTGTCAGCTTGAACAATTCTCACTGAACATTCAATTGACCTCCTTGTGCCTGTTATTTCTTCCGTTCCTGTCCGACTACACCAGCCAGCCTAGTCCGAGCCCTCCGATGGCCTGAAAAATTCCAGAAAAAGTCGGCCACGCCCACCTCATCTCAATTGAACATCAATACTCGTTCTCTCTCACTTTGTATACAATGCCACCACACCTACACCCTCGGTCGCGGTCAACCACCGGCCTATTCGCCGGCACCCTCCTCGCATCTCTCCTAGTTGTCGGCATGCCACACGTCTTCCCTTGCCCAGCCCCACGACGCACCTTTGCCGATTCGGAGATGACCATGACAGCCGATGGACAACAAGTACCACGCATCCGACGCAGACGACGGAAGGATCTCGAAGTGGGCCCAGAGGGCAGTCAGCCGGGTCAGCCCACGCCAGTTGTTGTGGATGAGGAGGTCTCGACATTCCTTCAAATGGAGGCCGAAGCAGAGAAACTCTCACACATCAATCGAGAATGCCCCGTTCCCAAACCCAAGGGTGTCATAGGGGAATTGCTGGGCTTCCGCGATACCCAGGCGAATGCCCAACACCAGCCAACTGCCCTGTCAGAAGGAGACCAATAATGCGTGCATGTTGACACTCTCCGGATTTTTTTGCATTTTGTTTTCTCGGCTGTTTAATGATACCATGGATTTTGGCAATAAGGGTCGGGTGGACCGGTGGATGTTTAGAAGAATGACCATGCTCGAGGTCCCAATGCGAGCTAGACCTACAACATATGTATTCTCTATGTACACTGAGATGTATAAAATCAAATACCAATTATATTAAGACTAGAGATGGTCAAAAGTTATACAATTACCTCAATTAAAATGCTTACCTCCATCTTTAAATGCAATTGTAGACGCTTATCTAGTAAGGCGGAGCCAGCTCCGGCCACCTCGAATATTCCCCCCGTCAACCATCGAGTGTATCTCGCCATGGCATTGACAGCCAAGAGCTTCGTCTACGACGTGCTCACTAATCCGCAACATACAAGATGGATTGCACCTCTACTCATTCTAGGCGACGCGCTACTCTGCGCCCTCGTCATATGGAAGATCGCTTGTAAGACCGCGTCCAGGTGTCGCGTAATAAACCAGATCCAGCTAACCAAGCAACAACCACAGACACTGAGATTGACTGGTCGACGTATATGCAGCAAGTCTCTCTATATATCTCCGGCGAACGCGACTACCTCCTGATCAAAGGCTCAACCGGTCCCCTCGTCTACCCCGCCGCCCACGTATACATTTACACCTTCCTCTACCACCTCACGGATGAAGGCCGTGATATTCTCCTCGGGCAGGCGCTCTTTGCCGTGCTCTACCTGGCTACACTGGCTGTGGTAGTTGCCTGCTACAGACAAACGGGAGCTCCTCCTTATCTTTTCCCGCTCCTTGCTCTGTCCAAACGGCTGCATAGCATATTCGTCTTGCGCATGTTCAATGATGGCGTCGCGACTTTCGCCATGTGGCTTGCTATTTATCTGTGTGTGAGGCGCAATTGGACAGCGGGAATTGCAGTGTGGTCTTTTGGAGTTGCGATTAAAATGACACTTGTCCTGCTTGTGCCTGCTATTGCGGTCATCACTCTTCTCAGTTTGGGGTTGGCGCGAAGTATTTCGCTTGGAGCTATGGCTGTTCTTATCCAGGTGGGTTCTTAGCAAGTAACAATTGAGTTCTAAGGAGTCGGCTAACGCGAGAAACTACAGGTCCTACTTGCAGTTCCCTTTCTCCAGACTAATAGTACAGGCTACCTCTCTCGGGCCTTTGAGCTATCCCGCCAGTTCTTGTTCAAATGGACTGTGAACTGGCGGTTTGTAGGAGAAGAAACATTTCTCTCAAGGGAGTTCTCTGTGGGTCTGCTAGTGCTGCATATATCCTTGTTGGCTATTTTCTTCAGAAACTGGGTAACACCTTCAGGGTCGAACATCGTTTGCTTCCTTCAGGACACTATCCAGGGACGTCAAAAGACAGTTCCACTCTCAAAATCGTTCACTATGACCGTGATGTTGAGCTCACTGGCCATCGGCTTGCTATGCGCCAGATCCTTGCATTACCAGTTTTTCGCGTATCTCGCGTGGGCTACCCCATTTCTTCTCTGGCGCGCAGGTATCCACCCAGTTCTTATATACGCCATATGGGCGCTGCAAGAGTGGGCTTGGAACGTTTTCCCTAGCACAAACGCAAGCTCGGCGGTTGTGGTGTTGTCGCTCGCGGTCCAGGTATTTGGCGTGTTGTTCAATGGCTCGAGCGAGGTAGATAAGAAGACTGACAAGGGGAACAGCCGCGGCAAGGCAACTGTCCAAAAATGAGAGATACCCAGCAGCAATTCATACTGAGGCGTGCATATTTCGAGAATCATTGTTGATAGCCCAGAATCCCTGTGTACCGTAGCGGCTACCATTGAACAATCGCTTGGTGCCTTTGAAAGGCGATCATTCAGTCTGACTCGTCCGAAGAAGGCATTTGGCCCACACGAGACTCTTCTTCGTCGCCAGAGCTATCAGCCAATACAACGGGCTGTTTCACGAATTCCTTAGGCCTGTGGGAAAGCAATGCCAATTAGCGAACGAGCTCGTGGCTAATCTTAATCGAAAACACATACCAAAAGCGAGCCTTTCTCCAAGCCTTCTCGTCCCGGACGATATTGACAATTTCCCCTCCAATTTTATTGTCCCGCTCCTCCTGGCCCTTGGTATCGACCACGACGTACGAGCTGCGCTTGATCCAGATAGCTGAGCGGAATCGTGCAGGCAATTCGACGAGCATCTGCTTCTTGTCTGTCTGTTCGACCAAGTAGATGTTGTTTCCGGTGGCTTTGATTGCTCGCACGATCTGCTGGGTGTCGGATAGCTCGTCTGGAGGGGTCAAGGTTCCCTCTGCTGTAGCCAGCATCTTTCGGCGAGGTGGTCCCATTGTTGAAGATGCAATTTAAAATTATGGATATCACGAATGCAAAGACAGGTCAATTGCAAGAGAAAGTTGGGAAGGAAATTAGTTGTCCGGAAAATAATTTGATCTTATCGGCGGGGCGGGTTCCCAAGGTTCCCCTGCCCGCATTTACTCCAGTCCCCATATTGTATGGCATCAAATTATCATTTTGATGGCCGAAGAGGCTTCCAAGGTTATTTATTCAATATTCATTACTGATCAGATACTTACTGAATGCGGCAATATCCTTTACGAGGCTCATCTTCGGCCTACCAAGTCGTGGGTCCCCCAAGATAAACCAAAGCCCAGGCGCCCCTCAGACTATGAATTGAACAACTTTGGACTGGCCAAGAACTCAGGTCGAGTCTATGTGTCTCGTCAACTTCAGAAATGTCATGAATGACAGCGCTCGTGCCTTTAGTCCCTCCCGGCCTCAATACTCAGTGGGATACGAAACACAATTGAATTCTCCTTGGTGTAGGAGATGAAGAAAAGGATGGATTTATATCCTAACTAGAGCTAAGGCTGTGAAAGACGGTCAGAAATGCCGTAACAATGCCCGCCGGAAAGAATCATCCAACGTCCCCGTTGGCTCCGTAAAAGTGCAAATGAAAACAGAAATGGGGCTCCCCCTGGCCTAGTTGATGGCATAGTCCTCCTCTTGGTTCACTGATTCGTCGTGGACTGAACGGGCTTCGCCCTGGTCGTCTGAGGCATCAACGTTGCCTTCGTTGATTGGATCTGCTTACGTAGTATTGTCATCGTCCCGGTTATCTGAGATGTTGTCCTGATCGATCTGATCGTCGATTCGCTGTGCGTGCGAGGTCTCGTTGTCCTGTACCTATGAGGATTCGTCACCTTGTTCTTCCGTCCGCGCCGACTGCGCCGAATGCCAAGACGTTAGTTGGTCGTCGTCGCTCATGAGAATAGGTTCTTCCTGTTGCGGTCCTTGCGTATTCTCCAGGGGCGTGCGTAGACGAACTTTGTCGAGAACCGATCGTAGGGCACGTTTGGCGATATCGTTGTTGCGGGCATCCAGATGCGAAGTGAAGGCGTCGTATCTGGCTTCATAGATTGTTTCTGCGTCCGCTAAGTCCTTGGCTATGTGTACAATTTGTCGAGCGTGAGCGTCGAGCATTCCCCGAACGATTCTAATACGTTCGGCGTCTTTCGAAATTTGATCGATCTCATCACAGTCCATGATGAAGTCGTCACTGACTCCTCTGGTGACCCGTCGGATGTGCTTTGTTGGGGACCTTACCGATCGCGGCCAGGTTTCGGTAGATGTTCCTGTAGTCAGAATCGCTCGACTCTTCGAAGACCCTTGTCCTGGATCAAGCCTCTGTCTCTTGACGACCCTGCCATCTTGAGGTCGACGTGTCTTGTTTAGGGGAATCGAGCGTACTCTGGAGAAGTCTAAGAACTCGATGCTCTCGGCTAGGCCTTCTGAGTAGTCGGCCAACACCCGCTTGGCATACTCGTTGGTTGCCTCGATATTTCCTGTGTATCGAGCAAGTTCTGCGTCGACCTTGGAGGGCTGCTGTGGAACGGCCGATTTGGTGACAGCTCGCCCCCGAGCCATGTCACAGTCTGGCGAAGTGAACCATGCAAATGGGGGAATAATAAGAGATGGTGCAATGAATGAATGATATAACAGTGTAACCAGTTGAAGAAATTGCGAACTTGGAATAAACGCAGAGAAGCGAAGTATGAATAAGTAAGTGTTGGTCAATTGGGGTTGTTGGGGGAAGATCAATAGGAAGTGTGATTGGTTCGGAGTTGGTGAAGTGGTGAGGTGAGGTTGAAGAAGAAGATCAATGGGATGTATGAGTTGGTTTCAATTGTAAGTGAATGAGAGGATAATCAGATATACCGTGAAAGTATGGTCCGTTGTTCAATGAAGGAACTGTTGTGGCTACTGGCGAAGAGGAGAGAGAGGAAGAAGAATCTATGAAGAGCAGGTATTTATACCCTGAATCTGGCAAACAAGCGCTCAGTCTGCAAGCAAGCAAGGCCTATAGAAATAGGCATGGGAGATGGGATCATCTAACAGGAACAACTTGAGGTCACACCAACTCTTCGGGGCGAGAGAGTTGTTGATTGCGCTGTTGATCTTCGTAGGCTTCGATCAACTGGGGCGTATGAATTTGCACATTCGCCGCTGACCTCCATACGTCCCAAGCTGGGCCATATTTCGACGTCGTTGCAAAAATTGCAGGTTGTTTTTTATTTGCATTGAACCCACGAACTGACAATGCGTGCCATCTGAGACCCCAAGATTACAATATTAGGCAGGTGGACTACGCCAAGCATCAAAGGTTATACATAGGAAAGTCTCTTACACAAAGTATGCCTTTTTCCCCCTTTTCTGCCGTCTAGCTAACAAGCTGAGAAGGGGGAGACAATATCTATGAAAACAGACATCTGAAAAGACTGACTGGGGGGTTTATTCATTGCATTGCATGAAAATCCGCTTTGGGTTTCAGCTCGCGCTAACCAGTCCAGCGTACCATGTATGGCCCCCTCGCACTTTGAGGAAGGTATTAAATCTCTGGTCTGATGGCTTCAATTCAGTCAAATGTCCCTCGAATAGTAGTCTGATCTAGCGGTATAGACAAATCTCCTGCTTCATAATATTGTCTTAATCGGAGGAATACTCTTGAAATTCGTCAAGTTTATAGTCATCATAAGCGAGGGAGTTTGTTCTCTCGTTGGGCTAACAAATGTACGATCTAATGCTCTATAAATCGGGCTGGGTCTGCATGATAATGGCAAATGTAGGATTAATGCCCTATGTATTCAATTTGGAGCATTGGCCTTGCAGTGTATTTAGCGTGTCTTCATCTATTGGCTGTGAAAGTAGTGACATCACCAATTTCAGCCGAAAAGACAGAGAGATGACCAAGTCATCAGATACAAATATCTCGGGAGGGCGTCGAAAGCAACTAGGATCCCTATTCTCCCTCAATGTATGCAGTAAGGGGTATGTGGCATGATCTCTGCACCCGATGAGAAATTCCTAATAAAGCGGGACAATTCCAATCTTTTACACTATTGTACGAAGTACAGAAGGTGCCAAGTGTGTTAAGACCGTTCCGACTCTTGTCGATCTGGTCAAAGGGTTCGGAAGTATGAGGTGTGTGTAGTGTACGTCAGTAGATAACTATGTACCTACTTTGTAGAAGTATGCCCGATTTGGGTAATCCATAAACATATATCATTAGATACAGAAATGAATATATAAACATGTGAATATATAGGTCTAAAACGATTCACGTGTTAATAATACCCTTGTTAATATGTATGGAATACTGTCAACCCGTGCGCTTTTCGCCACTTCCTTATCGGAGGTGCGTGGTAGTATGGACCCCCAGAAACTGCCGACTGGACTTCTTGTCTGGATCCAACCCATCGGGTAAAATTAGAGGATTCTCTTTCTTTTCCCCTCCACCAATTTAACCCTTTTTCTTTTTTTTTCTGGGTTTTATCGATTCAATTTCGGCTGTGAATCAACTGGGTGATCATTGCGGGCAGTCTGTCTCACATTTTCCGAAGTGGCATTACCTGCGCCCGTTGCGCCCCTTGTCAACAACAGCCCCGCGAATCCTCTCCCACCAACAACCCACCTTGACCTGGCGCAAGCGCACCCTTGAAATTTGAGCCAGCCTTGCTCTTTGCCCCTCGTCAGACCTGCCATCATGGATGGGGACGAGCTAATCGCCTCGGTCTTCCGCAAGATCGAGCGGGAGAAGGCCCTCATCACCGCTGCCAGTAATATGCGGCAGTCGACCGATAATCCCCTCGTGCAACAGAGAGTCGATGCCAACATTCGCGATGGTCGCAAGAATATCGCTTACCTGGAGGAGAAAATGAGAGAATTGCAAATCCGTCAGATGAACCAGGAAGGTGGCTCACCCGGCCAGCGTGGAGGCCCGGCCCCCCGCCCAAAGACGGATACGCTGGCGAGCAAGGTGACGGTCACTACCCTCAGGGTGGCTCTGGCTCGATGCCCTCCGGTGCCCCATTCGCCGACCCCCGACCTTATGCTCCGATCCCGAAGGCGAGGCCCAATTACACGAAGCTAGGTACGTTCTTGAATACTGCTCCCGCCAAACCCTTCGAAAAATGCCCCTCTGAGCTTAAATCGCTTGGAATGCTAATATGAATGGCTATGTCTTAGATCTGATCAAGTATGACACTCCGTATCTCGGGCCGAAGATCCAACTCATGCTGTCTCAATTGGAGTTCAAGCTGAGCGTGGAAATGCAATATAAAGCCGGTATCGAAAAGATGGTCCGCTTGTACCAGGATGAGGGCGACCGGAAGAGCCGAGCTGACGCCGAGGGCCGTCGCATTGAGAGCAACCAAAAGATTCAGCTTCTAAAGCAGGCACTAAAGCGATACGAGGATCTCCATGTAGATATCGAATCCGCCGATGCGCCAGACGGTATGAAAAATATAGCATTTTTGCTGCGAGCATAATACGACATGGTCACTAACTGGTGTGCAGATGAGAGTCTTAGTAGTCCGAACATGCGCAAGCCGCTGACGGGTCTGCTGACAATGCGCATCCATGCAGTCAAGGACGTGGACCATGCGGCCAGTTCGCGATTTTCTCGAGGACCAGAGACATACATTGTCGTCAAGGTTGAAGACACGATCAAAGCGAGAACCAAGGCCACCCGAAACGATAAATGGTTGGATGAAAGCTTTTCCATGGATATCGATAAGGCAAACGAGATCGAATTGACTGTTTATGACAAGTCGGGAGATCGCCCAGTACCAATCGGTATGCTTTGGGTGCGCATTTCTGACATCGCAGAGGAGATGCGTCGCAAGAAAATCGAGACGGAGCTCAACGCATCTGGCTGGGTATCTGCAGATAAGATGGGCGATAGCGGATCCCCTCGACATGACCACGCCGGTTCTCCTATGGGCTCTTCACATGGCCCTAGCTCCGGAGGACGCCCGGGCACCTCGGGGCATGGCGCACATGGACACCACGGTGGCGAGAGCTCGAATGCTCCCCCGACTGTGACGATCGATGCATGGTTTGCCCTGGAGCCGGTTGGCCGAGTTCAGCTTCAAATGAGCTTCGGTAAGACTAACCCGCAGTAACCCCAAAAGAAGCAGCCTCATGTGCTAACTGGATATAGCCAAACAATTGAAGGACCGCCGTCCCTTTGACATTGGTCTTAACCGTCAAGGTGCCGTGCGCCAAAAGAAGGAGGAGGTTCACGAGAAGCAGGGCCACAAGTTCGTCACCCAGCAGTTTTACAACATTATGCGCTGTGCACTGTGTGGAGAATTCCTCAAGTATGCTGCCGGTATGCAATGTGCGGATTGCAAGTACACTTGCCACCGCAAGTGTTACCCTAAGGTTGTCACCAAGTGTATCAGCAAAGCCAACTACGAGACCGATCCGGACGAGGAGAAAATCAACCACCGCATTCCCCACCGATTCGAAGGCTTTTCCAACATCTCCGCGAACTGGTGCTGCCACTGCGGCTATCTGCTTCCCTTTGGACGCAAAAATGCCAAGCGCTGCTCTGGTAGGCAATATTACTGGCAACGCAGCTTATTTCTAATCCATGCTGACCCCCTTTATAGAATGTAGTCTTACGTGTCACGCTCAGTGCACTCACCTTGTGCCTGATTTCTGTGGAATGACGATGGAAGCCGCCAACCAAATTCTCGAGACATTGATTCGCACCAAGCATCACAACAAGTCTGCCTCTGTTAGTTCTGGCCTCAGCAACCGTACCCTTCGAGCAGGCGGTCCGCCGCAGCCCTCTCAAGACAACGCAGCCCTCTCCTACCCCCAGAAGCCGATGGAAGGACCCTACGGGGCTATTCCTAGACAACCCTCCGCAGAAGCGGTAAGCGCTGCCACTAACTCCTTCGTGACTCCACAGTCACCAACTGCTGCTGCACAGCGCCAACAGATATCACCGAAATCGCCCACAGGACCTGCCGCTGCCGCTGCCGCCGCCGCCGCAGCTACTGGGCTACGTGGCCCCCAGCAACCCCCGAGTATGCAATTTCTGATCATGCGTTGAAGAGAGAGTCTTGGTACTAATCAAATCTTAGCCGAAATGGGCCGTCCTATGCCGCCACCCCAGGCACCCCCGCAGCCTCAACACGCCCATTATGACCCATCCGCTTATGCCAATTTCCCGCAGCAGCCTCCGCCCCAAGCTATGCAGAAGGTGCAGCCTGCTGCTTATCCAATGGCACCCCCTCCGCAGCCCATGCAGCAACAGATTCCCCAACAACAGCAAGTTGCACCCCCTATCAAGGACGACGCTGCAGCGCAGGCAAAGGCTCGCATTGGATTGGATCACTTCAATTTCCTTGCTGTTCTCGGAAAAGGTAACTTCGGAAAGGTCATGTTGGCTGAAACAAAGAGCTCCCGCAAGTTGTATGCCATCAAGGTCCTGAAGAAGGAATTCATTATCGAGAACGATGAAGTGGAGAGCACCAAGTCTGAGAAGCGTGTTTTCCTGATCGCAAACAAGGAACGTCACCCATTCCTTCTTAACTTGCACGCTTGTTTCCAAACGGAAACGCGTGTCTATTTCGTCATGGAGTATATCAGTGGTGGTGATCTCATGCTGCACATTCAGCGTGGCCAATTCGGCCTCAAGAGGGCACAGTAAGTCCTATGCTTAGTCTTTGCCCGGTTTCGAGGGTTGGAAATGCTCACATATTGTAGATTTTATGCTGCCGAGGTCTGCCTGGCACTCAAGTACTTCCACGAGAACGGTGTCATCTACCGTGACTTGAAGCTCGATAACATTTTGCTGACCCTGGATGGTCACATCAAAATTGCTGATTATGGTCTTTGCAAGGAGAACATGTGGTACGGCGGTACAACCAGCACGTTCTGTGGTACTCCTGAATTCATGGGCCCAGAAGTAAGTGGGATCAAGTTTGATTGTGTCTTCTTGAAGTACCGATGAGCTAACTTTTGTTATAGATTTTGCTGGACAAGAAGTACGGACGGGCTGTGGATTGGTGGGCGTTTGGTGTTCTCATCTACCAGATGCTTCTACAACAGTCTCCGTTCCGTGGTGAAGATGAGGATGAAATCTACGATGCCATTCTTGCCGATGAGCCTCTCTACCCCATTCATATGCCTCGCGACTCCGTGTCGATTCTCCAGAAGCTGCTGACTCGTGAGCCCGAGTTACGTCTGGGTTCCGGTCCAACCGATGCCCAAGAAGTGATGTCTCACGCCTTCTTCCGCAACATCAACTGGGATGACATCTACCACAAGCGGGTTCCCCCGCCATTCATCCCCACAATCAGCAGTCCTACCGATACCAGCAACTTCGACCAGGAGTTCACCAGTGTGACTCCAGTCCTGACACCTGTACAATCTGGTAAGATATTCTTTGGTTCTTTTCTGTGCTTGCTGCGAGATGAACTGTAACTAACCGATCCTTTTTATTTAGTGCTTTCGCAAGCCATGCAGGAAGAATTCCGTGGATTCTCTTATACTGCTGACTTTGCTTGATTCCACCGATGTGTGATCGGGATAATTATTGCTTGCTTGGACACCTGTCACGAGTTGTTGACGAGGGTGTCAATTCGGTTCATAGGGGGTTTAATGCCGACACGTCCGGTTTCTTCAGGGCGCCGCGGGTCTCCCTCCCTTTCCAGCACTTCTTGATCTTCAAATTGCTTCAACATACCCAATCGCAGTTTCGTTTTAAGTGCCGGTGTGGACCGGACCTCACTGACATGCTTCGACCGCCGGATACCATGGTTAATGAACCCTCCAGGTTGCTTTTGCTTTCCCGATTTCCTTGTGTGCTTATCTAAATTGCTTGCTCTATTTTTCCCCTTTCGAGTTCTTTTTTTCTGTTTAAGTTTTCCTTCCGACTGGTCGGGTTTATGACTCTATTCTATGTCGGGCATTTGATGTCCAAAAAGTGGAGAAGGGACGGGTTCCCATATGGGAACTGCGTGATATGGTTTCAAGAGAGTTTGATGAGAAATGACGAAGTTTGAAGATCTATGAAGATACCGTAGGTCCCGTCCCGTAAGGGACTCGTGCGTGTTATGTCCGGTATTATGTTCTCGCGGTTCGTGGTATAGAGAGAAGGAGATACAAATACGAACTAATCTATCTCATCTGTCTATTTTGTAGTTGGATCACGGTTTTATATGCACTTGGACACATATAGATGCACATGTGTATATCAAATTCCGGGATGCGACTGCCTGCCCTACCTCGTTCCTTCCTCTATTGCGAATACACGTACACGTTTATTTTGTTTACCTTTGTCCTCTTCTCTTCTTCTCTTCTTTTTTCCAATGTACCAGATCTTTTTGACTCTATCCATCCAGCCTCTTTTCTTTGTTCCAGAAATAGATCAAGCTACCGAGGTCTCTTTCAAAGATGCTGCCAAAAATTAAACTCCTGTTTCGTCGGGGCTCTCGGGTCTTGAGTAGACCTGCTGAGCCCGTGCCTTTGGGCAACAAAGAGAACCTGCTCTCGGGAAACAAAGAACCCTCGTGCCCGGGCAACAAAGAACACACCCCTCAGTCCACTCCAAAGGTGGGCCAACGGCCGTCGAGATTACATCGCATCGAGAGATGGCTCCAGAACGTTTCTCACCCCGTTTATGGGTCTCCCATCAACAGGGTGCGACCCAAAGTCGATAATATCGACTTTCACATCCACTTTTCTGATAGTTTGGAGTCAGGACCCCCTCCGGCCTGGTTTAATGAGACTTGGGACAACGATCCCGAGATTCAACCTTTCCTGTGGGAAGACGAGATTTTCCACGACCCCATCAACTCACGTCCTTCTCCCTCTCCTGCCACCCCGGTCCTGCCACAGCCGGCGGTTGCATCCCCTCCCCTTCACCATCCCGAGGAGCCGGCAAGCTCCTCGTCGCTGAACACCATGCCTGACACGGTTGCTCAGTTCAGCGCACAGGGTCGGGTTGTAAGTTCGTCTTTATCATTGCTTATCCTATCACTTTGACCTCAGTTACCTCGCTCTCACCAGTTCACTACTCACTTGCATCTTACTGACTTCCATGCTAGGTGACCTCAGCCCAAAAGCGGGCCTTCTTCCCCGATGACACGGAGCCTCAGAGCCCGACTAAGCGAGTCAAACTCGAGCCAGAGGGCTCTGCAACAAAGAGCAAGCGGCCCGAGGACGACGACATCAGTGAGGACGACAACTGGGACTCCGATCCGCCCACCTCGCCTGAATATAAGATTTCCAGTGCGAGTGATGGTGATGACAGCGACACCAGCGACGCTGCTTCCTCACCATGCGTGAAGCGAGTAAAGAGGGCCGCTTTGCATCCCTCAGTCAAGAAGGGCCACTCCATTAACCCCAAAGCTAGAAAGAATAGGAAGAGGAAGGCATCGGATTCGGATAGATCCATGTCTGAGCCAAGTGACCTCGACTACGAGAGCGAGGAAGAATACTTCATTCCGACAGGAGAGCGCGACGAGCTGCTCAATAATAAGCTGACCCGGGAAAGGGCAAAGCGCCTACTTGACGCTGTGGAACTGCCCCAAGGCCACGACCTGTCACCAGACGAACAGCGGACTGCCCATCAACTTCTTGCTCGTGGCTGCATGCCAACTATCCACAGACACTGGGAGAAAGATTTCTCCACCCTTCCAGAGTCACTGTTCTTTTCTGGGAAAGAGGATGAAGCTCAACGTAACGAATCTAACTTTGTCCTTGAAAACGATAAGTGTTCCGAGTTTTATGCGATCCGTGCATTTCAAGAACTTTTAAAGATATGTGGCAATGTGAGGGACTACTGCAATATCCTTGACCTCTGTCCTGCAGTCTACATCAAGAAGTCAACAGAGAAATACCTGCGTTGGGCATTGAGCGATGCCGGTGTCAGAGTCCAGCCGGACACACCCCCCGTGCACATCATCTACAGTAAATATCAGGACGAAGAGCCAAAAGAAGCCTTTAACAAAGTTGCCAACGCATTGAAGAAGCTATCAGATACCTGGCAGAGCCAACTCGCTGCACCCCACGATGGCGAAAAAGCCTGGCCGGCATTGATGGGGCTCGTTATATGCGGACCTGTTCTTTCTGTCATCTCTCTCGATACCAATCCCCATCCGCAAACCCTAACACAAGGAATCAAGTTCCTTGGTCATTTCGACCTTGCAGATTTTGATAATGATGTTTGGAATACCCTAGCTGTCGCGATCATTGTCATGCACATCAAAAGGACTGTGACCAAACTCGCGAAGGCCTACGATAACAGGTTCGTGGCCTCGATCTCTGATGACCCTACCATGGTTTCCCCGGATCCTGATCGTTAATTTTCATCGTGTTACCCCGAGATCTATGGGATTCTCTGGCTGCAATCACTTTTGCATGCCACAAAGAACCGAACCCTCGAGATATATATATCAAAATAAACCATTTGGGGGGGGGGGGGAAACAATATCCCCTGGACTTCCAGGATTCGCCCACAATCGAGAGACTGGGGTTAATCAGACGTGATACTCCTTGCCATAATCATTCCATGGTTGATATACATGTCTATGATGGTACGATTTCCCGAGGATTTTTGAACCCTAATTGGCAATTTAGCGTGGGAAGTTTGAGCCATGTACAATTAGTTTATTGGATGACGTGCTTTAACTTGTTCCTTTGTACAACATAGAAATGTAGATGATAGGTTCACGCCAAGTCCGAATGCTCATGTATGTCAGTGGAGCTGAGTTCATGCCTGAAGCAACTATTGCCAATGATGAGTTGCCGTGACCAATGTAAGGATTGATTCGTCAACTCTCCACTTTTATTGATTACTTGTTTTCCCACTCTGTTCTTAAATGATATTTGAACCATCCCTGTCATTGTATTTCGATATAAAGAATAATAAACTGTGTTGTTGGGAATCCGGAGAGTGTTTCCCAGTTTCTTAAGAAAACCAATCCTCCAAGATGGTCTCCGAAGAGCATGGGGCCACAGAATCCTCCCCTTTGCTACGCGACATCGACACAGAGGCAGCAAACAAATCCAAGAAGTCAGGATGGCGACAAGAATTAGCAATTATCTCGCGATACTCGGCCCCTCTCATGATATCGCTCCTACTTCAACATGCATTGACCGGTTCTAGCATCTTCATGGTGGGCCATCTGGGGAAACGAGAAATCGGGGCCGTGAGCTTGGCCAACATGACTGCCCAGATCACTGGATATTTTGTCTTCCAAGGGCTAGCAACATGCCTGGATACTTTATGCCCTCAAGCATATGGCTCAGGGAATTTGACCATGGTCGGCCTTCACGTTCAACGACTGACGCTTTTCATGCTTGTCCTCACAATCCCAATTGGAGCTATATGGTGGAATGCAGATCGAATATTTCTCCTCATTCTACCGTCTGAAGCACAGGAGACGGCTCTTCTCGCAGGGCTGTATCTGAAAATTGCCATCGCGGGCGCTCCCGGCTATGCCTGCTTTGAGTCCGGAAAGCGATTTTTCCAGGCACAGGGATTGTTCAGTGCGAGTCTGATAGTTCTGTTGATATGTTCTACGTTGAATATTTTCATGGGCTGGTTATTCGTTTGGGTATGTTATTCAATCTTAGAACTCCCCGAGCCATTCACTGATATCCCTTCTTTTCCAGAGATTGCAATGGGGCTTCATCGGCGCGCCTATCGCCGTTGCGGTCGCAAACAGTCTTTTGCCGGTCTTTCTGGCGCTCTACGTCATCTTCATCAAGGGCTCTGAATGCTGGCACCCCATTTCTGCTGAAGTGTGGCGTGGCTGGGGTCCAATGTTGCAGCTTGCTATCCCGAGCTGGCTAATGATCGAAGCCGAGGTCCTCGCATGGGAAATCATGACACTTGTTTCATCCCGTCTAGGTACGACCGAGCTCGCTGCCCAGGCTGCTATATCGACACTTTCAGACTTTGCATTCCAAATTTCGTTTTCCATCGCTGTTGCTGGTGGCACTCACATTGCCTATCTGATCGGATCTGGCTTCCTCCAGCGTGCGGCAACAGCAGCCAAGGTTTTGATTTGTGCTAGCTTCGGTGCTGGTATAACGAATATGCTTGTGATTATTGCTCTCCGGGGAGTCATTCCGGGCTTATTCAGTGATATCGGTGAGGTCTGGCACTACATCTTCTTCTTGCTTCCATTGGGTGCTGTCCTTCAAATCCCCGACGCCGTGGCTACTTCCCTCAATAGCTTGCTGCGGGCTGTGGGACGACCGGATATCGGTAGCTATGTTCAGCTATCGATCTATTACCTAGTGGGGTTGCCCTTGGGCATTGCTTTCGCATTTGGCTTGGGCTGGAGCGTTTTCGGGCTATGGTGTGGAATATTTATCGGCCAGTCGATCATTGTGTTGATCGAGGGCTTTTATTTCTGGAAAATGGTGGACTGGGCGAAGGCATCCCGAGAAGCGGGAGAGCGGATGTGAGCATGGAGAGAGCTTCTCGAGATTGAGCGACGGGATAGCTTCAAAAGCCACAAAATATATCATATCATGCACGACGAATATAAAATAACTTTTCTCTCTTACCTGCTTGTGCATAGTAGATCTACAGGAGAACTCGTATGGGTAAATAGCATCCAAAGAGATACCTGAAAAGGCATTAGTGAACGAAGTCTTCAACTTTTTATATACTTAGGCGTCACATGACCGGTCCCGCTGTTGACGCTATTCCCAACACTCAATCTTCAAGACTGCATCACCCAGCATTCCACCATGGATGCCGCCGAGGATAAAGACGTGAAGCTTCAACGGGCCTCTGGGGATTTGGTGTCCGAGTTTTCGGCAAAGCTGCCCTCGCTATTGTGGAGAGCCCAAACTGGGACTCCCCTCCGCACCCCACGTAAATGGGCGCAGGTCACCAAAACAGAGAAGCTTGTCAGCCTTGTAAGACCGCACCGCATAGTTCTCTCCTAATTATATCTTTGTTCTCATTTACTAATGATATCTACAGCTTGAACCCTTTCAAGAGTGGCCTCAACTCTTAGATCCGCATTTGCAGACATTGCTGCCTCCTTTAGTGGACGCTTTTCTAGCATATCTGATCAAGCATCGCACCCAGTATGGCTCTGTTTCGGCGAAATCATCCCAGGCAGGAGATCTATATCCCCTACCAAGAGCTATCTGCAGGTTACTCTACACTTTCTGCAAAGTCCGTGGCGTCAAAGTGATTAGCAGGTTCTTGAACAATGAGCCGAAATATCTTGATTCAATGCTTCGAGCCTTTATCGAATGGGATGCAGTCCGGCCATCCAATTCTGAAGAACTGATCGAATCTGATTCCCAGCGACTCATCTGGGAAGAACGCTATGTGATGCTGGTCTGGCTTTCACATCTTCTGCTTGCTCCTTTTGACTTGTCTTCTTTATCGTCAGATAACATTCCGGTGCCATACGACAATCTGCAACAGTTGACTTGGCTATCATCCGAGACTCCTATGGTTGCCAGATCGCTTCTTTCCTTGTCGTTGTACTATATTGGTGCTTCGGGCAAAGAACGCGAGGCAGCGACAGCGCTTTTGGCACGTTTGGCTTTGCGTGGAGACATGCAAACTCTCGGTGTGCTCACAGGTTTGACGAAGTGGGCATTTGCTATAATCCAGCCGACGGAGAACGTTGAATCGCCCTCTGTCTATGCTTGTATTGGGGTCCTCACATTCATTGCTCGCTTGGGCGCATCAGGTCAGGTAGATGACTTTGTTCCCTTGATCAATGATGTCTTCCAGCAGACCCTCAGTGTATTTCAAGGGAAGTCTTCAGTATCTGCGACAATCCAGTCTTCAGCGTTGGCCAGAAAGATTGTTGTTAAGATCCTTCGCAACATCACAGTCATGGCCTTATCTGTGAATGAGCGAGGTGACGGCCGTATCACGCATGATCAGTTATCGACCATATTGGAAGATGCAATCGATCATTTCTTGGTCTCCTTGGCCGACAAAGATACGCCCGTGCGATTTGCCGCGAGTAAAGCACTCAGCATCATCACATTGAAATTAGACCCAGAAATGGCGACCGAGGTCATCGAAGCGGTCATTGGCTCTCTGGGAGAGAACATTCTCTTCGAAAAGGACGATGGCTCCCTCCTGACGCCATTTGAAGCACGGAAGATTGGCACACACACCCTTAAACGTAATCTCAGTGCAGTCGATGCCCAGCGATGGCAAGGATTAATCTTGACACTGTCACATTTACTTTTCCGCCGGGCACCTCCTATCCACCAACTCCCTGAGATTCTTCAATCACTTGTGTCTGGTTTGGGCTTCGAGCAAAGGTCTTCTACTGGTGGCTCTGTGGGAACTGGTGTTCGAGATGCGGCATGCTTCGGTATTTGGGCCATGTCCCGAAAGTATACGACACGAGAACTCCTGGCGTTGCAGCCCCAGGTAGTGGCGTCGCAATCTGGCCAGAAAGAGGTCGATGTTCTGCAAAAGCTGGCTGTGGAACTCATCTGTGCTGCTTGTATCGATCCATCTGGGAACATTCGCCGCGGCTCGTCTGCTGCGCTACAAGAGTTGATTGGTCGTCACCCAAATACCATCGCGCAAGGCATTCCCCTCGTGCAGGTTGTGGATTATCATGCCGTTGCACGACGTTCTCGTGCACTAAATGATGTTGCTAAAGCAACAGCCTCTCTGGATCAGATTTACTGGAGTCCGCTTCTCGACGCTTTGATGGGTTGGAGAGGTATTGGTTCTCCAGATGCCGAGTCCAGAAGACATGCGGCTAAGTCTATTGGAACTCTGAGTACGCAGGAACTGTTCAAGACCATGAATCTGGTCCTAGATAAATTGCTGCATATGTTCTCCAGCATCTCTCGGAATGATGTGGAATCACGACATGGCTGTCTGCTGTCTATTGCTGCCACGGTCGATGCTTTTACTTCCCAATGGGAAACATCAGCAGAGAAGAGAGATATCCCGGAAGCCAGGGCTGTTTCCTCTCAAGTGGCCAATATTTGGGATATCTTTGGTTCTGTATCAAGCCCTACCGATGATGACTTGACCTTCCAGACTTCACGCCCCGAGTTGACAGCAGAGGCATCATCTTGTTTGATCGCCTCGCTCTCTCGGTCTACCATTACAGCAGGTCTGGCTCAACCTTTAGAGCCACTTCTGAATCGAACGCTTCAAATCCTGTCCCTCTGTGTTTCTCGAAGTGATGATGTCTCGATTGAAACCTCTTCAACTGCCTTGGCACAGCTGTTTCCTCTGCTATCGCCATCAAAGCAGGAAGAAACTGTGCGTACTTGGTTCTCTCATCTCCGTAATTCATGGAGATTGCCGACAGGTCGTGGTCAAATTCTAGCACTCGGTACAGTGTTCAAGCAACTCGGAGCACAAAGTGATGTCCAAGAAAACATCGTCACCGAGATTGTTCGTTACACCGGGAAGGAAGAGCTCATCGAGAAACGAGTGGCTGCTGTGAAGTGCTTAGCCACCAGTATCTTGCCCTATATGGGTATGTTGAATATCTCTTGTTTATTGGCTGGTAATCAAATGGCTAACAAAATCTTAGCTGCCACTGATACAATTGCGAGTAACTTCGTCGAATTCTTGAATGATTATACCACTGACAGACGAGGCGACGTTGGATCTCTTATTCGGGTCGAGGCAATCCAAGCAGTCGGCATCTTGGTTCAAAGACAATTGGACTCAACATCACGCTCACCACTTATTCAAAATTTGGTCGGGTGTCTTTGCCGTCTTGCATGTGAAAAGCTCGACAAAGTCAGATTACAAGCATGGCTCTCTCTACAGGACTTCTGGGAATCAGCAGGGGATCTGCCTCCACTTGAAAGGTAATCAATTCCCAATAAAGCAATCATTTTATGACGGATGCTAACAAAAACAGGAAATTCGAACACTTCAGTCATGTTTCGTCACAAGAGTACTTCGCTCAGTTACTTACTCTACAGGATATTGACTGGCTTCGTCTTCCTTTGTTACAAGGACTTGCAACCTCTGCTATCTCAGGAGCAGAAGGTCTTGTCCGGGCATCGCGCTCAGCTCTGACTCAGTTCCTCAATACCCAAGCTCAGCCCCGACGCCAGGAGATATTGATGGTCTTCCTGCAGGACCTTTCCACGGTACTGGGTGACAACCTTCAAGATGACCGTTTTGCCATTCCTGCCGTCGAGTTTATTGCATTTTTAATTGACAGCTACATTCCTGTTATCCCGGAAGCCTCAGATCCATGGTTTGTGAACTCGTCTTTTATTGCTTATATATCTACACCATCCCCTAACATCTTCTTTCTAGTTTCCGGAAATTGTTCACGCTAGTCCAGAAAGCACATTTCAGATCCGCAAATATAGCTCGATTGGAAGCTGCCGTCAAAGTCTATGCGGCATTATCAAGGATTGACTCATTACGAGAGGGTGTTTTGAAGAAGATGACCGGACTGCTTTTGCATCCTTTCCCAAGGGTACGTTGGACCTCAACCCATGGATTTATGGTACTGACAGTTCGCTTTCTAGGTCCGATCAAGCGCTGCAGAATACCTGTTTGTTGTGACAGACTCTGAGATTGCCAAGTACGAAGACTGGTCTGCTTCGCCTAAACAGCTGAAGCCCCAGGTGGATAATCTGAAGGTCACTTTTTGTCTGGAGGGGTAGATAGCAGTTCCACAGAAATGCTGTAGAACTTACATATGCATTGAATTAATAACAACAGCTGAAAATATAATATACAAAGCATGTATGGACATGGGGTGTAAAATCTTCGGGCTTTGGTTGTGATGAGTACTTGTAGCCGTTGAGCCGGTACTTGCACTTGTGCTAGTACTTGTTGCGGTTGCACTAGGCTTGCTCGAGTGATCCTCCGCAAAGAAGTCAAATATGTATTGCGTCGCGTTGAATTCATACTTGCCCAACGGGCACTGTGCGGCATTCCGGGTAAAGTCATCATTGCCAACAGTACTTGGCCAGCAATGGCCATTGTCATTCTCGCGGTAATGCTGAACAATGCCTTTCAGCCCGTTACAGTCCCAAGAAGCATGCTTCACAGTCGGGTCATCAAAGATAGTCTCATTGCTGGTCGGCTGCGAACTGTCCTCACATCCATTTCGAGCCGCCCAGGCCTGCAGGACATCAATGACAGGCAGCTTGGAGTTCCCGTCACCATCGATAGGCGCGGTCGTATCGACCGTACCATGGAACTCCAGGAAAGGATACCCCTCATCCCGCTTAGCGGGGGCGCAGGGCCCGACACCCTTCATGTCGTCTGTGTCATACCAGGCGCCGCTGACAGCCGCAAAAGCCGCAAACCGGCTTCCAACCGTGGCGTTGCAGGCAATGACGCTGGCGAAACCGCCACCATTGGACTTGCCCGCCACGTATACTTTGCTTGTGTCGATGCAGAGGGTTTCTTCCATGTGCGTGAGCAGATCGTTGGTGAAGTCTAGATCGTTGGGGCGCGATGTGTCTGCAGAGGGGCTGGAGAGCCAATATCCATTCTTGCTGTTTGGGTAGATGGCGATTCCGTTGGGGTTGAATTCCGGGTTTGAAAATTGTGACAGATCTTCTTCCTCTAGCATGTCCCGCGACGCCCCGTGGAAGGAGAAGTAGACCGGTGTTGGCGTGTCCTTGTCATAGTTGGCAGGGATGAATAATCTGTATTCCCGGTCGGAGTCTGGAAGGGTGAGGGACTCGCTTTTCCCTGCTTTTGGGTACTTAGAAGGTATGTCTTGGCCGCAGCCTGGGGTTTTGGCTATGCTGATGCCCGTAAGAGCCGCAAGGGATAGTAATGTGAGGCGCATATTGTTTGGGGCGGGTGCCCAGGTCGTCTAGTTTGAAGAATACATCGAATTTTATGAGGAATTGAGGGATTGAGCAATTGAGCGATTGACAGGTACGAGGTACACAACCCCCTTAGCCTGAGCTTATACGGGGCACAGAGGTCTCAGTTGGGTGGATCCAAGGCACCCGCCAAGATCAGGACCACGGGTGTCCCTTAAAATGGTCTTATCTTTCAAACCTTACATTTGCGCCCAACGCTTAAAGATTGAGCTTGATCTTCTTGATCTACAAACCACCCGACCTACCTAGGTAAGTTTTCGGGTATGATAATCATCTATTAATAAAATGAGCAGAAACCGATCGAGAATACAATATAGGCAAAAGTTGAAGATGATCTATTTCTTCGTGAGTGATTATTAGAAATGTAATCCTTTACCTCGGGAACTTTATTTTTCTTCATAGATTGTGCTTCACCTATAAACGGGACGACCTAATTAAAGATAATCATCAATGGATCCATTTTCCATCACATTTCAAACAGGAATTATGTGTGGGGCTTACTTGATTATAGGGGCACTAGTATCGCCATTATTACGTTGAAAAAAAGAAAAAGCAAAAATTAAAATATAATAATAATAAAAAAAGAAGTGCATCATCCGTGAATCGAACACGGGCCTCGTCGATGGCAACGACGAATTCTACCACTAGACCAATGATGCTAGTTACATGGAAGATGAGCCATTGTTATGCATCATACGTCTCTTCCACTCCCAATTTCATTTGCTCCGCCTCAAGTCAACCAGAAGCTCGACCTCGCTGGTTTCTAGAGCTCCAACAGTCGCAAACATGGCAGCCGTCTCTACAGCTGGCATTTCTCCGAATGCGACGTGAGTACTATATCTGCATAATTGATCTTCATGCTAACAAGCCTTTACAGAGTATATGTGCGCCTGTCCCTCCCCCTCCATCGTATCACCACTCCGCTCCCGCATTATCATACTGACGGATTCCTTTGCACTGATTAGGTCAAGAATCTAGACGAGCGAATCAAGGTTGAACAGTTGAAGCATGCCCTGGAGGAGATCTTCTCCGAATATGGCACCATCCTAGAGGTCGTCGCAAAGACCAACCTGAAAGCTAAGGGCCAGGCCTTCATCGTCTTTGACAACGTCGACTCTGCTACCCGCGCTATTGAGGATATCAATGGCTTCGATCTCTTTGAGAGGCCCATGGTGCTGGATTACGCAAAGACGCCGAGTGATGCGACAGTCCAGCGGGAGGGCGGCAGCGACGAGCTGGAGGCTCACAAGCGGAGACGTTTAGCTGAGAAAGGTACGTTGAACAGACGCTGGCGCACTATATGCAAAGACCCAATTTATGCTAATAATGGTTGTTTCATAGAGCGCAAACAAGCCCACGAGGCCCTCGAAGCACAGAAGAAACTCAAGCGTCCTGCTGCCGCCGTCGAACCCGCACGCCCAGCCAAGACCACCAAAGGTGCCGGCCTCAAGCCTACCGCTGCTGCTACCACCGCTGTCGTTCCAGACGAGTACCTCCCACCCAACAAGATTCTGTTCTTGCGGGAACTGCCGGACGACGCAACCCAGGAAGGTCTGTCTGCTATCTTTGGCCGGTTCGAAGGATTCCAGGAAGTCAGACTGGTGCCCGGTCGCAAGGGAATTGCATTCGTCGAATACGAGGCCGAGGCTGGAGCAATCAGCGCGAAGGAGGCTACGTCTGGCATGCCCATGGGCGACCAGGGCAAGGCGATTCGCGTTACCTACCAGCGACAGTAGTCGTGGGGTTTGTTGCATCCTACAAAATATCCCGGTCTCGTTCTTTCTGGCGTTTGGAAGGTCTTGTCTCAAGTACATGTGTATTAGAAATATGGAGAGCTTTATCACTGTCCACTTGCTGTCGCAATGTGTCAAGATTGCGTATCACATGAAGTTCAATATTTCCCAAAGTAGATGAAACGAGCCACAGGGCTAAAACGAGTATGAGCATACAAAGTGGTACATGTCACGGTCAAAAAAAAGATGTCAACAAGAAAAGAGTATCAATACGAAACAAAATAGCACTCTAGAAAATAACATCGTTGTCTTCCTGATCGCCCAGAACATCTACCGTCTCTTCCTCTTGAACGGGGATAGCAGTAGCAGCAGGTGCCTTGGGGTTTGCTGCTTGCTTTTCTGCTGCCTCTTGTCGGGCTGCGAGGATCTCAGCGTCCGCGGCAGCAACGTCCCTCTGCTTTTTGTTTGAAACCTTCTTCAAGCGGTAGAATTCCTCTCGGTCGAGCTCATCGAGTTCGGAGTTGATGTCTTTAGAATGGTTAGCCTGTGCAAGGGACACTCGAAGTAGACGGTACAAACATTTGATAGTGTTCTCGGTTCGAGGAATGATAACATGCTCACTGTTGAAGATATGTTAGTATCCGGAACAAGGACCGAGTCCACGAGGTCTGTCTTACATTGCATTTACTATATCACGCAAGTTAGTTACCAGCCGTACGCCGTCGCAGTCCATGAGAAAATGACTTACCTCTTCGGTTGACAACCTTGATCACCTCATCCAGAATCAGGAAGGCAGTCTGGCACACTTGGTGAGCGATATCCCAATACACTACATATATACCATGCATACCTGTAAGCTTGCCAGTTCCACCAATGTCTCCACGGCCCGTGCGTATGTCTCCCGACAGCGTTGAATCTGCTGTCCTCCCTTTCCTAGACCTGTCAGACCGAAGTCATTGACACCCTCCTGCGTGTAGCTTTCAAATGTAGGCAGAAGAACACCAGAAACGTTCTCTTGCTTGGCTCGCACGCGGAAACGAGCTTGCTTGGCGGACTCCTGGATCTGGTAGCCGATATCTCCGCCTACCGCATAGCTCACTTCCGCCAGCGAGAAGGCGGCAATCTGCATGACCCGACCCATCTTTTGTTTGGCTTCATCGATGCGGCGTGTGATGTCTGTCGAAGTATGATTAGCGCCTCGATAAGGTGGGGAACGGGAATGTGTCGCATCATACCTCGGAAACGTCTGTCGAACAGGATAGAGGGTTAGCATATACTCTTAGAAGCAAGAAAGGCATAGGAATCTTACTTTGTTAGAGCTTCACTCTTTCTCTTTAGTAAACTATGGCCAATTTCCGCCCCCTTCAGCTTGTTCTTCATCAACCCCAATGATTGGCGAGTTGGGAATACTGCCTCTCGGCCCTGAACAGAGGTCAGATCAAGTCAATATGAGAGTTCAGTTCCACAATAAGCTCACCACAGCGCCGGACATGATTGCAGTAGAACAAAGATCACAATATAGTCCTTGTTGTTCAGCTAGAGCAACGCGGCCACATTGGTATGACGCCGATAAAGCTCCACCGCCCACCTGATACAGATTAGTCACGTGATTCAATCAATGTGGGAACCTCATCCGTCAACGGGTTTGGCTTTAAACGCGCACGCCAGCAGCCTCTTGTTTATGCAATTTTCCTTTATGCCGACACGTTGATCGTGTAATTGGATTTCGCTCGACTGAGTGGCGCCATGCCAGGGACGCTTTTGCCCCCGAGATCCCACCGGCAGCACGCAGAGATGGATCGACCATCTGCGTCCCGGCCGGACCTCTACTTGATCGTAAGTTTTGACCCATTGGACCATTTGAACTCGAGGCTTACTTGGATTTTATCCCTAGACTGATCAAGACATCATCTACGAACAAGATCTGCTCCGCGACGCTGCTAGTGTCAAGCCATGGCTTGCCTACATCGAATTTAAACAGCAAAATGGCACGCTCTATGAGCAAGCATTTGTATGTCCTCACCCAGCACAACCCAGTCGCCAATGATCATCACTAATCTACTGGCTTTTATCAGGTTATGGAGCGCGCTTGCAAGCAATTACCGCGTTCCTACAAGCTCTGGAAGATGGTAAGTGACTTTTTTTTTACAACTCCAAGTCTCTGCTTTTACTGACCGTCCTAGTATCTTGAGTTCCGAACAAAGCATTTGAAGGGCCGCAATCCCACGGTCTATCGCGCCGAATACCAGAAAGTAAACGCACTCTTCGAACGAGCCCTGATCCTCCTGAACAAGATGCCGCGCATCTGGGAAATGTACCTCTCATTCCTGCTCCAGCAGCCCATGGTGACCCAGACTCGACGAACCTTCGACCGTTCCCTTCGCGCTCTGCCGGTTACACAGCACAACAGAATCTGGAGACTGTACAAAGGCTTCGCTCGATCTGCTTCCGGGCAGACCGCCATCAAGATCTTTGCTCGGTATATGCAAATTCACCCCGAGAACATCGAGGATTACATAGAGCTTCTTGTTGAAAATGGTGAATATACGGAAGCCGTGAAGAAATTCATGGATATTCTCGACGACCCACGATTCAAGTCCAAACATGGCAAGGGTCCATTCCAGTTATGGTCGGAGATGGTTGATCTCCTAGTCTCCAAGGCCAAGAAGATTCAGACCGGCCCTCAAGTCGGAATTGATGTTGATGCCATCCTCCGGAGTGGTATCGAGCGCTTTGCGGACCAGAGGGGCAAGCTGTGGGCCGGGTTGGCCACATACTGGATCACCAAGGGCAACTTCGAGAAGGCACGGGATGTCTTTGAGGAAGGAATCACTACTGTCATGACGGTTCGTGATTTCACTCTCATCTTCGACTCCTATGTCGAGTTCGAGGAGTCTATCATTGGAAGCTTGATGGAAGGCGCAGCCGTCCGCTCTGACAAGGGCAAATCCGACGAGGACGCCGACTTTGATCTTGACCTCCGCATGCTGCGCTTCGAGCAGCTGATGGACCGCAGACCATTCTTGGTGAATGATGTACTGCTACGGCAGAACCCTCACAACGTCATCGAATGGGAAAAGAGAGTGGCACTCTGGGGTGACAACAAGGAAGAAGCTGTCCACACCTACACAGATGCCATTGCTGCAATTAACCCCAAGAAAGCGCTTGGAAAATTCTCTGAGCTTTGGGTCAATTATTCCAGGCTTTATGAGAACGGCGGGGACTTG